TTATATCAGTGAGTGGATCATTTTTATTTCAATTTATTTATTCAAAATCATATTATTTAATAATAATAATATCAATTGATTAAAATTATAAAGATTCTAATAATCTAGAATCTATTATATCATTTTGATAGATTCTTATATTATAATCTATTTTTCTATATTTATTATAATATTAATTAGAAGATATTTCCTTATTAGGATTCCTTCCTTTTTAATATTTGTTGTGTTGAATTTGAATATCATTTTTTTATTAAAATAATATATTAAAAGTCTTTTATTTAATAAATATTTCTTTTTGATATAATTAAATTTTTTTTGTGTATTAATATTTATTTAATATCTTATTTGCTGTTTAAAGTATATAGATTTCTATATTTAAAAGTGTATTTTTACAAGCTAATTTCTTTGTACCCTTAGTTAAAACTAATATAATCTTAAATATAAATATAGGGAAGCTTGAATAATAATAAGTTATTCGAGATTTAACTAATATTAATTAAGAAAAAGCTTTAATTAAATTATAAGGGATTTGAAAAATCTATTGATTTGAATTGAAAAAAGGGGGAGTAAATATATGAATTCAAATATCTAATTTCGAGAATATAGTTTCAGAATTAAATAAAATTAAATCTATTCTTTGAAATTCTGATTTCATATTTTGAAAAGTGATTAATTCTTTATATATAATTTTAAAAGCTATAAAGAATTCAATCTTCGAAATATGATTGATATATGCCTTAATAAATCCATTAATTTAATTATTATATGAACATTTTAGATTGCTAAAATAACCCATATTAAGTGGTTGAATTAAATAACTTGAATATAATAATAGATTTAAATATATAATATTGTTTTTTTTTATAATATACTTAAAAAGCTCTTAATTCATAGTTTTTATACTTATTTAATATTAATATTCAATATCTGTCCTTTTTTTAGTTCTTAATTTATTTATCGAAATATTTCAATTATTCTAAATCTATCTTATTATTTATTTATTTATTAGATATAGATTTAATAATCTAATCTGTAGGAAAATCAATTTTGATATATTAATTAAAAAAATAAATCTATCCTTGAATTACTAGAAATAAGAATATAGTTTTACTTTTCCTATTACTATAACGTGTTTTATCAGTGAGTGGTTTATATCAGTGAATGAATCACTTATTTTATATATAAAATTTGTTTGTGTATAATTATGCACTTTCTTTATTTATAGATATAATTTTTTGAAAATTTAATACAAAATACTTGAATATATAAAAATCTCAAAAATCTAATTAGTTTTAGAAAATTCGAATTTATAAAACTATTATTATAAAAAAAAGTTTTTTTGTAACAAAAATTGTAATAATTTCCTTTTTTTTTTAGAAAATAATAAAACTATTTTATAAAAATTATATTAATAAAAAATCTAGATTTTAATTAATTTTTAAGATCTTTTTTTCAAAAAAATAATGATTAGTTATTAAAATATTAATATTTTAAGAAATTTGATTTAAATAATTTTCGAAATAATTTATTTATTAATATAAACTATTCATTAATAAAACATATTATAAAAATTAAATCAATAGAAAATCTAGATTTTAATTATTTTTTAAAATCTTTTATTCAAGAAAATAATAATTAATTATTAAAATATTAATATTTTGTGAAGCTTGATTTAAATGATTTTCGAAATAACCCATTCACTGATATAAACCACTCACTAATAAAACACGTTATATAATTATTATAATTTATTCTTTATTACCTAATTATATTATTTTACTTCTATTATTTCGTTTAATATTAATTATTACTATTTTAGGGTATATTATATTTATTATAAAGTTTGTTTTATTGAAATTATAAAAATCGTTATTCAAAATACTATATTTCGTTTATATATTTATAATCAATTGAAATTACTTTTTAATAAGTTTAGAATCTTTGTAAAAAATCCTTTAAAAATTATAAATATAATTAAAATATATTTTTAATTTAATTTAATATTTTATAAATCAATATATTTAAAGCTTTTTAATACAATTTGTATCCCTCGATTTAAGAATATAATTTATTATATTTTCTATATTTTTTAATTTAAATAAAAATCCTCTCATATCTATATCAATTATATATTTAGAAATAATATTCTCCTTTAATTCTAAAAGATTATTAGATTTAGATTAATATTTGAAATAAGGAATAGAATTATTAATTCTATATTATAATATTATATTCAGAATATTATATATCTTTATAGTTTTTTGAATACTTATTTTTTTGTTTTTTTGAATAGTTTCAATAATAAGGAATATATAGACTTTTTGATTATTTGGATTTATTATAGATTGTTAATAAAATGCATATTGAAAAAGGAGAGAATGAATTGAGGTAAAAGTAATCCACTCATTGATATAATCTATTCACTAATAAAACACGTTAATACATTATATATTTTAATAAATTATTATATACTAAGTTTTTTGTTTTTTTGAATAACCTTAATAATTAAAAGTATTTAAGTTTTTATAATAATTGATTTTATAATAATTAATTAATAAAATGTATATTGAATTGATACATAAAAAATTGAAATAAAAGTAATTCATTTAATGATATAATCCATTCGATGATAAACCACGTTATATTAAATATAAAATAATAATTTGAGATAAAAATGACTAGTCCACTGATATAGCCGATTTACTATTAAACGACGTTAATATTAATTTGATTAATAAGTATTAGTACTTAGTCCTATTATAATTGTATTATTCTTGATTATTATTATCTATAAGAAGTTAGTACTTAATATAGGGAAACGCTAGCGCAATGTTAGCTAATATAGTTTCCTCTTTAATTACATAATCGATGTCCCGACACATTTAGAATCGTTTAAAAGATCTTAGATAAATAAAACACCGATTTCACTTCTAGCTGTAATATCTACCTAAATGTCTATCTACTAGTAGATAGTAGATACTTTTTGATTCTCGCTTGGCTGAATGATTGGTTGCTTTTGCTTGGTTTCTGTTTGATCTTGAAGGGAGGGGGAAAGAGAGAGATATCTATTTCTAGACTAATACTATTTATTTCCCAAGGAGTTTAGATACCTACCTAAATATAATAAGTAACACCTTATTTCCTTTCGATTTCATTTCATTTCATCTCATCTAATCCACTACACTTGAAGTATTCATCTTATCTTATAAGACTACACAAACAAGAAAAACTTATAGATGATACCCAGCCTAGGTAATTACCTAGAATTCTCTCTCAAATTTATCTATTCGCTTCTACTCTCCTCTCCACTGTCGATATTCCACAAATCCCCCTCCCGTACTAATACTCAATTCGTTTCCTCCGCGAATATCAAATGGAATCAAATTCTTCACCGATTCGGGCATATCTTCCCATCCCGTCCAATGCGTCCCATTTACATTTCCCAGTCTTTTCGTTTCATCCGATGGAGATATGATATCATTTTCGCTAGCGGTTTCACTCCCCCCGCACTTCTCGCCGCGGTCAAGTCGTCCTAGTCCTGCGGCAAATTCGTCGACCCATGTTTGTGCCACCGCGGCTCCGTTCTCTAACATGGTTTTGTATGATGAGCGCCAGTTTTCTTGCCGATTGGCAGATACTCGTTTTGCTATATCGGGTATTTGTTCATCGATGCCGACGATTTTTTTGCCGTCGAGGCCGCAGGCTGTGATGCGATCCCACCAGCCTCGTTCCATGATCATGTTGAGTCCTACGCCGTAGCTACTCACGTTTCTCCGTAGGTGGACACCGAGACTTGCGATCTTTTTGCCTTCGTTCAACCAGACTCCGGGATTCTCTGTGCGTCCGAGGATCTCCAGGCCCATTTTGTGGAGGAGTCGGATGGTGGATTCTTCGAGGAGGTTTACGTAGCATTTTGCGCCGAGGTTGCGGGATGCGAGTAAGTCGATGATGGGATAGATGACTAGTTGGCCGGGACCGTGGAATGTGATGAGACCGCCGCGAGGGGTTTGCACCACGTCGGCTATTTGTTCTTTCTTGCAAGAGGTGCTGAATGGTTTGCGGATGGTGGGGAGATGGGTGGTTGAGAGTGGAGAAAATGGTTCGCGAAGAGATTTGAGGAGGGGTTCTGAGAGGGGGGTTTGGAGCTCGCGCCGCCCGGTGGTGTAGACGGGCGTGGGTTGGAATGTGAGGACTGTAGGGATTGGCGCAGGTGGTTTGAGGTCGGGATCTTGCTGAGCGGAGAATTCTGCGCGCAGGATTAGTATTATGGTAGGAGAGGAGAAAGAGGGAATTTGATGCCGAAATAGGCATACCCTTTTTATATTCAAGCAATCTGGATACCAGCGTGGATTGAATGGTTTGAGCAATGTGGAAGGGAGTAATGCCGCTGAGATGAATGTGACGGATGAAATTGCTCTGGACTGAGGGAGGAGGTAAAGGAATCATGATTTGGTAATCATGAGGAAAGAAGGGAGATCAATATGAAAATCAGAGTAGAATTAGAGAGAATGAATGCGACAAAGTATTCTGCAACGAGGACTTACAATGCAAAAGAAAAGAGCATGTAAATTTTGACAAGAATGAAAGAAATGTTGTAGAGGAGATTAGATAAGAGCTTTTCAAAATTGGCTGCAAATAAGCCCAAATCTTATCCTTTCTACTTTATACTTACATTGTTCAAGGTACACATATTTATGGCAGCAATAGAGGATACTTCCTCTATCTGTTTCATGAAACTGGGAATATGTGAATGAAGTTGTAGAAATCCATTGCTGTAGACATTTTGCGATCAGTTCGAGATGAAGGTTAGAGCTTATCGAGTATTATGTAATCAGACATCATCATTAAGATCTGATCAGGTAATGCCCCGCCATGCCCGATCTCCTCTTTCATTTTAAGCTTCTCTCTCATCGGTACTCGTCGGCTTCGACTTTTCATGAATATAGACATCACAATTAAATTTAAATTATATCTCAAAGATACATTGGCACAACGATATCATGGCGGAAGCTCCTTTGAATTATGAAGCCTCAGCTGGCACCACCAATCTCCAAGTCTCGAGAACCTTACCATCGGAAGTAGTTCAATGTTTAGAAAATGCTAGATTTGTCCGTCGTCGCCTTTCTCAATTACATCTTCTTCACGAGCAACACTAATAATATATATAATCCATAGCTTCATCTCGCAACATGCACATCTCTCCGTCCTCACGTTTCTCTCATGAATTATACCTATCTGCCCAGCACCCCCTGGTCTCCCTATCCCACCATCATAATGACGACGAATCCCTCCTCGAAGAAAACCCACAATCTTCTCGAAAACCCACACGTCTCGTTGTTAGTCCACGATTGGGTCTCGCATAGGCCGCCTACAGGAAACAGAGCTACGAGTCCGCCGCGGAACGCGGGGGGGAGAAGCAGTTTGGCGGAAATGTTGATAGGGTTGAACACGAGTGCGATTAGTAGTATTAGCGCGACGATTAATGGGGAAGCGAGGATAGTTGAAAGGGGAGGAGAGGAGGAAAAATGGTTGAGGGAGAAACATTTGGAGAATTGTGTTTTTCTTGGGGAGGAGGGAGTTAGGGCTGGAGAGGGAGATGGCGGAAGAGTGTTTGTGGAGGGGGAGGAGGTTAGGGTTGTTAGTGTGAAGGTTGGGGATGGAAGGGTTAGTGACTGGAAGGGTGCAGTTAGGGATTGGGTCCTGGAGGGTGATGCGGAAGGAGGAGATAGTACTGAGGGTGAAACTTTATTAAATGGTGTTCATTGAGGTGGCGATTAGGAAGGGAGTTCAGAAAGTCGATTGATCTATATTGGAAGTATATGACTTCTCATGGAGATGCTCAAAGTAAGGCAAGCAGTGCAAGGGCGAGTTGTCTTTCAAGTCACTGAATGATCCATGAACTCCAGCTCAATTCAGGTTTCTATAAATTGCTTGCGTTAATTTCAAAAACGGTATTTAACCAAAGGACAATGAAAATTCAAAGTTATATCAACAACTTATTATCAGGCTTGAGAAAAATGCTGTTGGGCTGATGAGAGATTGACAAGAGCACCTCGGTAACTACTAGGTAGATATACCGCTTAGTTGCTATCAAATGGAGACTTGGTGTCACATATTTTTCTTGATCTTTTATTTCCTCTAAGATATGGCTAAACAGTTTCAATCATTTCTACGCCATGCCAATTTGCGATGAAACTTAAAGTTTCTTGAGTCTCTGACTTTTTATTCAGCTCTGTCACGTCTCTTGCTCGGGGGTGGACTTAATGATTTTTTCTTGTTGAACTCTTGTAGTCACTTATTTGAATGCTTTGATTAAAGTGTTACTGACACTGTGAATATACCAGCATAAAAATGGAGATCTGTTAGTGAGTGATGAGCCAAGAGCTCCAATATTGTAGAACGCGCTGCCACAAGTTCCTCCTCTCCTATGACTTTCCATGCAAGTCTTGATTTTAATGTCAATACCATGGAAATTTGTTTGCTTTATCGACTACTGCATTTTATACACTTTTGTACCTAGGTATTCTGTAAAGATGTTTCAGGACTAGAAAATTGTTGGTGAGTGAGGTGCTAAGCAGGTTGATTTTTAGCGTTATTCTCTGCATCGAGTATGAAATATACAAAGCTTGAATGATGTGTCTTACTAGAGGAGTCGTTCTGGGGCCTGGCTGTCTAGTAATCATCAAATTTCTGCTTGCAATAGTCTGTAAGTTGAGACACGAGAATAAAGAATGAAAACTGACATCTTGTCTTGCGGTGTTATATTGAGATAGAAAATGGTGCAGTTTCTCAAGTCTCAGCCCCGCAGGAGTATGTTGAAGCAATTTTATCATGATCTCTTGTCGATAGATTGGCATCATGTCTTTTTCGTCTACCTACCTAGCTCTGCTGTTGATGTGTAATCATTTACTTGAGGTTGAGCTTGAATAGAATGGAACTGAGGCCATTCATCTTGAGCTAGAATTAAAATCAACTATTCGAAATATTGCTCTGCTAGGTAGGTAGATCATGAAAAATTTGATACTGCGAATTATAGTGAATAAGAACCTCTAAGCTATCTGGTAATTAACCCTCATCTTGCAAATTATCTTTTAATTTCCTTCAGTATCATCCATTCACTAGCCATCAAATCGACAAGCGAGGAAATTTCTATCATTAAAAAGCATCCCCCTTTCGTCTCTGTCCCTTCATCCTCTTCCATCACGCGACTCACAATACCAGGATCCAGTCCTTGTGCTTCTTTCTCCTGATCACTGACTCTGATTATCTCCACCGAAATTGTTCTCTTTAAGTTTGATAAAAATGGTAAAATCATTCTTTTCTTCCAAGTTGTATGTTTTAAGGCTTGGCTAACTTCTTAAAAGGGTATCTAAGGTAAGAGAAAACGCATAAAGAAGTTTCCCACTACGAATTTTGTCTTAGTGTACGGGTGCATGATTGCGGAAGTATTACCACCATAGTATAGCTTTTTACACACACGCACACACGCACAAATACCAAATTCAGAAAATTCAAAGATGGAAGAAAGATTTCATAACTAGCATGTTGAATGCCACTCCCCCTAATTCAATCTCATCATCATAAAAAAAAAGGAAGATACAAAGAAGAGAAAATATATAAATAAAAAAGAGAAGCAAAAACCGCGCCATCATCCAAGTAGAGGTACTTGATCGATTTTTTCCATCATACCCCACCCAGCCTCCTCTCTCCACCGTTCATTTTCTCCCATCCCATCTGTTCCACATGATCTCCACTCACTATTTCCCTTTTTCCGCTTAAGCGATCTTCCCCAAAACAAACGACAAAGCCAACGACTGATACTTCGTCACATATGTCAAATGGGCCAAAGTATCCAATCCCGAGCAACAAAATGGATCTCCAGAATCGCAGTATGATTTCACGATACTCGAATAGGATGTGAGCGATTGATCGCTCGAGCGGGGAAAGAGTCCGTTTTGGAAACAGGTTCCGACGTGGAAGGATTGTTGATTGACCATGTAGCGAGGATCACCCATCTATTTGAGGAGATTGTTAGATATCATGTGATATGGATGTAATTGTAGGAGAAGAATATCGGCCAGAAAAGAGAAATAGAAGAGAGAAGGAATAAAGAAATAGAGAGGAAGGAAATACATACCATAACAGCTGCCTTAACATGCGAACCATACGCAGAGTCAATCGCCGGAGTTTTTGTTCCCAGTGTTCCGCCGCCTCCACCTCCAAGCGTATCACTGATACATTCCGCTGTCCATTTATCACAAATCAGCATTCCAGAAATAATACAAAACATAAATCAGAAGTAACTCACCACCCTGAGAATATCCCAAAAGAACAATTTTCTGCGACGGACACGCATCAACCGCCGCGACAATATCCGCTTTCATTGCCGCAACACCACTTGCAACACTGGGTGCGTAAGGAGCCAGCAGCGCCGGATAAGACACAGAAGTCCGCGTGACCGATTTGCTAGTAGCGAGTTGGATGGCTGAAGCGAGGGAACCGATGATACCTTCGCCGGGCAACTCGGTGGATGCGCGCGCGGTGATGATGCGGATGTCGGTGCAGGCTGCGGTTGTGTTGATGACGGAGGTTTCGGGTACGGGGATGGGGAGAGGGAGAGGGTTTGCGTGGATGAGGGAATTGGAGAAGATAGAGAGGAGGGAGAGTAGTGCGAGTGGTGAATGCATTTTGAGTAATGTGTTCTGGGCGAGTAGCTGGATTAAGCGGGGTGTGTTTTCGTTTAGGAGAAAAGTAACAGTGAGGATGAGGGATACAGAGTCAGAAAAGAAGAGATGAGATGAGATGAGATGAAACTGATGAAAAAAAGATCAGAGGATATTCTAAGCTCATATATATTTACACTTCCTTGGTATGTTTCGCCAGCCTCATCCCATTAACTTGACTCACATTACATCAATTATTCTTACCCCCAACACTGTGCTAACACCTAGACGAGGGAGACAAACAAACTCATCACTTGCTGGCTTGAAATTCCCGAGGTATTCGTCTAGAATATATGAAGGGGTAAAAAGCGGGTCTTCCCGCTGAATATTCCTTTTGCGAAGAGACGCTCTCCCGTTGTACCAAGTGGGTACCAAATACTCCACCACATTACTTTGTTTCCTACTAAAAATTTGTTTATATGACTTCTAGCAGAAGCAGATACACAAAATTGATATGTCACTGTCCTGATGTCGTCCCGAGGTGTTCTTGGAGTCTACAATGCCGGGAGTTAGTGCTCCATTTCTACACCTCGTAGATGCAAACCGATGTGAGCCAAGAATGCGGGGTATCTTCATCCAATCTCTAATTTCCAATATCATTCCAATGGAATGCAACAACTGTACACACCCCTCTCTCCGATCATCATCTGAACTGTCTATTAAGGGTTTGTTGACATTGCATTGATGAACTTGAAAATACCTCGGCGCTTTGTTGTTCTTCAGGAGATACATCATAAATTTGAGAGAAGTACTCTGAAGAACACCAAGAAGGAGAATGAGTTTCGCAAAAAAAAAAACCCAAAATCAAGACGTTTTTTTCACATTAGTCAATGTCATTATGACAAGGTTTCCCCACAATTTTCCAATATGACTGCCGCCACGCCATGACACTTGCATGTAGATCATGATCCACGGGTAAGGTTCAAAGATGAATTGGGATCATAGATTGCAGTTTCTCAAAATAACATTACTCCTTTCATCTCATATAAATGGGGTTTTGTCTGGTCTAAGCTATGATCTATCGTTGAGTTTCCAAAAATTTCTTGATCGGAAAGCAAGTGAAGTAAATTGTTTCTTGAAACAGGATCCCTGAGCCAATCGCATCTTTAACGAGAGTGTCCATGGTAGAATTAAAAGAAGCATATACGATGATGACTTTTTGCAATTACCTGAGCACAGTATGAAACATCCAACCACTCTGCAATATCATGCCGAGGTGTTTTTGCCATGTAAGGGACTTCAAATAAACATTAACGCAGAACATCAGATGGAACAAAACAGGTTGAGTGATCATGTAAGTGATTGGTGCATAGTAAATGCAGCATCTCGCATGCGGCTTTCCCCACAATACGGGATCCGAAAGACTAGACTGGAATGATAGGGCTGGACGCGGATTGTCAATAGATATAATACTTAGAAAATCAATTTGTTTGAACGAAAGCCCAATCGACCGAGGTATGTTATAAATTCTACTAAGCTGTATGATCCAGATCATGGGTTCTCAAGACTTTTCCGCAGTCATGATTTTGTTTCCCACTCATGAAGGTTGAGATTTGATCATTCGTAATTCTAGATGCTCGGCATGCAACTCATTACAATTCTGCCGTCTCTCTCTTAGGGACTAGACATCAAAGAACAGTTACTTGAATTTGCCTCATCATGTGTGCAGCTTTCCCCGATCCATACACAAAACTTAACACCTTTGACCATTGTTCTTCAGCCGCTGTCAGACGTCGCGAATTTTCCAATGAGATTGTATATATTCCAAACGGCAGAATACAAATCCAGATCCGAAACCCTCTGCGAATATCAAGCCAGGAGAAGCCAAATGTGATTTAATGATGGGTCGAGATGATAGATACATGACGCAAATCTGGGGAAAGCCAGAAGAAGCTCTTTTGCTCCCTGTCATGCCACCGAGTAGAATGGTAGGTGCTAGATACTGGAGGATGGGGGCTGAAGACGCTCCAATAAGGACAAATGTCTAGTAGAACAAGATATAAAACGTGTTTAGCCAGCCAATCGCAACTTTCTAACCGTTTCGGTTAGTCCTGTTTAGCTCGATCTGGCATTTGAGTGCGCAATTGGCCGCTAACCGAATAAATTCTCTCAACCTTTTGATACATAACGACCTCTCATTTGATATTTGAGGTCGACTGTTCGGGATCGATTCCCGATCATCTGTGCCATTCAAGTCGTCCATGTCTAGAATTCTGGATGTACCAGAAGCCCAGATTCATAGGATCATGCTACAGGCGACAAAAAATAGTTTCACTGGATTACATATCTTGAAGTATAAAAATGAATGAAGTAGTAAACTTGGAAAACACTTTATCGCATGCCAAAATAATCGAACCTGCTCACATATCAGTGATTGCTTTCTAGATACTAAACGGCAGAAACTTACCAGTCTGCAACATCTAGAGTCGAAGGAATCATTTGTTGGAAGTCCGGCTGTATCCAGTATGCCATCTGATCTGGAGACATGTAATTCATGCTGCCAGGAAAATTAGGGTTTTGATACTGAACCATTTCCTGGTTTGGATCTGGTATTGCGATATTAGGCCACAAATTATCTAAGGGGAAAGGTTCACCTTCATGTATTGATTGATTAGATTGATGTCCAGCTGGTGGCGCAGAAGGTATGCTCGTGGGCGAAACACCGTCGTTGTTACCAATTGATGTTCGACCCTCATTTGAAATACTTGTACCCTTTCCTGATACGAAATTTAGAGTTGCTTTTTGGTGTGCTAGCAAAGAATGCGTAAGTGGAAGACTGTCTTCCTTGGCCTTTCTAGCTGATTGTGATGATGATGATGGCTCTTCAATGAAACTAAACACAGGCACTGTATGTTCACCAATTTTCTTGAAACGTTTGGGACCCTCAAGGGTACAATTTGCAAATCCTGCTGCCTTCAAAATCGTCTCGAAAAGACCTCTAACCATCTTAGCGACTAGCCATACATCAGAGAGCTTGTCGAGAGCAGACATGCAAACTGAAATTCTTTTACGAGCATCTGAATTAGTTGATGGCAAAAAGATTTGTAATTCATAGACATGCATGATCAGGGCAGACAGTAAAGAGTATATTCTATAAGATCATCAGCAACCATAAAATATCTAGTGTGCGCGACGTTTGTCCTTACAAAAATGGAGGAGCATGCCTTAACTCGTTGCGTGCAATCATATTTTCAGCGACTGAAGTAATTGCGCTTGCAGATTGAAAAGCAGGGTGTTGTGAAATATCAAGCTTCTCGTGAAGTTCAAATGACGACTTCACAGATGGCAAGTAGGCACGATACAAGAGGCACCGTGTAGTGTGGTATATTGAATACAAATACGAGGACCAGAAGTTGTTGTTCGAAGAATTCCATCGAATCTGTCTGGGGCAATTCTGAAGCCATTCATTTAAAGCTTGATCGCACTGCTGTAGGATGAGAGAATTATTGCCATGCTTCTTGGATTGTAAAGAGTAATGTTGAAAGAGTATGTCATCCATGATCTCGCATATTTTCAAATAATGGAGAAAGAATTGCACTTGTAATTCATCCTCGGGTCCCGTGTGATCGTCGACAAAATCTTCTTCCCGGATCATTTCTAAATCGGAATCTTCCAAATTGATATGTGCTGGGCGTCCAAGGGCGGTTGCTACTGACCGATCTCTGATGTATAAAGTCCACCAGATTCTTTTCCAAAGCCTTTTATCTGTGGGACTGAGACGAGAGCCACTAGGATTTCGGTGCATTCCAAATCCTTGAGCGATAGTAGTCGCCAGCCCATTCCAATAGAAAACATTTTTTGTGACCACCCCTGGCTCTTCCCAGTACTGTTTGGAGATAGTTAGTGTTCTAATCAATGGCGCAAATACAAGGTACCAAGAACGTACCCATCCTAAAAGAATAAGTGCCTGAACTATAACGACCCGATCTTCCTCATAATCAGCATCGTAGAGCGCTTTTGCTCTTTTATAAAATATTGTTGCTGCTGGAATGGGTGAACCATTTGCATCCAACAGCATGGATGTAGTGCAAACTCTGGATCCAGCTAATAAGACTGCTTGCATTAATAGTAAGGGAGGCTGATTATCAAGGTCGTGCCAACGTTGCATGAACCACGATTTATTAATGATTGGGATGACCGGAGCTACCCATTTGAAATATGCATCAATCAATTCCTCACACAGATCTCGAGGAGGAAGTTGTAGTGCACCTCGCTTTGCAAGGATATTCATCTCTTCCGGGTTCATTTTCGTAGCCATGCGTTGATTTGCAGCGTCTTCCGGTAGAGGATAGTGCACAGCATCCGTTGTGCCACAATAGTCCTTCATAAGCATTGCCAATGATGATTTTTCCTGTAAGTATGCTACTTTTCCAGGATTTTCAATTGCCGATGAAGAAATTGATGGGCTTATCAATTTGACGTATTGTTCGGTACTATCAGGTTGCTGCTTGATATGGTGACCAGCTTGGAGAATCAGAGAGGCAAAATCATCGTGATTTGAAGCGACTGGCCGAGGAAGCTCATCATCATCATCATTCTTCTCCTCTTCTCCGTCGCCGTTCTCATCGACATGACTGCGCTGCTTGACTCTATATTCGTGTAAGAATACAAAAGCAAAAATTTGAGGGGTAAATTTCAGCAAGATCTTGGTCTGAGTACTGACAATGAACTGGCGGACTTTCTTCTTCCGGCGGACGTTCCTTCCCTGCTCACGTTCTTCTTTCGCGGAGGGATATTGCAGTCCAAGAAGAATGCTTCACAGTTTGTACACTACAAAGTTGTGGAGTTAGTGTTGCCTATTAGGAACCGAACCTGGGGAGGAATAATGAAAATTAGGTGTTTTGCTGTATAGGGAAGTAAAAAGAGTACATGGGACGAAACACAATAATTGCGGGTGGATCAGTGTATAATGTTGAAGTTGGCATCTAAAGCAAAGGAATTGGTGAATTGTGTATACTCACTGGGATTCCGTGAGATCCTGCGTCGCATCGCACCTAGTTCGCGTCAATGATATGCATGGAAGTATGATTCAAAGTTAAATTTCATACCCTTCTTGAATGGCACATCTGTCCAGGAATACCGTTAGTATCGACTGCCATCTAGAGTGATGATGGTACTTACCCCGCATGCTCTACCTGCCCGAGGTCTTCATCTCTATTTAGCAAAGTATAAATAGGAGAAAACTCTATTTACGGAGCCCTACCTGCGAAAAGTTCGACGACATGGTAACGAAGTGGACTTTGTTGACATGTCTTCTGTCTTATTATTTGAAACACCATGATTTCCCAAGTATTCCTCTTCAGAACGATGTTGTTGGTGTTCAGGAGCAAACTGGAGACCAGTCGAGAGATTCATCGTTGAAGAGCTCGTTCTCGAAGGAAAAAGTTTGAGAGATTCTCATGGTATGAAGTCATGATTATGATGAATGAGAATATTATTTGGGGCTCTCCTCAAAATATGGGGATTTCCGATATTAATGATTTCTAATGCTCATATTTAGGTAGGTGGTGGGTTTTTAGTGTGGGGTGTGGGAATAAGAAGAGCTAAGTTCGATATTTGTAACTTCATGCATGTCCCTGAAATTCTTGGAGTGCAGTATAGTGCGGCACAGATACATACCCCTTACTCCCTCCAAAGTTCAAAAACCTGTACGATATACGGATGACAGTATGGGATATCGCGTGGCACCAAGGCTCCATTATTGGCGGTCATGGAGATCGTTTTGACTGCACTATGGATAAGAATTCATCGGATTGTTCTATTATCTTGACTACTTCTTATAAGGTTCAGTGCGTTGAGTTTCCAGTGCGAGTAACTTTAGCCCCGTAATATATATACTGCTCGCACTTGTTGGATAGTAGTAACAATGGAAACTCTAGCTATAAACTGCTGAAGCTCCCTATGCAGTTGGGCTATTCCATAAGCTATTCAAGCAGTCCAATCTTATGCTCCAGATATTTACAAGTCTAGTGCAGTCATTCGGACTATATTGCAACACAGATTAGGTAGCTCACGGGTCTGTAATCTAATGCAAATCGCCTATACTAAATAATCTTGACCACCAAATAGCTCTCGTCGGCAATTTTTTCCTTCTTTGCTATCAGTTTCTCAACATTTCGTGCTGTACATTCACCTTGATCTGCATCGTGGCTCGTGTAGACGCGAATTCAGCCCTTAGTTCAATGTTGTAACCGCAATACTTCCTCGCATCTTACATGCAACCCGAACAGCCCAAATTAGGTGTCAAGTTGACCTGTCCTGTTTGTTATTCGGGGATTAATAGCAATGGTCATCAATTTCACTTCTAGGTGGCAAGACTCTAGAACAAGGTCTCATCATGAAGCCTGAACGGGTAATTTGCATTAATTGATAATTACAGGTTATCTTGATAACCTGTAGGGTATTGAAACTCCTCCAGAGAAAAAGAAGCTAGGGGTAGCGAGGAACTGAAAGCGTGGGCCAAAGACGCAGAGCAAACTAATAAATTTGCAAAGATTTTCCATTCCCACCGACCGAAATATTACTCTGCCTGCCTCCGATCGAACTTCTACGATTTGCCGACTCAGAACGCACTTTGCGCTGTAGGTTCATCGCTCCTCCGTTTCCAGTGCCATCTGCGTCAGATTGATATGTGTAATTGGTCGGTCTGTTCATCTCCGCGGTGTCTCTCGCAACACTATAATGATCAAAGACTTGCTTAATCAGACCATCCACCTCTGATTCACTGATTGTCTCTCCCCATCCAATTGCCAGCCTGGCATCGCATTCCTCGATAAAGTCTTGGACTTTGCGCATCTCAAACTCGTCTTTGCGTAATCGATCGGGCAATCCTTGACTCTTCAGGAGTCCTAGGACTCCAGCTAAACATGTGTTGGCAACTCCCAAAATAGGAACTGCCTGCGGATATGTTTGGGATAGCTGGCCAAATGAAGCGAGGACACCACCGATAAAGAGCTGCGAGAGTATAGAGATATAGTATACGCCTTCCATAAAATGATATTGCAAGGAGAAGTTGCGTTGTTGAATAAGAACGGACTTGTAAATACCGTAGGCATTTCCACGTAGACTTTCGAAGTCAGAGGGCGGAGAATTGGCAGGTGAGGTTATAGGAACATTGATACCGACTGCGAGACGAAATTTCTGGAGGGCAGGTGGAAAGAACGATGCCGTGGATGAGGTGGATGCATGGCGGTGATGTGAAGGAGCGAGCTCAGATAAGAGCGGGGTATTTTCTGCGGACATGTTTAAAGTTGATTGAAAAAAGGACTTACTGCGTAGTCTGATGTGTTAAAGGAGAAGTACGGATACAGAGGCGCGAGAGAGGCTATATATGCATATTGAATGTTCCATCATGTCCCATCATGTCCTCTTGTTGATAGACAGAAAAACAAAGTTCACGCGACTAAATCATGATCGAGTCTGATTCAGTAATTACGACCAAGGGAGGTCGCTCCCACCAGTATCGTGATAAATGATCATTGCCTTCGTTCGTGATCAGACGAAGCTTCCCCCTGATGACCCAGTCTATTGTTTAAAAGAAGGGAACATGAGAAACTCAAGGTCGATGTGAAGCATTTTCATGGTTGAGGTCTTGTCGTGAATAATTGTCGCCTGAACACGCCCGTATTATAGTGTCGGTAAATCCCGACCGAGATCACGGGCAACCTCACCATTTGCCGATTTAACCTTCCTTTCAGATTGTACCTGCTACCATATTATCACAACAACCACGACTTATATCATCTCTCTCCATCATACTTTCAATCATAATATTTCAATACCGATGACTTCGTTTGCCGACGCGGAAAGGACTGGGTCTTGCTGATCGCTCCAAAAAGCAGCCAGCCTCTGATATTCAAATAGTAATTATCAGGACCCTGATTAAAGGAGGCTGCCTGTGGTGAACGTGATCACAACTGGCATGACGAGTCACCGCGTGAATGAAATTTGGACTGGAAATGGATGCGCTCAGGTTTTATTACTCACACATAGGTAGGCAGAGAGATAAGGTTGATTTACACGTGCTCAATCCATTATTCTCATGATTCGATTGTTCGAGGTATTTTGTGTGGTTTATTACCATCTCAGACTTTGCATCGATTTTTTACTACACGATATCGCAGCCCATCTAGTGCTGAACCCATAATAAATAGCTGTTTGAACTTTTTCATCCAGACAAATGAAGAAGTTTCTTTTATTCCGAGCTAATTTTCCAGCTCAGACGCGCTTCTGAGGCGTCGTTTTGCACGTCGAAGGAGTTATGATGTATGATACAAATCAATCGATAGCTCAAGATGCGAAGTCGTATCTCCTATGATTTAGAAAATGGCAGCAAATTGTACTTCAGTGTTTGACAATACCACACTGAAACCTTAAGAAAAGGTTGAAAAATCTATTCCAAGTGTCAACTTCACGCAGCGGCACGCAGAATCAAATCATCTTTATTCACAACACATCTTCACTGGAGCAGTCAAGGAGACAGTATTAAGTCTTGAATATACAGCTCGCAAAACAAAGGTTTCGGCTTCATCAATCTATTGAGAATTGAGGATTAGAGCAACCACAGATTGTGATGTCATCGCCACGGAGCTGGCTATCTACAACGTACGTATTTTAAATGCCCATTATCACCGGAGAATTAAAGTTGGAATCAAGCTCGTGGGTCTCAAGATGATGCGATGAATCCTGGCATATTTATGAGATCTTCTCTCTCGGGTTTCAGATGTGAGATAAGCCAAGGATGAGATATCCACCTTGTAAGGAGGCACAACGCATCGTTTGATATTCCGTCCCATCTTTCATTCTGTTTTGACCCGATATAAATATCATTCTTAAATTTTGATGCAGTTCATCCATTCTTACCCCTTTGCTAAACAATCTGGACGTTCCGGTCATGTTTTGTGTGTGACGCAGTAACAACTCACGTCAGACTTGACAAGATATCATTCTCTATTGCAAGATTGGTAGCAATTTGTTCACACCTCAGATAAAATTTTGAAGCTTTGTTTCCTTCCACTATACTAGAAGATTTCGAGAAGATTTTCTTGTATGTTGGAGGAATTGTCTTTATTGAAATGTAAGTTAAATGTCATAATTTTCTGGAAAGCAGGTTAGCTTGTCAAACGACCCCGCGTTTAGAATACTCCAGACCCCTGAAGGATTGTGCCATTCATATTTCACAGATGTCATCCTCCAATAATGGCTCGTATCACATATTTAGTTCTTAGGAGTTCTGAGTTTCGAACGTACCGCCGCCGTTCTTCGAAATGATATAAAGATTATTGTAATAATTCAAAACTATTTTCTCATTCTTATCCTCACTTACACTCTTTCAGCAGTGCTGCATTTCGCTTCGTTGCTGGCCATTCTTCATTTTACGTTTATAATATGTTCTTTCATTATTAACTTTAATCAAAGTTACTATTCTATTGTCTAAGGACGCGTTTTCTCCCGGAGTCTTGTAACATAAAATCAATTATAACATCATGCGATTTTCATCCTCCTCCCTCGTCTTTCTTGCCTCACACTTCGCGAAGGGTGATTTCATACTTCCCCAGCCAATGAGTCATGTTTCTACTGGCTTTCAAACTCAGATATCCTGGTCTACCGATCTAGTCACTGGCCCAGTCTCTTTATTTCTTGTTCCAGAAGGGGTGCAGGATGCTAGCGCTTCTATATCTGATATTGGGAGTATGTTTACCAAGATCTTTTCACTGCGCATACTCTTAGGGGTCAGCACTAATTGGCTGCATAGCTCAAATTCCAAATGAAGGAATGTATCAATGGGTTCTACGCGACATGCCAAATGCAGCGGAGTCATATTTCTCTATACTGATGGTCGATTCCAAGAATGTTAAAACGTTATCTGGTACCTTTCTCATTGTCGGTCTGCAATCTTTTCAAACAGGTGGTGAACTCCGCAGAAGAGTCAATAGCGATACAAAATCGTCAGATAGTGGCAAGAATGAAGGGTACAAAAAACACAATTCAACGGAAACGAAAACGGTAAAGTCAAAGAGTAAAAAACCTTCGAAGTCTGCAGCTCAGGAGACTAGTTTGCCGGCTTGCAGTGCTGTAGTCACAAAGACCAAATATCTGTATTTGGACGCTACCGACGGGGCTAATACTGAGACGAAAAGCTCAGATGGGTCGGAATCAACCGGCGCTCCGGCATCTTTGGGTTCCAACCTTAAGAGACGGTCTACAGATATCTCCGTCTCGTCTAAGTTTATGAACCTAGGTAAAAAGTTTCCGGCGTCTAATAGTACATCTAGATCAAACTCGACGTTCCAAAATTCTAGTTTGAAACATAACTATGGATTAAATTCGTCTTCTACTTCTGAAGCTGGACCCAAGAAAGGCTATGACTCACAATTCTCGTCGTCTGGTTCTACATCCGAGAAAGGCTCTGGCTCGAAGCACTCAGCATCTAATTCCAACTTGAAAGGCAGCTCCGGCTCAGAGTCCTCATCTTCTGGACATGATTCAAAAGGGACGAAAGATTCATCAGGCTATGAATCTGGGTCTAAAGAAAGCGATGAATATGGACATGGACATGGACACGGACACGGATCTAGCTCTAATGCTAGCTCCGGTCATGAATCCAACTCTACATTGAAACATACCTCTACACAAACTGATTGTACGTTGGTAACCTCCACAACTATCATATATGTGTCGTCTAGCAGAGATACTCACACTCAAGAGGTATGTATGATTTTACCACCCTCCTATATATCTTTTACTCATTTAGCTTCTCCATACATCATCAACTATTCAAAAATTGACTAATGGGCTCACAGACCAAGACATACAAATCCAACATCAATAAAACCACCTTGACACAGACCAACACAATCATCAGCACCGCCTCCGAATCTCTCTTCTCCATCTCCACCCCCGCAACTCTGGCATCATCATCCATCTTAGCATCGACCTCCACACTAGCCATCTCGACAATTTCCCCCGCCGGTATATCCACAATAGCAATAAGTACGGTTCAGACCACCCAAGTCTCGATTCTCGCACCTCCCGAGTCGCTGCAATCTACTCCCCTCTTCTCCGCCTCAACTAGCATTCCCTCAATTACCTCAATCACTACACCTCCATCTCCCATGCTCACCTCCCCGGAAACCACAATTATAGTCAGCTCTCCCAATACATCCAGTATACAAAGCACAGCAACCACAATACCCACACCCAACATACCACCAACATACCCATCCATCACAAACTCACCCACTCCACCCCCGTCTCCATCCCTCTCCTCCCAAACCACAACCACAACCTCATCCGACATCCAAACCACCTCTCTCCCCCCCGTAACACTCACAACCCTCTCTACCTCCACCACTCCATCTGCAGTATACAATCTCACGATTCAAAGTGCAACGGGAACTGCGCTGTCTGTTTTTACTGGGGGTGGGGGTTTGCGTTGTGCGGGTTCGAGAGAGGGATTTGTGATGTGGGTGGGAGTGGGGGTGGGGGTTGTGGGGTGTGTTTTGTGAAGAGGGGGAGGGGAGGGGAAGCGGTGGCAGGGAATAGGTATGAGTATGAGTATGAATATGAGTATAGAAGTATGTATTGTAGAGTTGTTTATGTGTTATGATTCTTAGGGTTACCGAGGTTATGTATTATAATAATCAGATAAATGATCTATCACGTTGACCGGAGTATAATATGCAAAATCGCAATCACTTCTGAACATGTTAGATTTTCCCATGATGTCAGTTATCGTGTACACGACATAGTTGTATTTCACTAGAATCTACTAAAAACAAGATCGGAATCTTTTCCAATTAGTGTGCATATAGCCCTGATGTGAGAGACTATGTTCTACACCTAGGTAGGTAATCAACGCTAATCCAGTACGTATGCTAAGACAAAACCTTCCATGAGAACATGAATCTCAATGCTAGATCAATCGTCCTATATTTAGTGAGCAAGACATTCGATTATCAAGACGTTCAAGATTTCTCTACTCGGAAACGTAAAACCATGTGTCCATTCAAGTCCAGGTTAACAATCACCTCCGAATTATTGTGCAGCAGATTCTGCGGAACAAAAGTCTCTCGGAAAATTGACCCCAAAAATCATCACCTCCACATATTCCGCCACTTTGAGAGCAATATATTCCTTTTCAATTGTCCTTCTTGCCGGAATCACTATCAGGTAAAGACACCTTGAGATTCACCGGGGATATTATAGCGTACAGCATGGCCGTATTCAGCAAAGATGTATCAGTAACTACCGGCCTGATAAGTTGCTTTGATTCTTCGAGAACGAACTGGACGACCTTGCATGGCATAAAGAGAAGCCTTCTTCTAGCCGTTTCCGGGAGGAGTCTAACGAGCTAGCGTGACAACCATCGTGCGTCAAGTGGGCGTGAGGATTTTGCGATCGACTCAAGGAAGGAGAGTCGCAAGGATGTATTCTTTTCCTCAACGCCTTCATTTGAATGAGAGAAAAATTTCCATACATCTACCAAAGAAAAATGCGCATGTTTCCTTTGAGATACAGTGACCGTGAGCGTCCGTCATAGTATAATAATCAGAGTGGGTAGCTTCTTGTCGGCTCGAAACTAGTCTAGAAGGCCAAAAGTGCATGATTATTTCATGTTCGATGGTGTCGTTTGTGCGACCGACGGGTAAAGTTGAAGTAGATGGAAAATATCATTGACGAAAATTGTTGTATCGGAGTTTCGAAGGTCTGAATGACTGCTGAAGAAGTATCAGAGCTCGAGTCCTTTTACAAAAACTTGACGCAAGGAGTATGCATGACCTGAGTCTTTTCAAGTATCCAGTCACAACGCCCATTCGCTATTTCCGGGTAGAACATACGAGTAAGCAAGGAGACTTGGTTCGTGGTTCTCTGGGTTGTTCCCGGCGTATCATCACTGTGAAATCCATCGGTATTTATTTTTTAAATTTCAAAGCGAAGGCGATCCACAGTCCATCGAATCAATCTGGATTCGTTCAGAAACAAGGCGTTTCCGTGGCCACCGCGGGCCGTCGTAATAAGGATCTATTCGTTGGACCATTTCGAAAACCTGGGCAAGCTTTGTGTACTGTTGGATAGCCTCTGGGAGTCTGATTCTACTTCTACTGAGCGCTCCGCCAGAGGGAGCGCGTGTTCTCCTATAGTCTCCTCCCATTGCTGATTCGATTTCTCGGTTATTGCCTTGGATACTGGGCCTGCGCCGTCGACTTTGGAGAGTACAGGTACGTTGTCTCGCTTGACACGAGGCTTTGCATTTTTCAGTCCACTTTCCTCTCTCCAATCATATCCTACTCGCACAACCTCTACCCAATCATCTTTTGCAAGATCACCATCTGGTGTTTCTACGACATCCCATTCACCGTTGGATCGAACCCAAACGACCTTATCAAAACATTCTGGGCAGAGAAGGCCTTCGTCTGTGAGAACTTCAACTTTACGAGTACAGGCTCGAGGGTCTTGGTTGTAGAGAGGACATCTTGTTCGTCGGAAGGGACGGTGATTGCAGTTGATGTAGGTGGAGAAATAAGTAGTACACATATTGCCACGATGCTGTCGCAGAAGTATTTACGATGTGACAGCTTTCCTTCTATGGATCGCGAGGAAGTTGCTGATATGAATCTCTTGTGAACGTTATCAGATTAATGTTAAAATTGTCGCAAGAGCTGGATAAGGTACAGCCTTGAAGTGACGATGGTGAAGGCGAACTTGTGAAAGCTAGAAACGAGCAAAAGCTATTTGGTCACTAAATATGTATAGCTACTCCTAACGATTCGTCAATGTTGTTGCCTCAGAATAGTATATGTCGTAGATAGATGAATGGTGGAAAGGTTACAGTTGAATACCATGATACTAATTGAAGCACTAGATTAGCGCATTTGAGCACGCTTAACCAATGTGACACATGATTCAGATGACCATTTGTTCAATGGGAAACTGATGACCCAGTTAATTAACACAGCGCTCACCAAATATGAGGTCTTGATTAACTATATATTAATGAAGATGTGGGATGAAATTCATAGCGACAAAATCTGGGATATTCCTAGCTGGAGTCTGTGATGGATGGATAATAGTCTCAAGGAGGGTTGAGGAAGTGCAATGACGAATGATGATTCAAATGAACTGGAGAAGTCTGTGCCATTTGATCTTATCTTGATCTTATCTCATTGTGCTTACTCGTATGTGTACTCCGTCATTGATGCTCACCAGCTAAGATAACATGCAAGGACGGGAGTTCGTTATCATTTCTCCGGCCAGTCCCAAGCCAGTCTCAGTCACTAGACAGCACGCTACGCGTGACCCTGCGGCCGCTAGTTTATCTTGGCAGCCTCGGTCCATGTCTCGCAACTTCCTGTCACTTCAATCTTCGGCATTTACCTATTTTGGTTTGATGATCTTTGAGAACAATTGACACAATCTTTGAGGAAGGCACGGTACAGGTGGTTACCTACGATTTGTTAAATATGGCAGACGATCTTTCTTTACCACGATTGATAAGAGATAATACAAATTCTACTTCAACGTTCACAAAAACAAACTTGTCGCGAAAACGCGTCCGCGATACACCTCCTCCTGATTCAAGCGATCCTCCAATATTTTCTAGCGACGATGACCCCTCAGTAGAGAAATACTCACAGAAAAGGACACGACGGAAGCAAAAATTTAGAGGACCTTGGTTTGATCAACAGCTAGCTTCCGATTCAGCCTTTGAGGACGAGCCTTTAGACCGCAAAGTTCCCATAAGAAACAAGAGAACATTGAATAAGAAAGTTGACAGCGGGGTATTTATGGGTAGTGATGGTACGGACATGGAAGATTCAGTCATGGAGAACGGAAAGAAGGCATGGCCGATTCCCGCGCCATCACCTCTCAAATCAAGAATTGTAGTCGATACTCCTAGGGATATTCATGCACAGAAAAGGATTGAAAAGTGCCTTGAAGATGGAGAAGAATACGTTGATCTATCGTAGGTAAAAGCCATCTCTCCTCACAGTTCTGGCTAATTATCATCAGTCGTATGGGTCTTGATCATCTTGAAAACTCCACAATACGGCCCTTGGGAACTTTCGTTAAAACCGCACGCGGTTATGCCGTCGAACCTCATCTGAGGATAATCCTTTCGGCCAATGAGCTAGTCAAACTTCCCGCCGAGCTATTCAACCTAAATCGATTATCTACACTCAGTTTACGAGGCAATAATTTGGAGGAAATACCACCCAGAATCGGAAACTTGAAAAGATTAGAAGACCTAAATATTGCTCAAAACAACCTGGGATATCTCCCTTTTGAAATCCTTGACCTTCTTGTCGGCGGACTCAACTCGATACCGGTAAGCGACGTCCAATTCACCAAGCCTTGGGCAAGTGCGCGCCAAACAATGAAGTCGTGATTTTAACAAAACTACCACGCTCAAAATAACCACTAACAACGCCTCACAGATTGATTCTGACACACAGCCATTATCTGAGAGTGGCAGGACTGGAAGATTATATGATTTCCAGCTACATCCGAACCCATTCTACCTCCCGATGGCAAGACCCGAGAGCACTGCGAATGGCGCACCACATTTTGAGATTGATCTACAGCGCCAATCACCATTAATCTTCCCGTTGTATCCCACTGCGGAAGATACTATATCTTTACCTCGAAATCGTGATACACCCGATCATATATTTCACCAGTGGCATCAAGGCACTTTACCTCGCCCGAGCACACCAATCTCGGGTGGCGAGAGGTGTTCCTTGTCATATCAATATAGAACAGAAGTCAGATTCCTTGACGCTTTTGGACAGCTTATAAAAGGTCCTATGTTCCCTTCTGATCCTCGGTGGAATGGGAATGACGTGGGAAGGCAAATCCAACTGCCCATTGCAAGCCTGGGCGATATCCCGCAACCCCCTGCGGTACAGTCTCGCGTCCAGAGTCTGGTAGAGAAAGCTTTACAGGCTTGTATTCGTCATCCTGAACTCACACGTCTCGAATCTCACATGGAATACATTCCTCCTCGCATTCCATCGGTACTTCGAAGAGCAGAAAACGTCCATTATTCTGGGCCAACCTTATGTACTATTTGTGGCACCAGTTTTGTAGTTCCTCGCACGGAATGGATAGAATGGTGGGAGATTGAAAAGGTATCCAAGAGAGATCGTATGAACGCGGCTTCAGCGTATGTTCCTACACCCAGACGTGTAGTTAATGAGAGGGATATTGTTGAAAAGTTGGTACCTTTGATGCGGAAAGGCTGTAGTTGGTCATGTTTGCCAACAGTATTTCTAGATGGCTTAGATCAGCCTTCCAATGTCGGTGAAGACGACGCCAAAACTGATATGAACATAGACGCCAATTTTTAATTTATTATTGTACATGGATTGGGACTGCTATAGGGGGTATCTCGTCAGCGTATATATCTTTCAAATGCGACAAATTTTGCGCACAGATTACCTTTCTTTGCTATTGCATTGAGAAAACTTCGATTTGACTTTTAGCATGGCCCTACTGTCTCTAGTGATTTAGAAGTCGACAGGCCGTGTGCTGAACGCGACGCAATTCGCTGGAACGTTTAAGGTTAACTCGGAAGTCTTATTCCAGTTTCAACTTTCCTCAACTCTAGGCGCATGGTCTCTTGCGTCATCTGATGCGACTCGACAGATATCAATTGTTAAAGTGGTTGAAAATGGAGGTATATATGCTATATTTCTGACCTTGAAAATTCCTGATCAACTGCTTTCAATGTTCCACGGATCGAGGAAGTTGATACCTTCAAGACGAGGTTATTCGTATGATCGATATCCAGACTAGAGGCGACAAGGCTAGCTCTTGGTTCTCACATTCTTCGAAAGGTAACAAGATACCCCGTTAAAAGAGCCATAACGACCGAAACTGTCGTAAGATAAGTCACGGTGAGCCACAATGATCGAGTTCGCAAGAATATGCCTAGCTGACCAAGGAGTGGGGAGTGCTTTCGCCTATTGACTTGATAAATTTTAGGTGAGTCTCAATGTCGGATTTTCAGCTAGCTGACGGCAAGATTTTAGTTTTCTCATGAAGAACTTCAGCTGTGAAAATCTCTTGTGCACCTATTTCTTTCTTATGCGAGACCTTCTGCTGCGAGCGATGATCAACGGAATATAAGCCATTCCATTTTCATTTGTTTTGAGTGAATGGATGGATTTTGTTCGAAAACGCGTGATCAAAAAGCACTGACCACCTCAATCGACCACTAGGTGGGATGAGCAAGACGGCAGGCAGGTGACTCGTGAGTTACATTGCTCTGCCCTAAGAAAAGAAAAGACCACTGCACGGGACGTATTTCTGTTGTGCACTTCCATTATGCCCCTGACCGACATTCTGGATGTTCACCGGCCTGAACTCAAGTCTTATGAAGCGTTATACAAACACTTCCACTCAAACCCCGAACTTTCCAACCAAGAGATAGAAACATCGACCGCCATTGTCAATCATCTTTCCGCAATCTCGTCAGACTTTGACATTAAGACAAACATTGGGGGTTATGGTGTTGCTGCGGTTTTTCATAATGGTGCCGGCCACATTGTGCTCTCACGAGCCGACATGGATGCTCTTCCTATAGAAGAACGAACTGGTCTCCCATATGCTAGCACAAAGCGAGTCATTGATGTTCATGGCAAAGAGCAACCAGTGATGCATGCATGTGGCCACGATATGCATATTACATGTCTTTTGGCATATGCTGAACTTATGGTATCGGCGCGGCAATCATGGCATGGAACTATTGTTCTTATCTTTCAGCCTGCCGAAGAACGTGGTACGGGTGCTCAAAGTATGGTCGACTATGGACTTTACGATCCTGAAAGATATAATATTCCTATTCCTGATGTAGTGTTCAGTGGGCATGTCGTTCCAGCCCGAGCTGGTGTCATTGGTATCCGAGCCGGTACGATGGCTGGTTCTTGCGACAATTTACGTGTGACTTTCCATGGTCGCGGTGGACATGCTTCCATGCCTGAACGTCTGATAGATCCTATTGTCATGGCGTCCAGTGCCGTCATGAGGCTACAAACGCTTGTGTCTAGAGAGGCTCATCCTAGTGAACATGCAGTTGTTACATGTGCAAGTTTCATTTCTGGCTCGACGACTGCAGAAAATGTGGTTAGCGATGATGCGACAATCACAATTGACATTCGCGCAAATGACGAGACTACAAGACAGAAGCTCTACAATGGAGTTCTACGGATTGTCAAAGCTGAAAGCGCAGCGTCCAATGCAGTCGTCGAACCAACAATCACTCCTACAAGATCGTTTCCCGTAACCTACAATAATGCCTCCGTTACTGAAAGAGTGGGCAAAGCTTTTCACGATCACTTCAGGCCTGGCGATGAAACTTATGTTGCAGACTATCCTAGGCTTAGTTTTAGTGAAGATTTCAGCATCCTTGCCTCTGCTGTTGAAAGTCCATCTCTTTTATTCGCCTATGGTTGTACAGACCCCGAGAAAGTTGACCTAGCCCAAGAAAAAGGGACATTGACGGAGAGCATACCGGGAAATCACAGTTCTCTCTTTGCTCCACAAATTTCTCCCACAATGCAAGTAGGTATAGATGCATATGCTTTGAGCGCTTTAGCATGGCTGTCAAAAGAACAGGAGAAGAAATAGATAGCAGCTCAGGAACTTCAAAGTGGGAACGGCAAGAGGGACGCATCTGAAGACCATATGGATATCACTCAGGCCTATACATGTGTAAATGCTCTAAAGTTTGATTAGATGTGAAATAAATCGTCTGCGCCTCTTCATGCTTTGGATGGTCTTCGTTGACTACGAGTGCATCACGATCTGATGATCTGTCTTCTCTAGTTTTTCAAGCTGGACATAGCCGCGCAGAGAGTGTCCTTCCTATAACCATTTGCTTCCCGTGTGGTGGAAGGTCAGATCCAAGAACTTCTTATCATTCAATAAAAATCTTGTTTATGTGACAACGGTCTTCACTTCATATCCGTAATATCGGAAATTTCACGTTTTGAGAACTCCACTTTCCGAGAATCACAAACGCCTAGAATGGAAATTTGGAAGAAAATATTTAAGTAAACGCAAAAACACTGTTTTCGCTATCGGTCAGTAGTAGATCACCGCAAAATGCCTTTATGAAAGCTTCACCCATGCTTCAGTTTCCCCACTCAATTTCGATTGGTACTCATGGAGCAAGAGTGACTAAAATCGCAACCCAATCCTTCATGCGATCATACCCATTCATCTGGCCCTCCACGTAATACTGCTTAAATAGCATATCCTCATTCGCCGCCTCCCACCGAACCCTCACATAGACCCAGGCAAAATTCCCCACATCATCATCAACTCTCTCCCAACCCAAAGTGATCCACCCATTCTTGGCTTCAAGGACGAAACCAGAAAGACGAAATTCTGGACACTTTTCACCTTCCCTAGCAGTGCCGCATAGTTCTACCGCGTCGTCGACTTCGAATGCAGTGCGTGTCCAGTGTTTGCCTTCGTTGATCGAGAGGTGTCCGTGTAATATGTATTCCATGCCAATTTTGAGTTCAGCTTCTCCGCGTCCGATTAATATATTCTGGTCTTCTGGCCATTGTGGGATGGAGAATTTGTAAGCCCATGGTTGCCCTTCGTGGATGGTAAATTTTTCCCCGTTGTAGATGTCGATGAGGGTTGCGTTGACAACGAGAGCGATGTTTGTATCGTTGTTTTTGTTGTATACGGCGTCTTCCATATTGTTTTGAAGATTGATAGACTGTGTCTTTTAGATCTGGGCTATGGGTCTCTTTTGGAATGTTGTGTTTGGTTGATGTGGATGGTCGAGCTATGCGAAAAGAGCTTGGCGTTCCATTCACCTCGTTTATTTTGTTTGCTTGCATATCATCCCTACTTCCATAAAAGAATCGGGATAAGGATTCACTATCTTCGGCATAAGCCGTCTTCGTAAAATGTAGGGATTTTTAACGGTGAAAAATTGTCGTCTGCAACTTTCAGTTGACTTACTCTAATGTTGATGATTCGCAAAATATTAAAACCGTGGAGGAACTTGAGCAGAATGCCATTCACGATTCAATGGAAAGCAAATCCTGCTTTGTAAAAGTTAATCATAATCTTGGAAGCTCTATTAAATATCACCCCGTATCTATAAAAGAGCTCCACATGTTCTCGTTCACCTTCAAATCTTGAAACTTGTATCAACAAAGATATACACTCAGTAACCGCCTGAATAAAATTGAACACACTTCAAACATACCCCTTTCCTCACACATATCCCTCAAAATTGGGTATCATGGCTTCTGAAGCACCACCTTCTGGTCCTGGCCGTGGCGTCAGCCAACTTTATCCAACAGCTCCTGTGGTGGGCAGAGAATCGCAAGCACCATCCGCTTCCGCCTCTGCTCGGAGTAACAACCAGCTTCACCCACCCACTAGTCGCTCTCCATCCCAGGCTCCTAAGGTTCTCTCTAAAGCACCATCTTCAACTGGTCAAAATCAGTCTCGCCATCTATCGGTAAAACCTTCTCAAGCTCCAACTATTATAGATCCAACTCAGACTACATATACTCAACCGACGATTAGACCCTCTCACGCTGCAACTTTGAGGGGCGCATCTCAAGCTCCATCCCACCAACCATCTACCAGACCTTCACATGCAGCAACTCTCAGAGGTCAGTCCCAAGCTCCATCCTCTTACATACCATCTCGTGGTACCATCAACTACACCCCCACATCCCCTCAAACTTTAGGCCGTGGACCTTCCTTAAAACCATTTGACAGCACCACCGAGCTTCAACGCAATGTTTCTCGAAAACCCACAATAATGTTGCAATCGCCATCTAATCGTCAAACATTTCTCCAACGTGACCCTAGCATTTCCCAACCCACATTACTCAACCGAGACCAATCCAAAATACCCTCATCTATGTCAACCATTAAAGAAGTCAGCATCGCCCCCTCTAAAAAAATTGAAAACATGTCCAGTATTCGCAGTATCCTTCACACTCCCAATGATATCCAAATGGCCAGTCGTCAACCCACAATCAACAATATGAAAGGTGCGGAGCGCGAAGAACAAGAATCCTGGGCCTTGGGAAAACTCGGAAAATTAAATACTGGATGTCCACAAAACTATGGATGGTCTCGTAGAAGTGATGGGTATATATGTGATGGGGGAAGTCACTATATTACAGACCTGTTGCTTGCGGAGGGAATGGGTGGAATGTTTGTGGTGAAGAATAAACATGAGTGGCAGGATAGAAGCCAGGGTCCGTATTATTGGGTTGGGAAGAATGCAGAGGGTAAGAATCTCTTTTCGAAGAATAAGGATTCTAAAGTTGTTTAGGGAGGTTTTGAGGGTACTTTTGTATGATATAGGCAGACTGGTCTCGTGTGTATTGGAGTAATCGATGCCTTTCCCACTTGTTTAAAGAACATGAACTGGAATTCAAGGTCAAATGAAAATGAACATTCACAAGTGTATGAGGCTATGAGACGACACATTGGGCATTTCAGTACTTCGAGACTCGAGTGTATACCAAGGTTCTTACCAAGCCAGAACCAAGTATCTGTGTGTGTCATAGTTTTATTTTTCCCACCCCAATGTGAGGGGTTGATTAGTCCTTTAATATTGAATCCGATTTTCGTTTCGAGGTGAAGTATTTTATGGGAACACTTTGCGTCCCGAAACTTCTCATGCTCTTTTCTTCTTCGAACTGCTGTATCCTTGTCTTCAATCTCTCGTTTTCAGTCTTCAATTTGTTTATTTCCTCCTGCAACGAACCCGCCCTAGGAGCATCTCCCTTTGGCAGATGCACAAGTATCGGCATATTTTCTTTCGGTGGTATCGAGGGATCAGCTACCGCTCCTGATATGTTTTCCCCAGTTCTCATCACCGTAGTTAATGTACCCTCTACTTCCCTTTCTAGATAGTTCATCTGACCATAAATTGCCTTGATTTCCTTCTGCAGCGTTGAAGTTTCTTCCTGTAAGATAGGCATACTTTGAATTTTTACCCGGGTCATCTTTTTTCTCATCTCTGCAATCTTAGTCGAAAACATCTTGCTTAAAATCTCTCTAATCACCCGGAAATGGCACGCAAGATCATGTCGAATTTCAGGTGAAAGAGGCAAGTGATCTGAGATCTCGACTGTGAACAGTTAGATTCATAAAATATTGATGATGAGATTCTCGTGTAACACACTTGCATACTGTCCTCTCACTGTTCTTTCAACACTAACGCAATCTGCACACTTATCTCCAGGACCCTCTTCACCATCTCGATGACTGTCGTGCGGTACAAAGACTACGTGTCCGTATTTGGAATAAAAACAGCACCGGCATTGACATTTCGCTGGTTGAGCGATATCGCATTTGGATGAGGTGAGACATTCTGTCAGAAGTTTGACTAACTTGTCAGTTTGCAGTTCCTCTTATTGCTAAAGACTTGAGAGCTTACGTTCAAGATCTCTAGACTCTTCCCCGAGCTCAACAGCGATGGGTAATGTCAAATTCTTCAAATAATGTAAGTATCATATCAGGAAAATTATCTTGTAAGGAACTCACGTTCTCAAAATCATCGCTCATGGCTCCAGCAGTTTTCTGCCTTTTCGACGGCGGACCCTCACATGAATCATCCTCATCGCACAAATAATTCATTTTAGATACCATGAAATCCTAGACCTGGTAGTGATAACAATATGTTTTTTCTGAGGTAACTGCAAACAATTTTTTTAAAACCATTCTCGCGGATGAGAAACAACACACATATTTCCTGCGTTTGAAACAACCCGACGGATATCAACATGGAAGAATTTGAAGACCAATCAACAGTGACCAAGAAGAGCCGAGTTGAGCCCGCTGCAAGCCTTTGTGTAACAGTGCATGATGTAAGTTCTGGACCGTGGAATAGATTGGACTTCTGAGTCAGCATATCATGATGTAAACAAGGCGGCTTGAGGTTAATTTTTTGTAACATCTTATTATAACATTGCAAAAATTTGCACAAAGCAATTTTCTCATAGATCTCCGTTTTCTTGAGCAAGTTTAAACGAGTTTCTGCAACCCTCTAGTCAGCTTTCATTGCCACAAAAAATTAAGTCGCCATACTCAGCCCCTTTAAAATCACTCCTCATAGGTGGGTAGTCAAGTATCTTTCTGAATTCGTGTGCCTTGAACTTCGACCTCTTTTTTCATTAATTAAGCTTCATATTTTTGCCGAGATAGTATACTTTGCGTGTTCGTAGCAACTAAGCTTCCACTGAAAATTTGTTGCTAATGCGAAATCAGAGCCGTGGAATTCGATACTCAGAAGCAAATTCAAAATTTCCTGCTAGGCTCCAGTTCTCTTCATTTACGGGATCATGCATAGTTCTGGCTTTTTGCTTTATTTGACACAACAACCTCGAACATGGCCGTTCAAGTGGAGGACTTACTTTTCTACAAAGTCAACGATCGATGATGCAATTGTCGAATCAAGGAGGAACTAGAGAATAATCAGCCCCCATCAGGCGTATAATTTTATGTCAAGTTGGTAATTGAGAGGATCGAGATCTGGAGTCATACACTTGAAGAATAGAGTCTCTCATGAGGTTGCCATTGAAGTAAAGATAGAGCATCAGTTTGCAAAAGCCATGGAAACAAACTGTAACAGTGGCCGGCAAGCTATCTATCTCAAAGTGGTGATAATCATCTCAATTAGACCAGGCGTGTGGTGACTCATTCAATTGCAGGAAAAAGAATCATGGACCTCGCTTTCATCCGAAAGACGCAGTCGAATCTGGTATGAGACCCAGAACAGACTACAGTTATCCAGACAGCGACATACATTCCAAGAGAGCAATGGTCTCTAGTACAAGGACGCATCTATATGTCACAAGAGTAAAGGTTCCCAGCTGATCCTCGGGATTGTAACACCGAGACGTACTGTGAGAAATTCACATTTCAAACTCCATGATAATCAACAGATCAAAAAGGAATGCTCGCAAGTAGTGATAACGGAGGCATGGTACAGCTCATAATCGTGGTGATGTCAAAGGGAGGAATAATTCATACACGTAAAAGTAGCTTACTGCAATGTGATCCCAATCAATTTGAGTTTTCGTGAAAGAAGATTATCGCATCATGAGTGCTGACTGTGAACGTCGTGGGAAAGAACGACTGGAAGACGCCACCTCATCAAAAGCTTGTTTGAGATTCTTTTCATTCGTAGCCAACAACAAACGCTTGACAGAGATTACGTCTCTACATTTAGCCTACATCTGCGCGCATGGGCGGTAAAGTAATTCAGAAACAGAAAAGGTAGACGCCATCATTCCGACTACTGCGACAGCAATGTCTTTTGCTAATGCACCAGTCTCGAATAGCTTGATCATGACGGCATTCTCACCTATCTCAAGTGGTCTCAAACACGAGGTCCTTGAGTCACCTTTCAACCCCGGCGATGGGTCAAAGGGATTGAATACTAAGATCAGTGCGTCTGATCAGAATACTGGGGCCAAAGTAAAAAACTTGAGCCCCGAGTTTTGTCCTCAATCCGAAAAGCAAATTGTCTCTGGAGTGCGAGTCCGTGATTTTCAGAGAATAAAGGAACTCGATGACTTTATAGCTTCTGCTTTAGCGCAATTTCCAGTCGATGAATTCATCAAAAGGTTCACTGTGGCAAAAGGGAAATTGCAACAATTTTACAAATATAAGACTCAAATTGATGCTGACCAAGGTAAGTTCTTAAATTTCCAAGACGACTCCAACACTTTGCGTTCGAACATTAATCTGAAGTCACCTCAGGTAAAGAGATTAACGACAACATCGAGATTATGAAAGTAGAGATTCTGCAATCAAAGAAGGTTCTTTCTATATTAATGGAACAAACCTGTGCTTTTAAGCAATTGAACAAGGACTTTCCGGAGTGCAAAGTGGAGGAGTCAGTAATATTCGAGAAACAATACGTTGTCGATCAATTGCAGAAGGCAAAAATGAAACTAGAAGCACTGGAAATGATGTGCGTCAGGCTTCATAACATGATCGATCAATGCTCGAGAATATTGGGAGGAAGATGGGATAAGTATTAGAGCAGGGAAATCGACACTCTGAGACTTTAAAGATTGAAGGCAAAGTTAATATACAAGCCTCTTACGAGTGATGTGAATTAGCAAGCAAGACGACTACGATTGAACGCGGACTTACATATTCTCCGGCTTTTATAACTTGCTTTTTAGATCAGCAATAAAGGTCTATTTGTTGATAATTGAAATTTCGAGTACGTTGACAACGTGCAATGCAAGTAATGGTGACGATGGAAGGGAGAAGAAGAATGAGTTTGAATTGATAGATTGGTGATTACTAATGACATCAGGTGACGAAGAATCTGCTAAATTGCAGGCACTTGCAGCCTTTCTGGCCCCGAATTACAGGGGTTGTATTTATCCTATTCGAACCCTGACAAGACGTGATTAATCACCTTGATACCAGCAGGATGAATACAGTCAACAACTTCTATTTATGTTCATATCCTCAGTCAAAGTGCCGCCCGCCATGCTTCCATAAATCATATAATAAGTTGTCATTTGCCCAACGAAGGCAACTGTAACCAGACATCTGACCATTCATAACATCTCCGAATATACTCAAAGACAAGATTAATTATGGCTAGAAGCCAGGCGCCACGACTGATGGCCCCTACATCATGGATCACAATTCAGATACCCGTTGATAAAAATATCTCAGATAGCAAATCGGAGGAAGGAAAGAAGTGGCTTGAAATCATTAAACCGCTTACAAAGGATTCACAGCCAGATTTCGAACACGGAGTATGGGGTCGATTGATTGAACGACCTGAAGAAGTTTGGCTCGTTACTAGTTGGGAAACGTTTGAAGCTTTGCAAAAATTTGAGGAATCAGATGTATATGAAGGACAATTGAAAGCAATGAGAGAGCTTTCAGAGGGAAAAGAACCAATCATTACGCATGCTCGACTATCAGGCGACTTCTGGATCATGTTGACTGATTATACTGGGGTTACGGATGTTTATTTTCCAGAGGACATAGAAGACGACGAGAAGAAGAGGATTCATGACTTGAAGGGGTTAACTTACTTCTTTGCGCCCGGAAAGAAGTCAGGTAAAAGTGCATACAACGGAAAGTCAATCAAAGGCTGGATAAGTGAGCCCGTTGAGTTTAAGGAGAATCAAACCAGGGTCATGAGGTATCTGCATTACTGGAACAGTAAAGAAGGGAAAGAAGAATTCAAAGCAGAAGCTGGATTTGTCACCGAAGCTGGAGAATCGAAGAACATATTCAGTGAGTGGGTGGCAGGCCTAAAAGATGAGGGGATGCTGGGGATGGAAGAAGTGCATTGCAAATTTGATACTATTCCTTGGAAGTTCTGGGACTATACGTCTGAAGAGGAGAGAGACATGGCGGAAATGGATGCAGAGGAGTAGATGACGGCCAGTGTTATCAGTAACTCAGTTGGGCTTCCTCAGGGCGTGTGCCGCTGAACGTCACTATGATTTAGTGATCGTTTTGCCTATATGTTCACTTCAAAGGCTGCCGGTGTAGAGGAGCTACGCTCATACTGTCGTTCCTACAGACGATTGGCAAATAACCAATAGATCAATGTGCACCTTCATACCTTTCAGCTCAAAAGTCATAGCATCAAAAGCGTTTGGTGGTAACTGCGTCTATCAATTGCATCTGATGTTGCTCTTTAGTATGCTTTTCTCTCCACACCGTTGGAAAAGACGGAGGAACTTAATGAGGTCATAAGTATAGAACTTCTTAAACGGGTCACTGATACAGCGTCTCGGAAAGCAATTGCGGTAGGATTTGGCCATGCATAACTCCCCCAACCAGTATACGCAATCATTCGTTACACATTTATTGTCATGTTAAGTGGGGAATTTATTCAACTTCTCCAAAGTTCGATCTGGAAAATTGAAAGTTGTCCGTAGATAACTTCAGATCAACTGGCACTGGCGAGTGTAAGTAAGAGCAATTTGAATCTACGTGGCTATTTTACATGTTTAGCACCTTCGAAATCAAATAATTGATTGACCAGTGTAAAATTGTCAATTACGAGTCGGAACATTTCTCATGTATACACATGAATTCGAATCCATGTCTTGTACTTCTCTGTGTTTTCCTTCCAAAACTATGTCTATGCCTGCGCAAATCCGCTATGCCATTTATAACTTGGGTTACCGTTATTGGTGAGATAGTAAGACCACGCAAAGAACGCATAAGAGTTTGGATTGACTAGACTCTGGGAACTTTGCTTGTTGACCGTTTGAGCTAAGCTTTCAGTTGGTTTGGCTACAGAGAGTTTTGTCAGCTACACAAGTCAACGTCAGGAAATCAACTTGACTTACTGGCACTATCCGGGGTATCATCAGCACCCTGTCCAAATGTCAAATGGATCAATTCATGGAAAAGTGTCAATGATCTTGGAGAAGCATCATCAAGACCAGTGCCAGCAGTTTTTGCCTGGGCCGATGCCATAGCAGTAGCTATGGTCTCATATGGTTCCGAATCTGTACTGAATGCATCTGGGCAAAGCGTAACGACGTCACGATAAAGGTTCGTATTTGTAAGACCAAATCGTAGTTCCTTGGGCGACAGTGACTTTCCTCTACACCACGAGAGTGGGCTTCCAGGATATCGATTCGCCTTGGTTTCTATAACGTAGTCATGCAGATCAGAGGAATAGTATGCATATTTACTCCAATTTGGAGATGTGCCTAATTGCATGTCTTTGATCAAGCTATTCGTGCTAGCATCGACTGAGCCGGCGAACGTACGAAAATTGGCTTGCTTGGAAGCGTCTTTTGGATCCGCAACTGGTTTTCCCGTGGGGTCGTATATAAGTTCTGTTTCTTCTTGCCATGTAGAATCATAGAAGAGCCATAGCTTTCCTGTACCATCTCCTTCTACAGTGAATCTCGTGTTCTGTCTGCTGAGGAATCTCTGGACACCTTGCAATGTGTCTATTTTTGTGTTAATTAAAATCTTTATTAACAGACAGGTATGAAATCTTAATGATTTTCTGGCCTTGAAAGAACAATCACTTACTTATAACGGTCGTGAGTTTACCATTGTCTGAAGCGTGCACCTTGCCAGATTTGGTAGGCCTGATGCCAAAATAGGCGAAAAGATTATTCCGTATATTCTCATCGGTTTGGTAGGTATTAATACCGCCCAGAGCAGCATCGACAAGGAGAGCAGTATCATCAAGCCAATTTTGTATAATGGCCTTGTTTGCACCAAGACCCCCAGGTCCTGTCATTTTGGTGTTGAAGAGGGAATCGATAGTCACCGCGTTGCACAACCCAAGTAGGGTAGGCACTATCAGGTATGTAGAGAATCTCATTATGGAAGGGAAATAATGCGCATGCCAAAAATGAATGTAGTGATTTCAAAAGAATGACTTGAAGGGGACAACGAAATGAAATGCCAATGACCGAGCTGGGGATGTATTAGAATATGAGATGACATACACACTGGTATATATAAGGCCCTAACAGAAATGACTTTACATGTTGAGTTCCCCTTTAAAACCTATCTCAATGCAAAGCGGCAAAGGAATAATCTCAGAAGTGACCACTCCTTTCTCAAATTGCTCGATGATAAATACGAGCAAAATTGAGGATAAAGTCATGCTTATGTCGGTACATCAATCCTATAATTTCCACTTGCAGTCTCGATTCAGATTGAATACTCTGTTGGGGGCAAAGGATAGTATGAGTAAGCAAAATTATGCTGACTTGCTGAGAAACATGTGTACCGAGAATCAGCCCCCTTCCTATTCAAAGGCGATAAACGGATATAACTCCTGAGAGATGAGCAATTGGACTGCTGACATTGTAATTGGAACTCATGTTTATTCTCCTGCAATTTCAGTTGCACATATGAAAGATCGCTGATGATTACAACCCCTAGAAGGATTCGATATACTTAAATTTAGCTTCTGATTGAGGATGCTGTTGACTTGAAAGACCTTGAGGACTTGCTGAATGGAGATTTCAACATTTTGTTGCCGTACATATATGAGATAAAATGCTGCCATCGTTCCATCTGTCTCTGATTTCGATAATCGTTCTTCATCGGCTTTGCGCGGCTTATATTTTTTACTTCTTTCCTGGATGTTGTTTTTGTTTCATCATTGTGTTCATTCCATCACGATTGGTCTCATTCAGGGCAAATTCATCTTTGTTATGATTCGATCTTCACTGCTCCTGGGCTCTTCTTATGCAGCTCCAGCAGCTGGATTAAGTCCATCCCAAGCTTCTATATTGAGTCAGCAAGCATATAATCTATGCCTCTACAAGTCTTCTCTTACATTTGAGCACGAACCTTGTACCTCATTTGGCGTCTCCGGTCTTCCCCCCATTACCACGCTCATAACAAATCAAGAGTCCACAGCGACGTTCATTGCATCTTTCCTCACCGAATATGCAGCTCTCACTAGTCCTATTATTATTGATACCATGATCGATGGTACTAGTACGCAAGCATCTATGGGTGGACTAGGTCAAGGTTAGTCTGTTTCCCGGAAACCAAAAGCCTTCAGCTTACAAATAAATTCAGTCTGGGCACAGCTTGGAGATGTACGAGTTTCTTATCCGACCGAAGCCCCAAAATCTCCCAACACGGGAGAGAAAGAGTTAAAAAAGAGCAGTTGCCAAAGCAACCAAGAAAACTACTGCGGTCCAACAGCCTACAACAAAGATTGCAACACCAACCACAACCACCCAAGCGCCTCCCCTGACAAGTACTTCAAGACATTCATCTGCGATTGTGTTACCGCAAAGTAGTACCGCTACTACTTCTGCTATTATCCAAAGCTCAACATCAAAGGCATCTCTAAGTAGCTCACAATCTATCTCGAGCACACCTATCACGGTCTCGTCAGTCTCGTCGGTATCATCAAATTCCGTTACTAAACCAGTCGCAACGCAATCTCCCTCCCTGATCACTTCGTCAACTATAAGTTCCTCAAGCTCTCCAACAAGCCCTATCACTGGAACGATCACTGGAAGTAGTGGGATTATTTCGAGTTCAGTCTCGTCTACTCAATCAGGATCATCTACAACAACATGTATTGCATCCAAATACGTCTCAGCTGGTTTCACATACACTGCCAAATGTACCAGCGCCCCAGTCTCCTCGAGTTCAACTTGCACACCATCCACGTATATCACCAGTAGAACCAAAATGACAGCGTCTTGCAAACCTACCAGTTCCGTGTGTAGCGCATCGACATATGTGACTAGTGGATCGACTATCACGGGTGGATGTAGCACCACGTCAGCGTGTGTCGCATCCACTAAGATAGTCAGTGGTAAAACGACAGTTACTTCTTGTACTCAAGCTTCTGTAAGAATTGCTTCATGGACTACAAATAAAGTCGAGCAGAATGGTGTGACAGCTACAGCGTTCAATTCTGTTGAAGCTAGTAGTGTTGCTTCGGGAATTGATGCTCTTCTTTCGCAGGGAATGGGATGGGAGGCAATTCGACGGAAACCAGCGGAATTGCATCGACCTCGGGAAGTGTTCCCAAAACAGCACCCTTTAGACTGACGACACTTGCTACTTTAAAGGTTCCCTTGTCAACTGGTGCGGCCTTGAAAAGAAAGGCGCTTTATCTTTGAGCGTTAAAATATTATGCAGTATTTGTTAAGTTGTCGGCTGAAAATTATTATTGTATACTACATTGAAATCGATTTTGTTGCGGGAGAACATGTATGAGAAGATATGTGTCGGCATCATAGTGTGTATTTGATGAGAATCAAGAACTCATTGATCAGGCTGTGATACACTTCTGATGTCTGCTTGTCCTTAACTCAATTCAGCTAGTCACTCAAGTCGTATTCTATATTGAGTAGGTAGTGGATCTCATCAGTGCAAAATTTCTGCGTGATCTTGAGATCCTCCAATATCCTTAGTTTTTGAGCAAAACCAACATGCCTTGCCTCCAATTTTGAATTTATGTGAATATGAGTCGATGGCATGGCCTTTGTAAGCACTCGCTTTGCGCAATGTTTGACAAACAATCGTTGGCAGAGACATTCCAACTTTGTGAAGAGCTTTGACAGGAGCCCCATCATGAGCTTTAACATTAGGATGTGGTGCCGAAACAATCATGAAAGGAGTCCTTTGGCTAACATCTTGTATACCAAAATCAAGCGCATGAAGCCTGTTTAACGGCTGTTGATTATCGCTCACTATTATAATATCCGTTGACTTTGAAGTATTCTTGATACAGGCAAGATAGGCTATCCCATCATTCAGTGAAATCATTTGACTCATCATGAGCCTCATAAAATCGCCCCAGATTATCATTTGATACTCTTTCATCTTACGGAAACTGATCCCATGATCTCTCTTGGAGCGAACGGCTTTTTTAGCACGATGATAGTTTGCTTGTAGAACCTGTGCGATGGCCAAACTTTGCTTCCAAGAATACCTGCCCCCACTGAATGCCGCAACAAGCCGTAAAGCTAGTTTCCAACGACCATTAGCGAAAAGTATTATTGTTATATCTCGACGAAGACCCCCATTCAAATCTCGATGGACTTTACCTAAGCGCCTTATTATGCGACAGGAGCCAGCCCAGCGGCCATGCATGCTTACGCTCCCATCGGATATGCTAACTTTGCCCACTTTGACATGTACCGTATCGAGTCCGGAATACTGTGAAGATTTGTGACGTGTCTTAAACGGTGGCATTATACAGTTTGTGCTGGTAAATTCAGATATGACAGGAGGAAGAAACAGCCAACGATGATGCCCTTGACGTATTGCTTCCTCCCACCAAAGGGCCCAAACATTATTCTGTCCGGTTACGACTCCTGGCGCTATAACAACTCCCGAAGCTGCCATTGCACCATAGATCTCATCATCTGGAAAGGAAGCCGAGCGATTTCCTAAGAGCTCCATGATACGAGTCTGATCGATTCTCCCAGCTCCAGCATTCACCATACCGGTGTAAAAGTCATAGACTTTAGCATATTTCCCACCTATCGCCTCCCTGATATTGAAGACATCACATAAGTCAGGCAGTGCACTGAACATAACATCATCTATTCGAAGACATACATTTCCTTTGCCAACCCAAACAACTTGTCGGGCAAGAATATACTCTTGCAATGTCCAGATTCGATCAGCCCATCGCGTTCTGGTAAAAAACTCAAGGCAATCCATCCCCTCAATGATTTTTTGTCTTCCATCTCCATGTGCCCAGTACTCCGACATGAAGTTCGTGTATTCTTCTTCTCTAGAAATTGCGATGGCTTCACCTAGGTCCTTGGTGAGTCGATCCAAATAAGTTTGTGTCATCCAATGCGGGAAATCACAAGTTGTGACGATCACTACCACTTGCGCATTTCCATATATGTCACCCATCAGAGGTATTTGAAGTTTCTTGTCCTCTTCGTCATTTTGATCGATACATATTGTATCGATCCAGCAATATTTTATGTCAGGAAAGAGTGTACGGACGGAAGTCTCAATCATGCTTCCACCAAGCGTGTTCTTGTAACAAGTGTGGATAGCGAACATGTTATCGGACCATGCATGAGAAGTTGCAAGATATGATGGCATGGCGTTAATGGCGTAGGGTTCAATTGCCCCGGAATCCATATTGATTAACTTAGTTCGCGTCATGTTTGTACTTTACCGATGTCTTTCGTCTCGTCGGACCTGATACGTATCTTGGTGGAAGCTAGTACCTCTAGGAAGCTTCTCAATCAGACTCCCATTTCATCACAATCGAGATTACATCTAGAGAGCGAATTCTGAGACAGCAGAAATCGACAGGAACAACTGTCCTGCTGCGGCATATACAGTGATGATCGAGGAGCCTCGTACGTCGAGATCTAAAAAACTTCGGCTTGTTCGAGATCCTCGCAACATATGCTTCTTATAATACGGGATGATAGAGTGACGATTGCCATTTGTGAAGGAAAGCACTCTGGGATTCAATAATTGCTACAAATCGTAGACGACAGTATCTCGTCGGTGTCCGACTGAATTGGTAATTAGTGATCAATAGTCTGTGCACGAAATTGACTGTTACTCGGCTCCTCGGACGAACCAAGGTGGGAAAAAATTGTTTCACAACGCAACCAACAATGATTCAAAATTTCAATCAATTATTAATATTTCAACGTTTATCTATCAGGATTCAAGAGGTAGCATGGATGAGTTGATTTCTACTGAATTTTGGACAAGGAATCTCTTGAACTTGGCTTGATCCCTTCATTTCGTCCACGCTGAGTGTACTTTGCACGACGCCACATGCCTCGACAACAAAGCATAAACATCGACACACTCATCAAGCTGCAGTTAATTCTCATTGGAGCTCGGAATACCTCAAGATATCACGAGCTGCCAAGCAGAAGCTATTGCTTTAAACGACTGCGGAACGATCAAATGACCTGGACGTTCGTTTTGTTTACGTAGGCATCGTGCTGGAAGATCGCGGATCCTCTTTGACAAGCATGCTCGTATCATCAGCCCTTGGTATTGAAGTTGCCACTTGAATACATATGCTCGCTTCTGTCACACACAGTTGTACAGTAGTATTCGTTGCGTTTAAATTTCCTACTACCCACTAGCGCTTACATGCTGAAAGATAGTCCACCATTAGCACTTATCAAACTTCCCGTCATCCACGATGAATCTGGATCGCAGATGATGGCTATAATGCCTGCAATCTCATGATCATAAGCTGGCCTTCCACCCAACCGATTGCCCAATTCTCTGACTTCTGGACTGTCGACTTCTCTGACTGGGGCCAATGGCGTCAATGGATTCCACAAAGCCAGACCCTGTTTGACCTCCTCAGAAGCAGACAAATACATGTCAGTCATAACAGGCCCAGGATTTATAGCATTAACAGTTGCCCTCTCCGCCAATTCTCTGGCCCACACACGAGTCATTGCCTCCATCGCCGCTTTCGTACCTGAGTACAATGTTGTGTGCGGCGTCCCAATTTTGCTATTGATGCTAGACATCATCACAATACGACCAGAACGATCGGTGGGTAGGAAGGGCTTGCAAGCTGCTGTCAACAGCGTAGGGCCCAACACATTGACAGCGTAGATGTGGTGAAATTCTTTTTCGATAACACTCTCCAGGGGACCGATATATAAAACTGCAGCATTGTGTACGAGTATATCGACTTGTAGAGCACCGGTGTTGGAGTTCTTGAAATTCTCTTTCGCCGCAGCAATAATCTGTTCGCATCCAGCAGATGTACTAATATCTGCACGCACGGTTATCGCTTTTATACGATGTTTCGATTCGAGTTCTGCTTTGAGAGTAGCTGCGGCATCATCAGAGCTTGTAGTAGCATAGTTGATAACAATATTGCAGCCTTTGCTTGCCAGCTTTCTAACTATTCCAGCCCCAATACCTGAGCTTTCATGAGCACCACGAGTGTGTGATTGTTGGGAATTTAGGGCAAGAGCTTACTTCTGGCTGACCCAGTGACAATAGCCAATTTACCTTCATGAACTCGAGGTTCTGCAGCCTGTGACGGCAGTTGTGTCTCTGACATGATTTTTTTTTGGCTGAGCTGATGCGATGAGACGTCGGTTTCTGGCTGGAATCTTCGATAACTTCTATCAAATATTGGATATGGATCAATTACATAGTAATCAGACTTGTGATGACAGATCTGACCTTCCCAGCCTCCTACTGCCCTGACACGAGATTCAGCTTTTCTTCCACCATTGCATGCTATAAACGCATTGTACATGGGGCAACATCTCTCCATGGAACTGGAAAACTGACAATCAACCACAAATCTTGCATGTCTCTAATGTAGTCTGAATAGCCGGCACAAGTTCCATGTTTTGGAAAGGAATATGCATTAGATTGCAAATTCCGGTAAAGATTCGCCTCATGCCAGACGCTTTTCTTCAAATACCCCGTTTATTCATAGCTTCATCCCATCTAATGAGCCAACGCATATTTGGTAGACGAGTGTCATTATTACTCTACTTACTTCGTGACTCAAGTGGGTACAGGAATTGATCCCGGATTTCCCAAATAGCGGGGCAAGTGTTTCTTCCTGAAGTTAGGCGTTCCCTGTACCGAGCAAGGGCATATGGGTCCCCGCATCTATATTTTTCGGCAAGCTCTAATGCAGATATTTGTGGACTGGGATTAGTATATCCCTTAGTCATTGAGCCTCGCAACTATTGCACCTATCGCATGTGGTCCTGAGGATCAATTCGCTGCTCAGCTGTTTCCCCATTCTAGACAGTGGTCGAACTACAAAGGAATGACTCAAGACTACCGTAGGAATCAACACACTAGGACTACTAGGCTTATTTTAGTCCCTGGCTTTTCCCGAGGCTGAAGCAAAAGTGGATAATACAAGTATTTGCTTGAAAATAATATCGAATTCTTCACCCCGGGAATAGGAAATGAGAATATAAATCTTATTGAAATGGAGCAACTCTTCGCATGTGAATTTAGACGGTACTGAGTTTTTATGTAACATTGTGGGGAACGCAATCAAGGTGAACAGGCTGCCAAGAAACTGATCTTGACCCCTGGCAAAAACTTTCTCAGGAGTAAACCTCGACTTTCAATGGAAACATCCAATTATCATTAGCAAAAAAACCATGCCCAGGAGTTATCAATGCGGAATTGATAGCTTCCTGCATTCCTCATGACTAGAGCTGGACTCTCTTGCCGAAATGTGAGTTGCAGAGCGACGATTACCGACTCGTTATTTTACATCGCCTACCGCGGTTCGAACAAGATGTGTGGCCCATTACTTCAAGACAACCCTTTCTCGTGGCAAACAGAGTGGTCTGATGTGTAAATGGGCTAACGCCGTTAAGGAGATATGAGTCTAGCCTCTGGCTTCAAGACTCAACTAGCACCTTATTCAGGGATGAACTCTATGCTAATGTACCCCAGCTTTTTTCCTTTTTCTTGTGTTCTGGAAGAGTGGGTTTATGTGCTCAGCTTTTCAGCCACATGAATTTCAATATTTGAGTTGAGATCTCTCTAGGTTGTCATACGGCACGCTACCACAAACCGTGGCAAGACGTCAGATGATGATGAGATGGACAATTGATAATCGATTGCAAGCCAGTAAAAGTTTACGGGGTCAAGCAAGGTACTGAGCAATGTCATAATCAAGAGAATGCGAGTAGTTTTGGCAAGTGAAGATTCCCCTGTGAACATTTTCTATTCTTCCAGTTGATACAAGCAACCAATGTCCTAGGTTACTTTGCTAAATATCCTCCATCTACGGGCAAACAAACACCGGTGACATATGAGGAATTATCTGACGAGAGCCACAACGAGGCTTGTGCGACTTCATGAGCCATTCCGAAACGATGCAAGTTGCTGACGGTTGGGGCAAACTCTTCCATGGTAGTTCCCATAATCTCCAATGCTGCGGCTGACATATCACTCTGCTTTCGCGTTAGTTTTGTTAAAATGCTGTTTTGATGCAACATAGTAGTAAACTCACAAAGATAGCACCCGGTGCAACTGCATTCACTCGGATCCCCTTTGGCCCTCCCTCTACAGAGGCATGTTTAGTCAAACCAATGATAGCGTGTTTCGTTGCTGTATAAGCAGGCATGTTTGGTTGTGGCCTAAAAGCGTTGATAGATGCAATATTGACGATAGAGCCTTTAGTGCCCTGTTTCGCCATCTGTTGCATTTCATACTTGCAACATAGTGCTGTTCCAGTGAGGTTGATTCCCACGAGAGTATTCCAGTAGTCCTCATCAAAATTGATAAGTTGTGTCTTGTCCGGCGTGAGAGCAGCGTTGTTAACAGCTACATCGAGCTTGCCGAATTTCTTGACCGTTGCCGCGATGAGATTTTGAACGTCCGCCGACTTGGCAATGTCGCATCGCACAGATATTATCTCCCCAAACTGCGACAACTCTTTCTCAGTTGCTCGGCCCTCGAGTTCTTTCACATCGGCAATGACCACTTGAGCACCAGCTCGTAGAAAGACTGATGCTGTAGCCTTTCCCATGCCTTGTGAACCGCCGGTTATGATCGCAACCTTGCCTTTTAGGACAGGGTAGACGGCAGCCTCTGGAACGTCCATTTTGTGGGTGATGTAAATTAAGAAGAATGAAGTACGGGGACTGACTCGAGTTGGAGTGAAAGTGTATATTGTTTATAGCGAATTTGACCAGAGCAAGAGTAGTATGATATAGGAGATATTACGTTTATGGCCAACCAAGTGGATTTAATTGACTTCGTAAATCACGTAGGAACCGCAAGCGAGACAACATAACACATGAAGCGAGCTATGAAGCCTCCGATCGTGTGGAAAGCCGAATTATTGGTGGTGGCGCTGGCTGCTGAAGCTCTGACATCTTTATTCACTGCGGGTACTATTTTAGCGGTGTACATTTGATTGATCACAATCCCCCACCTTATCAGTCTCGATTATATGCCGGCAAACTTGTATGCTGTGACTCACACCACTCCTTACAGTTTAAAAAAGACTGTCACTTCGGAATCCGCAACAGAGCTTTTGTGACATATAAAAACCGAGCTTTACTTTCACTCGAAAGAAAATCTACAGTCAAAGATGCTTTAGTCAATCCTTGTCACTTCTTATCTAGCTTTATTACACGTTCGCCAAGAAAATTTGACGGCGGGGCAAGGAATGAAGCTAATTCTGCAGGTTCTGGGGTAGGCCGAGCGTCTGGATTTTCAATGCTAAGCTGGTGGGCATTTCAGGACGATCCGTCAAAACGACGGGAAGCTGTGATGTGGCGACTTCATGCTTCCAGTAACTGCAATCCAATAGTGCTGCTAAGCTGTAGCTGAATGGCGCTTGATGAAGTTCGTCAGAAGTCAGTCTGTGGAAAAGTTTTCCGACGCATATGCAGTATTTCTAACACCAGGTTAAATAATACTAAGATGGGCCTGGCAGATATCATCAATGGCAACTTACGACCCTTGCAACATGTGGTGTATATGGCTCGACCTAACCTCATGTTCACCTCGCGGAGACCAATTTGATACTTGCCGCGAAGCCCTAGTCAGAATTCGGAGAAATAAACTTTGGAAGTCAGCAAAGATTCGCCAGTAGCATCGGCGAGCGCTGTATCTGGTATTCATCGGATAGATAATCCCTGAACCCACGAGGTGTATTAGCTATTGATTCATCCAGTCATTTGGAAGTTAATTGATTTATTATAAGCTCGCTCGCACTTGCCTTGAGTATTGTTGTTATTTCAGACAAGACTTTGACCAGACTTGCGTCGAACCATTTCTCTTTTCGACTGTCGCCTCAAGAAATTTATCATACGATTTTCAATATGGCAGAAGTAGAGGTTAAGGCACCTGTGCCGCAGACTGAAGAAAAGCAATCTTCAGAAAGGGGCAACTCCAGCCAGGGAGAGGGAGTTGATATCCCAAGACATACAAGTTTTGTCAACGTTATGGTTTAGAACAATGCTTCTTCTGAAAAGTGACAACTACTGATGATTCCCAGGTCTTGGTGACGGCTTGTCTTGGTGGTTTTCTTTATGGGTTCGCTGCCAATGCAATTTCTGGCACAGTGGCTCAGCCGACATTCATCGCCAAATTTTTGACCAATTTTCAGGCTCTACAGCTCACAGATGCAATGCTTGGAGGGTAAGTGAAACAACTGCTTCGTCTTGTACTCAACTAATCGGCTCCAAATAGATTCCTAGGTGGTGCTATGGTCGGCTCTCTTCTACAAGCCCCAATATCTAACAAGTTCGGGCGACGTATTGCCAATGCAGTGGCCGGGGGTATTGTGATTTTTGCTGCTGCTATCTCAGCTGGAGCTGTCAACGTTGGTATGTTTATTGCTGGCCGTGTTCTTACCGGTGTTGGTGCGGGCATGGTTCTCGCCAACTCTCCAGTTTATATGAGTGAAGTTGCTCCTCCTCACAACCGCGGAATGCTGGTTGGACTTCAAGGTGTTGGTATCGTTACTGCCTATATCATGGCTGCAGTTTGCGCCTTGGGATTCAATTTCGTGGAAGCCGAATATCAATGGAGATTGGTCTTCATTGTACTCTGTGGAGTTGCTTGTCTTCTTCTAGTGTCTCTTTGGTATCTGCCCGAATCCCCCAGATGGTTGATGGAGAAAGGAAGAGACGCAGAGGCCAAGCAAGTTTTAGAATACTTGCACAAGACCAAAGCAGACCCTTATAACACTCTAGCCCGTGCTGAAGCAGTTCAGATCAGGGCTCAAGTCGACACCGAGAGATCTCTGCCAAAAGGCTTCATCTATATTTTCTCCACCCCACATCTTAGGAAACGCGCCTTTATTTCGATCATTCTCTGGACTATGGGTCAAGGAACTGGTATCACTGCAATCGCAAATCTCATCCCCACATTTATGGCAGGTCTCGGATTTGGTACTGTTGTTCAATTAGGACTTGGTATTGTCTGGTCTGTTTGCGCTGTTATTGGATGCGGTATCAACGTTGTTCTTTTGGACCGCATTGGAAGACGAAAGCTTTTGAGTGAGTTAGCTCAAACTTCTCAACGGACTCTGCTGACCTCACTTAGTCATTGGTGGTTTCGGAATGGCTGCTATTCTTAGCACGATGGCTGCATTGGTCAAGTACTATCTCGGTACACCTGCAGGCCCAGGTGTTAGAGCGCTTGTTGCTCTCTATTTCATCATGGGGGCCTTCTTCACTTCGACGATCGAATGCACTTCCTATGTTTACGGCTCTGAAATCTGGCCAACCCATCTCCGTAGTGAAGGATCCACCATCACATATTTGAGTTTCTTCGGAAATGCCATCGCGTATAGTGCTCCTGTCTCAGTTGGCTTGAACAACATCGGATGGAAGTTCTATATGATTCTCATTTGTGTGACTGTTGTCACTACCATTATGATTGTCATCTGGTTCCCAGAGGTAATAATTCCACCTGCTACTTTACATGTTCCCTTTGCTAATGACTTCTACAGACGATGGGTTTGACATTGGAGGAGATCAACGTTACATTTGGTGAAAAGGTCGAGTTGGAGCTCAAGGATGCTCTGTATAACGAGACTGAATCGACGACATCGGATTCTTCAAGGCAAGAACCTGCTGCATAAAGCTTCGGTAATCCTCATAATATTCGAGGAATATTCTTGGTGCGGACTTGGCCAACTTCAATGTGTGGTGCAAGCCTTTCTTGACGAAAACGAAAATAACGAAAACAATTTTAATGACTTAGTAGTAATTATGTAAATATCGATAACTCACGTTTCTCTTGCGGCTTTGTCTTTTCTTCGATGTGATCTATGAAAACTTATGCAATTGTTTTGCAGATAGTACGGGCATGTTTTCCTCTTTCCAATTTTTTTATTTGAGTAGGTAGGTAGCCGAAGCTTCTAAGCTCTAAACCCAGTAACACACCCTACATTAAAAGCTTTTATCAAAGTTTAGAAACCTAGTTGTAAATCTGGTCCACCTTTCGCCATTACAGAAATATGGATATCCAAACTCAATGTTATCATTTTCCAATAATAGGCGAGGTGAGGACTCTTTTGATTTTCAACAAAATGGCTCTGATCGTTCCTTACCTAGGTAGCCATCTGGTTACATGTTGAAAGGTGAGATATGAGCATCAAATGGTTCTGGCCTCAGTGGGCCATCTATCTGCAAATCCGGGGCCTCCAGGAAGCTACTAGGATTCAGGATGAAAATTTCTGTCAATGTCGAATCATAATTCTAGTGTCCGCTGCCAAGTTATTCCATTTTACTCACTAGTCTCCACATGACTTTTGTACTACCGACAGGGAGTCGGGCACGTGGGGCCGACTGAGCTGCCGTGGCCCACTTCCAGGCTCAACTCCCCCTGCCAGTATCAATGATTATCCGAGCAACGCATCTGCACGACGTACGACCTGAATTATGAAAATTTTACTTCCTTTCATGTCAAAGTCTTTTCTACACCGATGTTGAAAGAAACAGAACAATTCATTTTGAAGGTCAATAGTGGAAAAACTTAGAGCAGAAAACCCACGCTAATTCCACCATAATTATGTATGTTATTGCAGCTCCTAGGTTTCACTAGTCGCATTTCTGATTCAGTCAGCGGCGTTTTGTTGTTGAAGATCCGCAGATCTCTATCCCAGTCGCAACGGCCCACGAATAGGGTCTCCCAAGCGAGGCCGCGCCATCATCTCGATTGTGAAAAAAAGCAAGTCGATACGTACAAATGATTCAGCAAGCTTAATCCCCATCCCAAAATAGTCTTAGGCCGCCAGGCACCTTGCCTGGTCATTGAGTGGATAGTTTGCAGCGGGTGTTCCTGTTGTCTAGTTTGGGATATAACTCGTTTCTTAAAGTTTGCCCAACAGATGGATTGAATAAAAACACACGAAATGGTCGACGATCTTAATTATACTCCTCGACTCCTGGGCTGTTATCTCAATATGTCTGGTGCAGCTCCATGCAGTCGCATCATGCAACATCAAGAATGGTTTCACAGATGATAGAAGATCTTCAGTATTATCCAATAGAGCAATTACGGGATGTCGCCCATGATATTCTCACAAATCCTGCGTCCGTTTTCCCCGGAGTACTTAGCCAAGTACTGTAGGTTTTAATGTTACTGAAGCAAGTTCGCAAGAATTCAAAATTACTCTTTTTGGTGATAATAGTTCCAGTTGCTTTTGCTGCAAAGGTAATCTCCCAGGGCCTGTAACGTCTGGAAAAGTAAATTCAATGCTGGCTTGAGCCATCCCAGCTTGTCTTGGGCATGGCATCATATATACACAGGAGCCATAGAATTCTCCCAAGACCATCAAGTACGTCCTCTTTTCTTTACTAATAGTGGTGGGTCTCAAATGGTGAAGAAACCACTCTGTGCATAGCAACCTACCAAAGTACAACCAGAGAACTCTTGATCTTCACAATGACAGTTCCGCTCACGGAGAAGGGCCAGCAATTGCTCGGCGTCCTGTGGATGGAAGTCGTCCTTTCGTTTTGCTTTATTAGTCTCCGGTTGTATACGCGCAAATATATTGGTGGCGCGCCAGGTGTAGATGATTATCTTTTGATACTTAGCTGGGTAAGCTACAGGATAGAAGACTTCTATATTGCAGCACTAATGATTTCGTCTAGGCTTTGATGACAGCTTTCGCAGCATGCATTTCACGATCAGTATCATATGGCATGGGAACACACGCGTCAGCATTGACTCTTACAGATAATTCTCATGGCATATTATGGCTTCTAATAGGCCAGTTCATCATTGCAGTTGCTATGGGAATAAGCAAGTGCGCTGTAGCAGTCTTTTTACTACGAATTGTTAACCAAACTTGGTGAGTTGCACTCCTTAACGATGAATCAACACGGAATGAAGACTGACTGAGCATCAGGCATAAAATATTGCTCTACTTTTGGATCCTGACTATCCTGGTATTGAGTTTCCTGCTGGCTATTGCTGTGTTTGCGCAATGTACTCCAGTTCAGTCTATCTGGGATCCTACAGTCGAGGGTACCTGTACGCTGAGTTTGACTGTCATTGCGAAAGTTATGTGCTGTAGGCTTTTTCGTCAACATTTGTCATATCGGTATGAAAGCTAACACATCATGCAAGCTTGGTCTGCAGCAATGGACTTCTTCCTTGCGGGGTTTCCTTGGGTCGTCATCTGGGGTCTCAATATGAAACAAAAAGAAAAGATCACCATCTGTGTTTCTTTGAGTTTGGGTGTTATGTGAGTTATGTCGGAGTTTCCTCGCGACATTTGTATTAACCTTCAATAAGTGCTGGTGTATGTGGCGTAGTCCGTACTACAACCTTGGATGCTCTTATGCAGACTGATGACTATCTATGTGAGTATATTCTTCCATCTTCAAACCTAGATTTACTCTATTTATCGATGCTAATTGCCTCTGCAGATGCTGTTAGTGATTCTGTCATGTGGACCATGTCCGAGCTTTGTGCCACTGTTATCTGCGTCACTATTCCTGCCCTTCGACCTCTCTATAACCGTCTTACAGGAGGCAGTTCGACAGGCGGACCTTATCAAAACTACGATTTCGAGAATCAAAAGTCTGGCGCTGGCGCTGGCACTGGCGAATATAATCTTAAATCTTTGAAACGTGGCAACAAGGAAGCAACTCATTACGACGTCGAAGTAACTCGAGGAGGCATAGACAATGACACTGATAGCGATACTTGCATTCTCGCACCACCAACAGCAGAGGAACCGAAAGAAGGTGGAATTCAGCGCCACCGTGAGGTTACGGTCACTTATGAGGATGGAATGAGTGCGACTAGAAGTAAGCAGCATGTCTAGACGAGCGATTGGATAGTTACTGCTTTGGAATGATATTGTCTGGATATGGGAAAGATACCAATTTGTGATTAGTATGGCCGAGTTTAAGGACGGCTTTTGATTTTCAGGCGGAAATAGTCTCATGTACGTCAACTCCGAAAGATCTTGTAGGCTTTCGGTGTTTATGATGGGGTTTGTAAAAGTATTAAAAGGGGCTCAAGGCCACTTGTTTTCATCGATTTGTATAGAACCGTAATAGGCAGATGAAATTCGCCTCACATCCGAGATTAGGAAGGTTTAAAAAGTGCTCAATTCTTAATCAATAATATGCTCGCTGAAAGTACTCGAAAGTGTATGTAACTGTATCTCCGCCACATCTACTGAAAAAAACACAAGCGCGCTCAATAATTTCTCAGCCGCGAACTTTCAATCACTCCCCACCACAGCTTGCGGCTATCTATTTTGCAGAAATTGTCTCAAATGTGACACAACTCGACGACGATCTTTTTCTCAAGGTATTTGAATATCGATCCGAGGCAAATAAGGTTTCTATGCAAGCGGATGTGCTCGACATAATAGTGAGATAAAGATCACCGCTGTACAAGAATCTACATAAATATTGGTAAAAGCTCTTATGCAATGCTAATGCAAATCAACTTGATCCGAGACTTATGAGCTTTTTGTAGCTCTAGACTATCAAACTTCAAGAACGCCTCTCGTCAGACTAGTCTAAACGAGTATGAGAAATGATCGGTATTGCTTGAGAATCTAGGCCTATTGCAACAAGAATTCTAGTGCAATTAATTCATGAAAATACAACCATATTTAGGTCAGTATCGACTTGGACCAAAATTGATGGAACATATTCGTTTTAAATGCAAGATAATATTTCCGAGACTAATTTTCTTTCACCTGGAGTCCTCCAAACAATAGACAGTGTAGTCTAGACGGGTCGAATACACATTGTTTCTTTTTGCGATCTTAAGAAGGGTTTAAATTCTGCTGGAAGTGCTTGAGTATCTCTTCAGATCTTTAACTTCTTCTTTGATCGCGAGCTCGCTCATGATTTCCTCACTCCCACCCCCTGCAAGTATTAGCATGATTACTACACAAAAGAAATAATGAGTCTGTTATTCTGACTAGAAAACCAGTACTTACCGACTGCCATAACTCTCACATCCCTTGAGATGGCCTCGATCCTATACACACCATCAGTAGGCTGTTACCCTTGCAGATTTTAGTCAACCCACCTTCCACCTTTCCCACCTCGAGCATAGCCCAATCCACCCATGATTTGTTGAGCCTCCCTTACACATTTCTCGAGGCACCTTGTACTTACAACTTTCAACATAGCCGTCATACCTCCAATCCTCACATCGTTCTCTCCGCCATTCTCCCTACTCAGTTCGATCAACCAAGTCAACTGCTCTAGGAATGCTTGCGCAGGTTCGATCACCCTTCCCATCTTCACGAATTTCGCTCGAATCACCGGATTCTCAATTAGTTTCTTTCTAAATGTCTCACGCGTACAAGCATATTTCCATGCATCTTCAGCACAAACTCTACTCAATCGAATGGCCGACGAGGCAATGCTTTTGCGCTCAGCATTGAAATTGGACATGATGACTTCAAATCCGCGATTTTCTTTATGTAAAAGATTCTCAATAGGAACTTTAACATCATCAAAAGTAATAAATGTGCTACCGGATGCCCCAACTCCGGAATTATGCATCGTTCTTCGAGAGACTCCGTCAGCGTTCAACGGGATGATAAGAAGCGATATACCAGTTGCCCCTGGGCCTCCGGTGCGAACTGCCGTGGTGACATAATCCGCCCAAATAGCGTTTGTGATCCATTTCTTTGAGCCATTGACGATATAATGGTCCCCGCTCCGTACAGCAGTGGTTTTGATATTTGCTACGTCGGATCCAGCATCAGGTTCCGTGATGCCAAGACAAAATCTGATGCTGCCGTTTGCAACACCAGGTAGGAATTTTGCTTTTTGTTCTTCCGTCCCAAAATTGACTATTGGTGGCACTCCAATTCCATTTCCTCCGCCAAGACCCCATAGTACGCCAGTATATGCCTAGATTGCGTCAGTGTGAAGGCAACTCAGAAACCGAAGCGCGATCTTACTACACGCGACAACTCATCCGTGACAATCAAAGTATGCCACGAGTCCCACTCCTCAGGTCTGATATCTCCCGGTAACTTTACATCCGAAAGTCCCGTGCTCAAAGCTAGATATCCTAATTCCGCATGTCGTCGCCATGCCTGCGGGATTCATTAGTGAGATCCTAAAGTCACGGGAGCGGCACGTGCCGAGTCTGGTACTTTGCCTGCCGATTCCCAATCAAAGGCATACGGCAAGATTTCTTCATCGACATATTTGCGCACCGCAGCGCGAAGTCTGCGATGTGAACTATTGTAATGGGGTGACACGTTTCGGGAATACCACAGTGGCTCGGCATATGGAGTTGGACAGCCAAATGGCTCATGTGCGCTGTTTTCGGATGGTGATGAGGGCCTTTTGAAAGTTGTGAATGGAATAGACATCGTATGGAGTTATCAGCAACGCTAGGTAATATATTTTGTGTGGTTGATAAGATGAATGGGGCTCTTCTAAAACAAAGGAAGTGCTAATATTCGATATAATGAGACTTGTTTTTGAACCTCGGCATGTCAATTGTGATCTGCATGATGACCCGTGAATTACAATCCTTGTAAATCTTAAAATATCATATTGTGCTTTTGACAGAACGATTTATCTTTCTTCACCAATTGTCAATGTCAACACTGTGCTACTGAACATATGCATCGCAAGGAGTTTTGCCGATCTATGTGACAGATACTCTTTTTGACTTGGAATTATCGTCAGTTTTAGGCCGGGTAAGCTTATTCGTCCGAAGTTCACATCCGATCAGGTCCCTGCTTTGCTTCGGGTATGGTAAGTCTAGAGGCACTTCAAGACTTTAGATTATAACATAATTCCCCTGAGTTCGCAGAATTTTCATCATGAGTGAAATGTAACTGACTTCGATGTTGCCAAATATACCACCTAAAGATGCCACTTTGTGAAAAGGTTTCAGCGCGGTCATCCACGCTATAATATGAGTCGATCTGATAGCTGCGTTCGGCGAAGATCGATTTTTGAGTTGGCGCTGTTAGCATTACTTGAAACTGAAAAAGTCCGCTGTGTACATTTTGCTTGTTCGTCAAGTGAGACGACCATTTCGAGTCTTGCGGTATCGCTATAAAACTCCCTGGGGGCTGTGAGAATGTCTTCCTTCTACCATCAGTAACAACCATAGTACCCATCACCAATGCTACCATCACACCACTTCCACCCAAGCTACCAGTCCCCGGAAGTATTTTAACGGTCTCGCCAGGGGGAAGATTGAGCTTTCACGTGGTAAGAAAGTGCGTAATCAAACTTGACCCGTTAATAGGAAAGAGCCGGCTGGATATCTGAGCCAGTAAAGGTTCGTGGTCCGGTAACATCTACAACTTTGAAATGTTCCAATCCTATCTTGACTTCAAAAGGTTGGGTGAGATATAATCTTCCACTAATGAATTTACTAGCCACACACACTTATGCGTCATAATGTTGAGGAAGTTGCGATCGACTTCACGATATATGTGAAGATTGATATAATTTAGCAATCTATGACTAATAATAGACCAAATTCATCTGCGTGTACATAGACAGCGGGAACGATATAAGACGATGTGAAAATATACGAAGAACTCTGAAGAGAAAGAAACAGTTGCTTTGCCTGGTTGTGAAGATAAAAGTGCATGGCGTCATTTCGCTTACATAAGCAATTTCTTATCTGGCTGGTGAACAAACTGATCTGTCAATCGTAGATGCTTCTCTAACCGGCTTCAATCGTTCAAGATTGTTTCTGCAACAAGCCTCAAAATCTCAGTACGATGACATCTTCGGGCTCAGAGCCATACATTGTACAATGGCTGCTCGATACAAGACTCCTGTGGCCTGTTCACCGCAAAGATAAGCCCAAAGAGGAGGTCGCAGAACTGAGAACTGCTGTGTGTATAACGTCTACAAGCTGCTCTGCTTGTCTGAATTGACAGATGATGCTAGGCTTCTCGTGCTTTGGCTCTTCTCTCTGAATCCGAGCAACAATCAGTCCTTAAATATTATCACGTCAAAGATGCAAAAATGAGCTTAGCATCCCATCTTCTCAAGCACCTTGTTATTGCAAAACATTGCAATGTACCTTGGCCGAAGACTACAATCTTGCGCGAATCGAATGGAAAGCCTTGTTATATTTCGGCCGCAAATCAACCTCGGATCGAATTCAATGTAAGTCATCAAGCTGGACTTGTAACATTGATAGCTGTGATTGGGGGCGATGGAACAATAAATGTGGGAACAGACATTGTGTGCGCCAACGAACGACTGTCGCATGACTATAAATATATAGAGAAGAGTGGATTTTTTGAATGGATTGATATGCATGGAGAAGTGTTCGCAGATTCGGAGGTCAATCATATGAAGCTTTCAACAATTGGACTCGACGAAGTTGCGCCCGGTAAAAAACTTCATGGATTTGGCAACGACGCACTCTCTGGATGCCAATGGAGAAACAGACAATTGGATCTGATCATTACAGATAGTGAGGGGAAGGCTAAACAATTGAGGATTGACAGTAACAATGTCATCGATGCGAAGATCAGACGGTTCTATGCCATGTGGTGTTTGCGAGAGACCTATGTCAAAATGACTGGAGAAGCCTTACTTGCACCATGGCTTAAAGACTTGGAGATTTGCGATGCTCGAAGTCCAACTGCGTCTGAGGTACATGATCTGAATTCTCTCGAGAGCGGGGAAACAATTGATAACTATCGTATTGTATTCAAGGGCCGCGAAGTTACAAACGTACATATGGAATTGGCTGCATTAGGTCCGCATTATATGGTGGGTGGTGCTGTCAGGGTAACAGAAAACGACAAGAAGTTAGGATTGGGCCCATGGGAAGAGCTTGATCTTGAGAAGGATGTCCTACAGATCGCGGAGTCTAAGCCCTGAACAGTCTTGTCCGCCCTCTTGTACCACAACATCTTAATTCGGACCGCACCAATAATTCTTGTGACATTTTGATGGGGTGGTGATTCCATGAACCTACTGCCAAAATTGGAAGCGGCGTATAATTTTCACGCATCCGATTTTAGCAGTAGAAGTCCACAACCATTGGGGACAAACTTTCATGCACGCGTCTTTTCTTTTTCTTGCTTATCAAATAACCATTCAAGGACTGACCCGACCTCTCCAGTTCAAATTTTCTCCAGAACCTCTCGGGGGTCATCAACCACGATAATGCCATTTTATTCATGATTTATGTGTGTGTGTCATTCAAGCCTGTTGTTACCGTTCAAGTCAATAAGGTCAAGTGGAGTCCGCGACAGTCATCTATTCCGAGATAGCTATTTTAGTTTCTAACTTTTTATATGAACCACAAATCCAATCACATGAACGATGCACACTACATAATCACAATTTTTCATGTACCGTTAACCTCTGGGCATGCAACAACAGCTTGTGATTACTCATTCCTCAATGATGGAAGGGTACGCAGGTAACATTTTTCATCTTGTACCATTAGCTGACCACCGTACCTCCACTGAGACCATGTATGAAAACAATGAATGAAGTGGTTTTGTTTATTTCTGAAAGAGGTCCGCAGTATCAGGCATCTCTTTCATTTTCCTGCGTTCGGATAGTTGTCTAAAGTACATGATTATTGTCAACAAATTTATACGACGTGTTACCCGGTCTCCATAACTCGTCCCATTGATACGAGACTCTTCTTTTTCTTTCGAATTGAGTTTCAATTGGACTACAATATGATCATCAGAAGTTCACATTCAATTTATATCTTCAGTTGAAAAATTGAATTGATTAGAAATTTGAACCCTTCTTGAATTTCCCTCTGTTTTTAAGCGCATCCAGATTATCTAGTGCGGACAACTAGAGCCTTTAGTTTACATAACATTTTGCTTCAGAGAACTAAGCCAGGGCATTATGTGGAAGGTTATGGTAAATCAAAATGCGATGAAGTCAAAACGTGAGAATCTAGTGATGCTGAATACAGTTGCACTCACACAAACTCCAAGCTAAGTAAAAACATCCCAGATCCGAAATTGACATGGAATCAGAGAGACATCATATAGTGGGTGCGCAGAACTCCTCGTCATGTTGTCGCATCTGATCATAGTATCGTGCCGGCATTGCTTCTCTGTATGCAGGCGGTGGAGCGTCGTTTGGTTCAAACTGTCTAGCGGTAGACCCCATGGCGACTCGATCTTGCCTCACGATATAGGGATTGCCATTTTGGTTTTGGTTGGTATAGTGAACTGTTCGATTTTGATCCGACATTAAATAGACGGAGTCTTGATCATTCTTGGACGATCTCAGCCAATTCTCTGGGTTCGTGGTTTGAGACTCCAGTGGTAAAATTGACGAAACGTGAGTCAGTGGCGTTCGTGACCTTGTCGAAGGGAAGGATCTCTGAGCTTCGGGGTTATTTGTGATCATCAGGTATAGGATATCAGTCTTCATCCCTATGCCTTTTATTCCCTTGATTAAACTTTGATCTTGTTTCCCAGGTCCATTTATCATCCCTCTCGCGGTTCCTACCAAACTTGTTCTGCTGCTACCAGAAGTGCTATTCCTCCCACTGGCATCACCTACTGCTCCAAGTGCTGTGCTTAGAAGTCCACCCCTCCTGGATGTATTACTGCTTGAGCTATCTCTACGACGACGATCTCTTCTGTCTTTTTTGCGATCTTTTTTGCCTTCTCTGCTGGATTTTCTATCGTCTGGAATGCCAGTCAGTAGACTTTTTAGTCCACCACTATTGGCAGGATGATTTGGGTCAGCCCAACGACTGTTGAATGCTGGTAAAGGACCAGCCAAAGATGACTCGGGGTTGTTGTGCGCCTTTTTATTTGTCAGTAGGTCCTTATTTATCAAAAAGATGAATCGCACATACGTATCGAGCCTGGGCTCTACGATCTCCATAGTCCGCAATAAAGTGGCCCATTTTTTTTAGGCCAGTTTGTTGACCACGTCTTTCATCGTCGGGATAAATAAGGGAAGCAGATGGAGGAAGTTGGACTTCTCTTGGTACTCCATACGAGTTTTGAGTCTGTTCAGGCTTAAATGTTAAGACCATTGCAAAGAGACCATGCGGTACGAAGAGGTTTTTATTGGCTCTGTCTAAGAAAGAGGACGATCTAATGAGAGTATCAACTGGGTGTTATCATCACCAAGTAGTTAGACTGCCTGCTTACTGTCTTTGTGTCTGATAACCTTTGGCGGCTCGTACTGCAATTGGAACAACCATAGACACAACCATCGGAGAAATACCGGGTGCAAATCCGACACCTTGAGCGGCCACATTCACGGCGTCGAGATAAGGAGACGCCTGTACATAAGTAAGTATCCACAAATGGCATTCGCGTGTTCCAACTTACTTTATGAGCTTCATTGAAATCATCAATAAAATCCAGAAATGTATCTTGATCTATGCCACAACCCGCTAGCTCCAAGGAGTACGCTCGGATTATACCACGACTCTGCGTTTCAGGCCTCCGCTGTGGCAGTATTACAGGGCAAGAGAGCCCTTGAGCTGGCCGAATCCTTTGATCTGGCAGCTCGTGGGAGTAAAATGAAACGTCTCGCTCGTATACATTCCTCATTGGTTGTGCTCGAGGATTTGCGGTTAAATATTTTCTGTAATTTTCATCTCTCTCTACCTCTGCACTTATGCGATCTGAAAGGGTGTTTTGGTAGTCAGCGTAGGATTGTAGGTCTCGATATGCGTCCTCATTATTGCTATGTTGATTTGCTTTTGACAAAGTGTGAAGTGGCACTATTGTAAGTCAGCATCGATATATGGAAACCTTGGTGATAGACTAACTCTGGGATGGAGCTATATAAGTCGAATCCCGATTTGCATCTTTCGTGTGGGATTTAGGACTCGGAGATTGATAAGACGTCTTTGCTTCCATTGCGAGACCAATACCTGAACTAATGAGTCCAGCAAGTTTGCCCATACTGTCTGCTTCCTGTTGGAGTACTAGAAAATTGTTGTGCCGGTAAAGATACAAGAAATAAGAGGTGCGACTTGCTTCTGTGTTTAACAGATGTAAATCTTTACGATAAGAGGGGTATAGAGAGAAACTTTATAATGAAAGTCATTGTGCGGTCCGAGATTTCACTGCATTGAAACCCAGCGCATAGAGCAGCGCGATGAATGCCAAGACAAGAAGAAGAAGAAGTCTACCATTGAAAATACGAAAACCTTTCCGCAACAAGTAGAAACATCTATAATTGGGTTAATTTAAGTAGATTTAATCGTCCCACATATCAATATCACTCGATGCGACAGCTACGAAATAGTCTCTTGATTAGGAATGAAAGGCGTGATAAATTAATCATTACTACGGAGTTGCCGCTGTGGGAATTTTGTGATGACGCTACTCACTGGTTACCCTTTTCGGCAATCTTCGCTTAAATGGATGGCGGGGCACTCCGCCACATCCTCGAGGCGATGGGATGTTTATCTTACAGTTCTTAAGTTTGAGTTTAGAAATTCTTCATCAATCACACAAATTAGATGATATAGAGTCCTGATGCAAAATCAGTTCGCTGGATCTCAAATGAATAGCGAAATGAGCAGTGAAAGGCCAAAAGATGGGTAGTATTATCCTCACATGGTAAACTCAATTTACTCAGGAAATTGGAGAATGATCAACTCTCATGAACAATACTAAAAGTATATCACTTCAACTGAACTGCAAAGCTTGATGTCTTATTATTGAATCTAACCTATGATATTGACGTGATTCAGTCAGCGACTGCCGTCACTCATCTCGGTTTCTAAATTGTCAAAATCAAAGATAATAAACTGTATGCGAGACGTAAAAGAACATAACGTTTGAGATTTTGTATGAAAATCTGACAAAATATGTAGAGATTCAGATCCGCTGACTTTTTGTCAACAAGAGTCTATACGATCTTATGTATTCAGACTTGGTGTCATTAAACCCGCAAGTAAATACAATGCGACTACCGTAAATTCCTCAATACTTGCCACGAGCAATCTTACTAACGCGGACCCGTCAATTACAGAGAAGGATTTGATGGAAGTGAAAGCCGCCAAAACACTGTAAATCAATCTGACGGCCAAGAAGGGATTGGCAATAACAACGGCCCAGAACACTCGACCATGTCCGGTAGGGATTTTGTAATAATCTTTAAACGTAATAATGACAAGCGAAATTTGAATAATAAGCACTCCTACATAGATAGCGATTCCGACTTTGGTAAGATTTCTACCGGATGAGATCTTGGACGATGTACCGTCAAACTCTCGAGTGCCGCCAACAATGCAAAGAGCCAGAGCAATTAGCGTGGGGATATGCATTAAATAAATGAAACGACTTCGTAGGGATCCAGATGTTGAATTGATTGGCTTGTAGTATCCGCCATTTTGCATCTCAAAGAGAGTGCCAGCTTTTGCATAACCAGATACTATATCAGTACTGCCATTGCTTCATGTTAGCTTAGACATTGCTATAAGAGTCATCCAATTAATTTAACGTACGTCCTAGAAAGCAAACCATATGTAGCCATAAACAAAGGCGATAACCCAACAGACTGCATAATAACCGACCATTTCGCATCACTGGTATTAGCAGGATTATGTATACTTCGAAGCTCAAACATTGCACCAGCAATCCTGACGACAGAAAACAATCCAATATATACCCAACCGAGCTTCTTCTTGAAACCCTGAGAGAAGATCACAAAGACAGCCATTGGTAAGGCGATAGCATATGCAATTATTTCCGCGTATGCGATGTCCTTCTCGGTGGATACCATGGTAGTTGAACTTTGAATAATTGCCAAGGGAATGAGTTGGTACAAAGAAGGTAGAAACAAAATTGCGTGAACAAAATAAGTTAATGTAAGAACTAATTGTCCGGCAATCCTCTCTTATATCGAAGTTGGGTCTTTTCTGCGACAAAATTTCCGGATCATCGTCCAAGAATAACCGCGATCAGACGCTCATCCTAGAGGAGAGCCATACACTGATACGCATCCCTCATAGATGGTGATAGATTAAAAGAACAGGAGAGGTGTCAAAATTGGCAAGTGATGAGTAGTATCTCCAAAATTGACGGGAACCTTTTGGAGAAGCCACCGTCTTTTACTCCTTCGTTGTCAGAATAGAGTGAGAGCAATCACTCGTAGGAATGTCAGGTAATGGGATTAATCCCATTGGCGCAATTGGAAGAATAAGGCTCGCTGATCCTTATGCAAATTTATCTCAAAGGAAAAATGCTACAGAGCAAGATGCTGTATGAAAGAAAGATATTAGAATATCAAACAATGTAAATCCGGGGATAGTTCGGGAGTTGCCGTCGAAAGTTGAGTACTGGTGGTGTCACAAAGGGGCTGAGTAATCAACACGCTACGCTGAGAATACCCGAAAGAGGAAAGCGTATGATGACAGAACCTTATCCGTCTTACGAACAGGCAATCAAAAGAGAATCAAGCTTCATCTGCATTGTCGATCTCTCATAGATATACGACCAGGTACAAGATTCTTACAATGTGGCTTAGTAACCGTGTGGTCATGAATGCATGCTTCACACAAGCAATATGGCAGTGTACGTACGTTCCCACGGGACACAAATTCGATTCATTTGTTCTCATGCTCTGGTGCAATCATCATTTTTCCCAACATTCTTACGAAACACGAGTTCGTAGGCTACTCATAATATGCCCAATTGCTCTATAAGAGGGTGCTCAACTCTTTAATAACTCCAAATACTATCAACTATCTCAATCAAGTCACGAAATGGTTTATTGTGGTAAGCCAAGTAGAGCTTGCGCAGAGTGTAGAATTCGGAGGACCAAGGTGATTAAGCAGCTTCCCATAGGATCATTCTAGCCATTGACCAATCCAGTGTGACACCCTGACGCCATCTTGTTCACAATGCATTCGCGCTGGCCGTAATTGCGCAGGATACAGAACTGAAGCAGATATGATGTTCCGCGATCAAACGCAACACTACGCTAACAAACGACGAACTGAAAATGACACTCGATTAGTAGTATCTAAGAAAAGAGGCAAAGCATCAAACGATTCGCCAGAGACTCCTATAGATCCTCGATTGACGTGCCATTCCAAGACGCAACTTGCCACGCAGATAACACCATTGGGACCAGGGCTTTCAACGTCTTCGGCTGAGCAGGCAACGTATTACTTCTTTCGAAACTATGTTCTTGAAGACAATTCGACAAGTGGTAGCTTTCAGTATCTCCACGAACTATATAACAATGAACTCATTGGTCCTGCTTTGACTGATAGCATTGAATGTCTTGGCATGGTCGGCTTGGCAAACTTCTGGAATGCTTCTGAATTTCAGTTCCGCGCAAACAAAAAGTACAACTCTGCTCTTAGACTTGTCAGTTCGCGGCTGAGAAATGAAGAAGAAGCACGGGCTGATCAGACACTTGTGGCAGTAATGCTTTTGGGTCTTTATGAAGTAATTCCAATGAACAGTTATAAAGTTTTACCTGCTAATTGGCTGATAGATAAACACATGCACCGGTCCCCAGTCAATGCAATCTTGGACCAAACATGTAATTGGCGCCTCATTGTTAATGCAGCTTAAGGGAAAGCAATGTCTTGAAACTCCAATAGGCCGGCACATATTTGTTCATCTTAGGACTCAAGCAGTATGTTTATTGTCTTTTTCAATACTGCAATTATGTTTAATTCTTTCTTTAGATCACGAACTGTATACAACGCCACGTTTCTATTCCGCCTTTCATTCGGGATTGGTCAAAATATGCTTTGCAGTTTCAGTCGCCAAATGATGCCCACGCCACAAATCTGTCGGAACAAGTGATGGAATTTGGTGATCTTCGTGCTACAATGTCTTCTTTTCACGATTACAGAAACGCGGAAAAAATCATCAAAGCCGCCCTCGTGATCGACTCAAGGCTTGTAGAGTGGGCTTTCAATTGCCCACCAGAATCTATGTTTTATAGAACACTCACCTTAAGACAAAGGTCTGATGGCGTTTTCTCGGATCATTATCATATCTATGATAGTATCTGGGCCGCCGCACTCTGGAACCACTATCGATGTGTTCGGATTCTCATCAATGAAGTTATCTATGTTCAGCTCACTCATCTTAGAAATATTCAGCCTGAGTTATTCGATCTAGACCTGAGTAATCCTATCTTCTCTGATTCTCAATTGGAGATCTCTACCACAGCCGTCATTCAACTATCACATGATATATGTGCCAGTGTTCCATTTATGCTTGGATACATGGAGGGCGGAGAAGTGTCATTGAACAGTGCTAAAGCCGTTAGCGGTAATCTTTTATTATGGCCTCTGTATACAGCAGCCTGTACGCCTCTTGTATCCGATGTGATGAGTAACTGGGTAGCGGGGAGATTAAGAGTCATATCCGAAATCATGGGAATCAAACAAGCTGCTCCATTGTCACATATCCTAACGAAAAGAAAGGACCTCTTAGCTTGGGAGCTTGAAGACATCAAGAAAGGGGCCGGACCAAACTATGAGGATTGGACACATGGACAGTTAATGGAGCTTACGTGAGCTAAGACAATTATCTCAATTGGTCGCAACAAAGAATTGAGATTCCACTCACTAATTTTGGGGACCGATCATTTTTCCTAGTCGCATAGATTCTTTATAAGCTCGTTATACTTTGCAACACGCTAGAAGTCTACGAAAAATATGACCTGCGTATAAATGCATGATAGGAAATTGATTTAATACTTGATCTATACTTATCTGTGTCAACTCCACTACGAGCGATATAGACCACCTTGCTGGACACTAACAACAAAGACTAGGCAGCGATAGCCCCATCTACGGCTTAGGAATTACCTTCCAATTCCATCGCCCTTTTGGACAGGACAGTCTTAATTTGGACTCGAAATGTCTTCTCGAGTATCAACGCACCTTACAAACGTCTTTATTACAGGTTAGCTTTAGATAACAGGCAACAAAGGCATCTCGCCTCTTCAGGCCCAAAATGTGGGTCTCGGTGTATCATGTTGGCTCATGGATTTTCAGTGGCTTGACATGAGCTCATTCAAAGCTTCTACTTCGAAAAGTCATCTTGCTCAGAAATCGTAACATGGCTGTATCAACAGGAAAACAAGGTGAATACATTGGACTTCGTTTGTATGATAGAAATGTGTATAGAAATGCACGGCAAAGATTTAGAGTCGTGAATGAGAAAATGAGAAAACGAGGAAAGGAAGCCGTTCACGTATCAAAGCAACATGCTCAACTTGCTGTTTCTTGGCGTTGTTCAAATAAATAACATTGAAAATGAAGTTGGGGTTCGCTACTCGAAAGGTATCCATTCGACTACCGTATCGTGTTATGACGGACTGTTCGCCCATCCTAATATATCCGATATTTCTAACTAGAGTGTACTTTTAGGATTTCATAAGCTCTGAAAAGTTTTGAATTGACTTGAGAGACGTTGCGAATCGTTGCGAATCGTTTGATGGGGATGTCGTTGGGAAAGATTTCTGTATTGCCATTGAAGTTAAGATCCAATATCAAGTATCCTCATTCACTAATGGTCTATCAAAATAAACCTGGGTATCTATTATATCCAACCCAAAATAAAACAAAGGAATTCAGAACGATGAACTCAACACTCGCGTTTTTGCAAAATAAATATGTGTTTCATGGATACATCATTAACATCGAACTCCCCCAAACAAAAAAAGATACATTGTTACTAGAACTGAGTCGTGAATCATTGCGCTAGACTTTGAATGGAATATTCCATCCCATCATCCCACGACATTCCAATCGCTTTAACTTCCGATCTGTGTTCATACACCGTGATAATATTCCGTCCCAGCAGTCAAGCTCACAGTTTCATACTATCACACCACACATTAGTTTTCAGTTTCCACAAGAAATAACACATTTGCATGTGTGAACAAGCTCCCTCAAACAGATGGGGCCTTATAAGAAGAGTAAGTAGATACATTTCCCCCCTTTTCTATGTTTTCTTTTCCCATCGCCATTCCGGCCATCTCCCCTTTGAAAGCAATAAAATTCGCCGCGCCGGCAATCGCTTTGATTCCCATGGAACCTCCCTGATAAGTCTCTGTTCCCTTTGCATACTCGCCCACGGCATAAAACTTCAGAAATAAGATTGAGAAGATAACCATCTCTAGTGAAATCAGTAAGTTGGGAATTCCAGCCGTTAAATCGCGGGTGGTGAGTTTATTAGTTGGTGAAAGGCGCGATGAAAGGAATGCAAAGACAATGGACTGCAAAAAATTCAAAAATACAATTCCTTTGAATGCCATGAGCTTGTGGAGGGGTTTGCGAGCGGCCGTGAGGAACTTTGTGGATTTGTAGAAGCGGAGAAGTCCCAGGATGGCAATGATAGTACTGCCTATGCGGAGAATTACACACTGACTTTTGCTTAGTTTGTGGTTTCGATAATGTAGTTTGATTGCTAAGAATCAGAGGAAGATTCTAGAAAAACTACAGAATAACGTACCCATATCCTGGTGAAGTAAATCTTAATCTCCGTCTCACAATATGTCCCCTTTGCCTCTGAGATCTCTTCTATGAGGAATACGATGAACATGATCGCTGGGAATTGAAAGATCTGAATAGCAGTTTTGCGAATTGTGGGAAGTTCTGATGTTTGTCCAGAGAAAGATTGCGCATGAGTTTCCTCAAGTACATAGGTATACAAGAGCTGGAAAAATGCGGCAAATGCAAAGGCCTCATAGAACTCATTGATGGGGGAAATATAGGCTGACGCTTTTTCAAAATGTATGCAGAGGAACGAAATGGTTGCAAATACAGGAATCATAAAGATGATTCTGGTGGGTGTGTTAGAATACTCTGGACGATAGAACAGAGGGGTATGGTGTACTGTTTCTGTTCTCGGGGCATAGAATAATGTGTTGCATGGCGAAATATCAGAAAGATGGATAGGAGAAGCGAGAAAGCTAGACAGGCTCCTGATAGAATTTGAATGAATTGATGGAAACTGAGGTTGCCGATAAATGGAACTTGGGCTATGGGTTCATCTTAGTCTGGGAACTTAAAAATCGCTGCTGGGGATGAAGTCTTACGAGGATCATTTCTATTTTCCACGGGACAAGTGTGATTCTTGGAAGAATCGGAACTTCTCTTGCTTAAGTCCAGAAAATGGACATCCCGAGCTTGTATGGGAAGATATTGCATGATAAACGCTGCAAGGAAAAGAAAATTTGTTCAAAGAATGAAATCTCCAACGTGCTGTACTACACACTGAGAAATGATAGGTAGAAGCAAAAAACAGCCAGAACGTTTGAGCTTGAAAGATTATAGGGAATATCCATATCCCACAACTTGGAAGGAAGCCTTTATATACATGTGAATTTTCTCAACTTCCCACCCTCTCCCTACGGTGCCGAATCCCGATGATCTTCCACATTGAGAAATATGAAAAGCACGAAGTCTCGAGAGGGAGGCACAGCCATGTCAGCGACAAGCCGTAACCTTAAATCTATCCACAAATCTAAGATATACGACATATTGCTTCAACAGGTAGCCAGCACGATGGGGCCATGATAAGGGTCAACACCGACTCTCCGCTTCCAAACATGAAGGTCTTAAGCATATCAAAGTCGAAGCTTACGTACTATGCACTATTCTAAAAAGAGAAAGCAGTGCGATGAATAATGATTGGTGAGGTTGTTCCACTTGTGGGGGTGGCTAGGATCAAAGAATTGATGGGCAGATACTTTGCATAATAAGCTTTGCAGGATTCTCAGATTCAGGCTCTTTGGTTTTCGCGCGTTTCGCGGTCGGATAAACATTAGACCTATTGTGCCTGAAATTTGGGAATAAATTGTGGCTTGTGTGTGGCATTTTCAGGCTAAAACCACTAGCCACACGACCCTACCCAATCAATGTCGTTGTAGAGAAGGTCTGATATTTCTCCCATCGGAGGCTCTAGAAGCCAAGAGCGTGCAAAGTTTATTCTATGACCATGACCATAGTCGGCTCTTCTAAGCGCCGACTAGCTCGTACTTGGGGACTTTGGTAAGTTGGCGCTTCTCGCGAGTGGTGTCGTCGGTCGCTGATTATTAGATCCCCACTAAGGTTATAGGTATTTTCGCGATACTCAGCCCTGTTTGATCTTGCAGATCCCACTCTTCGAGTTTTGGCTATAAGATACAACTATTGGTTCAAAATGGTATGCATGTAAGATCCGAATACAGGGTACTTGTTGGTGTAATATAACTTCATGTGAAGTCTCCCATGCTAGTGGTATTATCAATAGCTCGTGTAACCTACCTATACTTGCTGAGAATGCCATCTTAGGTGGTTCATGAAGCTATCGATATGTATTAGACATGACTATCGAGTTATTGTCAACCGTGATCATTTGTCTAATTTAACCAATCAATGAATATCAATGGCCCCAGATTTCGGACAAAAAGTCGCTCCAAATTAGCACAAGATCTTATGGGACAGATAATTACTGGCTGGAGTAGGATGGCGCGACTGCATTCATTTTTCAATGGAAGCATGCAGGACACTTCATCATCACAGTACCCAAAGTAGCGGTCCCACAGAGGCGAAGGATCAAATAAATCTGGTCTAGCAGCTAGGAGAAGAAATAAGACGCGATAAATGTTCCGCGTATAATGTATATCAAGGTCTAGAGTCTGAAATCACTGCGCTGCGTACAGATAAGCTTTTTCAAAAGCTTATTCCACCTCGCATCTAGTTGGGCCCATCCAACCAGGGAACAAGTGTCTCTGTCTAAATTCAATCAGCACACATTCGTATGACTACCATAATGAATTCTAGGAAGCGAGTCTTTGCACGAGGGGTTTTCATCAAAATCTCATGCTTCCTCTTCCAAGCTCACTGGCAGCTGATGTGAAGTCACATTTCTTATCATTATCCCGTCATCTAAACCATAGGATCCACTCCACAACCCTACTTCAACCACGCTTCCAATACACTAAAAGTTGTTCCCTCGGAACCATATATTCTCTCCAATCTCAATCCTACAGCTTCAATCAATTGTCTCCATTGCTTCTCTGATCTCTCTTTTCCTGCGAAGAACATCATCGTAACATCCATCCAAGTCGCCTCGGCATCTAGCTCGTCCTGCAACACCATTTCAGCAATAAGAAGCCGAGAAGTGGAAGCCATGGCATTAGCGATATTGAAAAGAACAGCAACGCAATCTGCATCTGGTCAGTCGTGAAAGCAGCGACGGATATGGTAGATCAGTGCACCTTTGACTGGTTGTGGTGTGAAGAAGTTATAAGTCATCTTTTCAATACCATGAATGGGATCAGGGTTCTCCAACATAACTTCTTCTCTGTCTTGAAGAATTAATCGACCTTTAGTACCTTCAATGATATCTTTGATAGCAGTGATAGCTTGACCTTGACCACCCCACTATCTACCAGTAGTACTGAATCGTCATTTATTTGCATCTTTCGATATTCAGAAAGCCATGGAAAGAGACCATAGAATTGAACCATTTGCGAAGAAATTCGATTCATCCCCAAATTGAATATTCTTAGTCTTTCGGGATGAAGAGAGAGGTATTCCCACATATTGAGACCATTAGTTCGATGGGCAAATGTATATGGATTGTTTTTGATCGAATCTGGCTCTTTGAATCCATTCTCTTTGAAGTATGGAGTTAGGGCATAACTACAGGGCGCGTATTCTTCATAACTTTATATTGTCAGAATCACATATCATGCTATGGAGTTGGCTTTTGGAGGAAACAAAAATTTGTTTGTATGACGCTCTCATACCCTCCAGCTGAAAGATTAGAGAATTTGCCGTTTGATTGTACACCCGCGGACTATTCTCCTCAAAATAGATGGGCGTAACGGCTCGCATCATTATAACTGTAGCATAGACGCATTAGTTTAATACACTTATTGTATATTATTACTTTGCTCAGCCATACTTAACAATACCTCTTCCATATTAGTTTTTTCAGCCAATTCAGAAGCAGGCATTCCTGTTCCATCCAATGGTAACATATCGAAAACGCCTGCCTCTAGCAATGCCCTCAAACATCCGGAGTGTATGAACTGTTGAATTGAATCAGTTCTAACCCATTAGTTGATACATGGAAGTACTACGCACCTCTTCATAATGCGAAGCAATATTGTTCACTGGTCATAAACATCACTTTTCATCTTCCTTGCAGCATTCATCAGTTCCACATGAGTCTTCGTCACAGTCGCAGCATTGAAGGTACTGTTGTGTACCGCATTCTCTTCACAGGCGGAAATGTGCTTCTCGACTGTGAGAGTGGGTTCTGCTATAGATGCCCTGATGGCATCATTCTGCTGCTTCGTTATTTCGAGATCCATTTTAGCTGTATTATTTCAGCGCCGTAACTCCCATGTACTTTTACATGAGTATTTGGAGTTTGTGAAATTGACGAGAAGATTTCTGGCGTGATGTGATGTGGCATTTGGTGTGATGTCTAACACCTCAGATTGTGAGTACAGGAATATGATAGGGTGTGCCGACCAACACATTTAGCCAAATATGAAAAGAATCTCCAAAGGAAAACACTCATTCAGCCAACCGTTCTTGCTTAGGACCCGGAAATGTGTTACCTACTGCACAATCTACACTCTACCTACTCTATTCACTGTCTAGAGTCACATCACGACATACTAGAGCTTTTTATTCCTCGTCTTGTTTCGGAAATTACATTTCATATTTAGGATACTTTTAGGCAAAGCTCTAATTATGCTAAAACGAGATGCAGTTGAAGGACATGCAACTCGATTGGTCATAATTCAAACCAGAATCTTGGAGGCGGAAAGCCTTTCAGATTTACCAATTGGGGGGTTTTTTATATAAAAAGAAACACATGAAATCAATTTCAAGTAGGATTTACATAATCTTTTCGTAATCATGGGCAATTGGGAGACAACCGGCTAAATATAGTTTGCTCGCATTGATATGGTATGGATTTGTCATATCGTTATAACGTAATTTGACCCAACATCATTCAAGTATAATTTTAAGGCTAACACAAATGTAATTCGAAATTAAGCTTGGCTTATAAGCACATTAACTGCAAAATGACGTTGGAGTAGCTTCAAATCTAAGCGAAAGCAACTGAATTAGATGATGGACGCTTAAAAGCCTGAGCATTAGCGTTAGGCGTCTATGCCCTTTCTACTTCGTAGTGAAATTCTAGCTTAGGGTAATCAATCTAGATAGCCAATATTGAATGCATTCCACTGGCATGCTTCCGTCATTATGAGCATTACACATCAATTGCAGGCTAGTCAGTTATTTGTAAGTGTATCAGTTAGTTATACGCAGATTACTTGCAAATGATTTGCAGGTTAAATGTTTGGATTTCACGATTACTGATCCTGCAGATAGATCATCTGCAGGTTGCTTGTCGGATACATTATCCGGCCCATGTGTATCGTTGTGAAATTGATCTACGAGGTGGAGTGGATGTAGCACTAAAAAGGCAAAATCGATTTCATGAGTCACGATAGAAAGGAGCAAGAGAAGTGGGATTGAAGGAGAGAAGGCTTAAAGCAGAAAATGAGGAGCTGGAGTGTATAAATGTAGAGTTGGCATATTCTAGACTTTTGAGTCGTGCAGTTATCTTGTTGGATGGATCACAATGGAGCTGAAATATATCACCGTATTATACACACTACTTGGGGCATGTTCTAACAAAATATGGTTCCGAAGGAAGTAATAATTGAAATTAGAACAAAGCAGCACAGTTCTAAAATGATAGATGCCATGAAGATGGGTATAACGAATGACTCTCAAAAAACATTTATTGGTAGAACGTACACTGATCAGCAACTCTGCCCATCAATGCCCATGCAACAATCGCATGTCGTCTCATTTAGAGTATTATTCTTAATCTTTGAACAGAAGGTCAGAGTACGGAATCTCGTACCATTCTCAGCTACTTTATTTCTGTCAATCCGGGGGGCGCTGAAAATTAGAGTCCAAGGGTTAGTAAGGTTCAAATCTGGTTCAATCATCTATCTTTAATTGGGTTCATGTAGGTTGTGTTGCAGTCGCTATCATATTGGGAAACCTGTACTTTTGACTAACGCCAAAAAAGAAAAAGCAGCTTCACACGATCTGTCACATCTAATTTAATTTTAGTTTCGGACCAATCGGCTAGACCGGGATACATCTTTATGTAGCATCGTAGCTAGTCATGAGCGGCGGAACGAGCCGATGTAACTCAGATTTCCCCACCGATCCACCGACGTCAACAAAAACACGACGTAGGAACGTATTCAATGCATAATAGAAAATTATGACGCAGAATGCTTCAGCAGCTTTGATCATTGCCGAGAGTGGCCCAGCTGCAGGCCATTCCCTATAGTATTATCCGCGCTGAAAAGTTTCCCCCTCATTATGCTACCTTCCTATATTTGCTCTACCATATCGCTAGAGTCTCTTGGCTTCTTGATTGATATTCTTCAGCTAGCCTTGTGATCTTGCACGTTCCCCTCTACCTGGAAGGATCTGCAATTTTCACACATATGTAATAGACTAGACTATACTGCAATGTCACTCGATCGAAAGTGGGCCGTTTTCTCTTCGTCTATCAGCACACTCCAGTGTCTTGGCTTCTTCATTCATTCCTCCATATAGCGTTTTATCTTCCAAGTGCTTTTTTTAGTTGAAAGATCTGTGATTCACAGTTATGCTTTGGAGTCACACTGCAGGACCGTGTTCTTTTGCCTGCGAATTCTTCTTCGAAGATCGATCTGAATGTGGTATCCTTGCGTGGTTGCATATCTGTCCAATTCGTGTGAGTTCTCCCTTTGATAAAATAAGATGTAGATTGTCACCTGTCGTGAGATTGGTATATGCCAAGGGCATTAGGTGGCAAAGGTTGTGCGGTTTATTAGTAAACACCTCACTTTCTAAATTCAAAGCTTTTGAATAACATTCTCATTACAATCTCAACTTTGCATGTCGCTGAATACAACTGAAATTCTTTCTGAGTCACGGCCAAATTACGGTGAATTCCAATGGGAACGTTGCACTTGGAAATGTTTCGAGGGCTTAGTCGCATAGTTTTCTGGTACATGAGAATATGCTCGTAGTCTGATCAGGACATAGATGGCGTTTTGGGCTTTCTAATTACCCATATGAACGCCCAATAGCATACGAAAACAGCCTCTTGCTGTCTCCTTATGCAAAGACAGCGTTGACTGCCTGAAAGATACTTGGATTTAAAAGACCCGTTGTAGATTATCCATACATTTCACTAGCACAGCATTATCTTCCCTAGATACATGCTCGAAAAATTGTCATAAATTTTCAAATCAAGGATTGATCTTCTTGAATTGAACGAGTCAGTTGATCATGAGCAAAATAACGGAGAGGTCCATTCCGCCATGATACCATTGGTTTAGAATTGAGATTGAAAATGGCCTATTGTATCTCCTTGTGGTTGTATGTACCTAAGTAGGTGAAAATTTCTCATTATAAAAAGGTCAAAGAAGTCCCCCTCATCGCACCATTCATCACCAAAAGACACAGCTCTTCTCTCTTTCCAGATCATTGTTAACCTACTCAAAACACACACACATTCCCGACATACATCTTTAAGCCATTCAAAATGACGAACGCAACTTGGGACTACGACGGCTTGAGAGTCACCATGACTTCTACCTTCGACTGGCGTTGGAGTGACTCTGGTAGTGGTGGTAAAAGAAACGGTACATTTTTCCACCCGCGCGCTCAAGGAAACTTGTGTGCACTAGGAAGTTACGGCAATCCCGCCTACGGAGAGATTACAGGCAAAAAGTCTGTTTTACTCGTTGGGCCAAGTCCCAACGCACCTGCTGGGCGCTCCCCAGCAGTTGCAAGACCAACAAGCTACACAAACATGTGGAGCGATGGTGGTTCTGGCGGAGATAATGATGGTACTATGTGGCGACCTGTAGCTCCGTCTGGATACGTAGCAATGGGAGATGTCATGGCTTCAGGGTATGGGAAACAACCCAGCCTTAACGACGTCTGGTGCTTGCGTTCAGATCTCACACGGCTATCTACTTATGAGGCAAGCGACTTTTGGAACGATGGATCATCTGGAGCTGACCGCAACTGCTCAACCTGGAAAATTGTCACCGAAACCAACGGTATTGATGGTTCTGAATATCTTCCTATACCTCCTTATACTTTCCGTGTCTCGCAAAACTATGGCAGGGCCGATACGAGTTATGCCGTCGTGCCGCTTCTCCGAGTTCCCAATGCTTTTAAAAGGTTTGATTTTCCTTTACCGACTGTTACGAAAACAACCATCCCTAGCACTGGCGACCAATTTGGCCAGAAAGAACAGTGCTCTGCGGTGTTGCCTTTCATATTTTATCTTCCGAACGACAGCGCCTGGAATCTTGCTAGGATCTCTAAGCCTTTCTATACTGTTAGTCGAGAAATCGCGTGGCATGTCGAGGGGGTATGGAACAATGACAGCCCAGGTGACTTCAACCGTTCAAAGACCATCAAATGGGGGATAAGCAAGACTCAAAGCGAAGAGATGGTGCACTCAGCTGGAGTTTCCGTCTCGGCTTCATACGGTATCAAAGGTTTCGAAAGTAGTGTTACACTTAATTACCAATTCACTCAAACTACTTCAAAATCTTTTACCGAATACCAGGAAGCAGAAACCACCGAGTCATTCGTTGTTCCTGAAAAAGCAGTGAAAGTCTTGTTCAGCAAACACATTTGGTTGAAAGCTAAAGCTGGTGATGGCACCCTTGCCAGTCAGGTAGAGATGGTTGCTAATAACGATATACACTTTGGTGGTTGTGACTTAAGCTAAATCGTTGATATTGAGATGGCAGCAACGCGACATCACATGGAGATGAAACGGACTTTTTCTTTTCTGTGTCTACATCTCATTCTCTTGGTATTGGATTCTTCTACTTGTTGTCCTGCATTTGTTTTCACGATATGGAAACATGATTTTGGAAGGTCGATCGATATATGCCATCAATGCCTTGGGGCCTTAGGCTCAACAATGTACATCATACGGAAGCTTTTGTTTTGTTCAAATAAAAGTCACGTAGCGAATACCAGATGACAATTCATTGGAATCGTGGTGATCAGATCATTGGGAAGAATAACCATTCAACTGGTTCAGAAGGAATATTCATGTAGTGATTTGGATTTCCTAAGTATGTGGAGTTTCATGCTCAATAGCAATCATTACTTTCATAGCATAGGTTCGACAGTTATAACATTCATTTAAATCATGCCCTCTGATACATTACCCCAACATGCATATGTGCTTATCACATCCAGGTCACAGATCAATCCGTATTCCGTAAAGAATTTTGATACACCTGAATATTATTTGTTGGGCAAAAATGCCACGCCCGATGCCGTTCTTGTACCGCTAGCAATCTTTTGTGTCGCAGTAAAGTTCGAAATGCTAGTACACTTTCCTTGAAGACCGAGAGTACGCACCGTATAGATATTAGGGATGAATAGGATCGAATAAAAATGTGACAAGGCAGAAAGAGACAAGTGCCAAGAAATTCGAGTTCGTAGGCCATTGCCAAATCTTAAAAACACGAGCTTGGAGAAGAAAAGCAGAATCTGGAATGGGATTCAATATTGCGTGATTTGATGTTGCGAGCCGCAACCCTTACTACGTTTTGAAGAATTCCAGCTGCTTATAGATTCTCTGAACTCAGACAATTCACCACAAGCAACTTTCCCTTGAAACAGAACCAACCACAATCGTCATACTTGCTTATGCCTGCTCGTTATTAAATAGTAGTGGATGCTCGCTCAAACAGAAAGCAAAAAGTACACTGCAAGCAACGACAAAGACGTAAACCAATGGCGCCAAAGCATTTGAAAAGCGGTCAGACGTGGCTGAGAAATAATGTACACAAGTGCTGGCGTTCAAGCTATCCATAGTGATCGGACACCCGTCTTGGTAGAAGCTGTGTTATGTCATTATTTCGTTTGTAGCCTCGAGACAATATGAGTGTTATTCTATGGCGCGGTTGACCAGGAAATTTGGGACAACTAGACGTGGATAGGTATGCTGGGTTGCATCTTTGCTGTGAGCAATTCCCAGCTGCAGAAAAAAAGCAGTGAATACGAATGCAAAGACTGCTCGCATAATTGAATTGTCAACATTGTGATTCTATGAATTGTATGTGCCCGTCAGCATTCTGAACATCCGGGTGCCAATAGTTTTAGTGACTGCATCTTCATTGACTCCGCTGTCAATATTTAGCACATGCAATTGCATTCAATAGCGTAAGTGTTACTTGGTGCGTGCCCTGCTCTGAGATCAAGACTCGTACACTCATGAAAGGTAAACTGGTTCCCTCATTGTAGTCACCGCTTCTTTCATGATCGGAGTGTTCGAGTTTCAAAAAGGAAATCTATAAGACTCGTTCGCGATCTGCAATTCCAAAAAAGCTGGGTGATCATAATCACAATAAATGAGGGACAAAATCAGAAGATGAGACCACGAGCATAGTAATTAAGCAGAGATGCAAAGTTTTTGTTTTTGAGACGCTATGGGAACCGAAGTGATGAAAGGTAGCTTGAATCGTGAAATGATAGAATCGTGTCTACATAAAATAAGATATGCCTGACCCCGAAACATAGATTACCATTTTCCGCGAGGAGCTTCAGTTCTGGGGTACTTTCCCAAGTAAACTGAATGTTTCCCACCTCATTCCTTCGCCATCTTCAACACCTTCTGCATCCAATCTAGCCCAGCCGCCATCTTCATAATCAGGTTCAGCAACCTTACTCCAACCACGTATGAGAGCTCTCCAGTAACAAGCCTCAGAGGCTGGGGACAAGTATCTTGTGAATAGTTCCCTTTGTCTTTCAGCAATACCAGTTGCTATCCCAGGATGGTTCCTCAAGTACATGATCGTTTCCTCGAGGTCTGACCAGTCGGGTTCAACGAATATGATGTTCGCTTCACTTAGCCCATAGGTGTTGGGCCAACGAGTTGTCCAGTCATATTCAAATTTGGCTGATACTTCACGTGCCGGGAGGAATGATTTTGAGAATATGGGACGCATAAAGTGAGTTTGGTGAAGTAAATAAGTCGGCGGTGGTGTGAGAATAACGGAAGCGCACGCCTGATGGAAAAGTAGACGCCCAGAGTAGGTTATGCCCTCCGTATAAACAATATACTTATACTTGCAAAAATCCTCTATCCCGATGGCATTTTCGGCACTGTCGCCGTTTGTGGTCCAATTGAGAGCTTCTATATCTGCCCATTCTTTATCTTTACCCTTCAGAATCAAGCTTGGCCGCGAGTCCTCGTTACCGACAGTATTGAACCACCCCGTTCCTCTCCATACCGCTTTGTCAATTTTCTCGTTCCAAGGTTTATCCATCTCGATACGATCAATTTTGGACAACGCTTGATCGACGCTTCCAATAAAGGAAACCGGCCACGACCAAAAACTAAAATGCGGCATAACCCAATAATTTCCTTTTTCAATTCTAGGGTCGTTCGATCTTGAGAATGCCCATGAGTTATTCATTGGAGTATCGAGTATATTGAATGCGAAAATAGTGTTCGGAAGAGGCGTCGGAGAAGTGGTAACAGCACGGTGAATCTGGTGCAAGACTGAAGTTCGTTCCTGTGATATAGAGATCAGAATTTGTGGCAATTACCTGGAAGAAGAGGTGACGGACCTGGAGCATATTCCTGGACGGGTTTGGGTCCGCAGAAATGATGAACACCTGAATTCATTTGTCAACATAGTTTGTAAAATAGATGATTTAATAGTCAAATAGAACCTTTCCATCCTTTATTCTTCCTTGCACAAGCCCGGTACGGTGATCCGGCTGTCTCTTCAGAGGAAATGGACCTCGATCCACTGCATCATCAATCTCTTTCGTCAAGCCTGGAAAAGCTGCCCGGCATTGGTCCTCTGTCAGTGAAAGTGACTGGAGGATATCTGCAGAAGGCTTCTGATCATTGGGTGACAACTGAAAGATTGAAGATCGTAAATTCTTAGACTGCTTATCATATAGGTAAATGCAAATAAGAACAATCAAGAGAAATATGCCAATGTGACTGGGGCTTCTGAGACGGTACGCCATTGCCTCATGATAGGCGGACAAAGACTCAATAGAACGCGAAAGCAATTCATCAAGATCTCAATGCTCAAAGACGTTTCGTTTCACATTGAAGAACAAGGTTGGCACGGTAAACAGGAACTCGCGCCGATAAGCCTATTTAATGGTAAAATGCGACGATTCAAACCGCGTGGTGTTGTGAAGACTCTGCCAAGTAACTTATTGAAATACTCAGGACTTACCGTACCATGCCGTACGCAATGTTAGTACTAGAAATTGATGATTTCTGGAGGAGCTCAGATAAGTGACAAGACGATGTCCACAGGATTCATAGCCTCATGAGTATCAAAGATCAATAGGCGTTTGATGAGACTTGTGGGTACGGAGTACGGTACCCGAATACCATGGGGTATGATTTATCTCATGTGACTTACAGCATCATCATTGACATGAGGTCAATTTGGGGTGCAACGTTAACATGCATTCCTTGGATTGTCTCCTCTATACTATACTTCATTCTTCAAATTGTCATGTATATAAAGACTAGAAAATTTGATTTCATCTCAGAATTGCAATCTCCCTGACTCCATTCTCCTTTTAGTCTTTAGTACACTAAACTTGGTCGCCAAAGAGATGAATCTAACATTCCAAATCTAGGGAAACACCTACTTCTATGACACCAGGACTCTATGGCTAGCTTAAGGTCTTCAGATATCTTTTGCCGCTCTGGCGATTGTCACAGGTGCATATCGATATGGTTAAATGGAGTTTCCTACAATACTAACGCCTCCACTGTTTTGCGTATGTGTGAAGTTGATATCGATACAATTACATCAGGTCATAACAAAGATCTCGAGAAATGGAGCTCTTATGAAGATAGCGGGGGTGAAACATTGCCAAAGTATTAGGTAGAAACAGTCGTTCATCTGCATGCCTGTCTTGTCAAAACGTCTGAGTGAAATTCCCCGAAGCACCAGGAGATGGGGATTGTCGAGCCAAGTACCGAACGAGATCGCAAATGCTACTCTGATGGAATCGAGCGGCCATGAGATAGGAGGACTGGATCAGGTCAGATATATCTTGGCTTCTGAAACGATGTTCCAGACAATTATATGTTCTTCATTTCGTCTCACCACCTCCCAAAATATACACAGACGAGAAGAAGATTCATATGATGATGCAATGCCTCATATATCATAGACTTGCTAATATTGACAAAAGAAAGAAGAGAAGATGAGCTAAAGAAAAAAGTTTTTGTGTGGAAAACGCCTAATACTATGCATGTCTGACCCTGTGAAACAACCCTTGAATATTCTTACATTTTACAATGCTCTTCCTTTCCTACGGCAGTCGGAACTTCAGAATTCAAATCCTCTATCTCCTCGGTCTTTTGTCATGACCACCTTCCCTCATGCTATCTTGATCACTTCTTCTCTTCCTGCCACTACCTCCATCTTCCCGCATACCTCGTCCATCACGTTCACTTCTATCAGATCTGTCCGATCGTTGGTTTCTTCGGTCTCCTCCCCTCTCCACTCCTCTGTTATCAGGGTGGTTTGGCCAGTTACCACCGATATTGCCCTCATGCTGATCACGTTGAGAATCACGATCTCCGCCATGCGCATCTCGACGACTACTATCTCTATCGCGATGCTCCCTTTCTCCTCTTCCACCACCAGCTAACAAGTCCCTAGTAGCAGAAGGATCCCCTCTAGAGTGCCTGTCTGAATCCCTGGACTCTCTATCGCCTCCGCGAATCCTGTGTTCACTCCTGGATGAGCGTTCATCTTCCGGAGGGCCACCACGCTTCTGTTCCCTATTTCGATCGCTAGGTGAAGTCCGACGACTGCGCGTAGATCGATCATTCCTCGAACCACGTCCTCCTCGATCACCACGATCGCGATCGTCGTTGCTCGATGCGGGATTTCCAATTAAATCAGCACGAGCAGGATTTATCAAGTCTCTTCCAGAATCCCTAGCTTGTGCGGGGGGTGGACCTGGTGGGGGAGGTGGTGGAGGCGGGAGAATCGGTGTAGGGGGACCAGAAACTGGTGTTTGAGGTTGACCTCCTTGCCGTCTTCCACGACGTTCTTGACCTTGCGGATGTTTGGTTTCTTCAAGCATACGGTTGATATTGTTGATTAAATTTGGCTGTCGTGCGCCACGTGGTGGACGCTCATTTGATGATGCAGGTCCGGTTGGCGCACCATTCATTCGAGAAACAGGACTGTTCTGAGCTTGGGATTTGGGGCCGAGGGGGGCAACTTGTGTTTGAAGAGGTGGTGCAGTTGGTCTTGCACGCGCGCTATCTTGATGGGAGGGTGGGATGTTTGCCGCGGCTGCTTGACCGCCAAAGCTCCTTACTCTATCGGGATGCATACCGCTAGGAGCAGCTGTAGCAGCCGGTGGTGCTTGCATAGGTGGCTGAGTGGCTTGTGGACCCAAGTGTTTCAATCGATCTGGATGGACTCCTGATGTTGGAGTCGATGCAGCGGACGTTGTAGGTGCTGTAGTGTGTACAGACGCCGTTGGTTCAATTTGACCTGGGCCTAAGCGTCGCGGATGGCGTCCACCAGAAGGGCCTGTGGGAGGTTGTTTATCTGGACTTGGTGGCCGAGGAATGTCAAGTGCAGGAGCATTGGCCAATCTTCCATCACGTCGCCCTTGTGGTGCACTCGCCATCCTATTATTGCCACGATTTCTATCACGAGGCCCAGACGGTATGTCTGGTTGCTGATTCAAGCGACCGAAGTTCGGATCTACTTGTGATCTATTTAGTCTGCCATGATCGGGGTCCGCAGGACGGGGAGGAGGTTGAGATTGTTGAAAGGACGGATTGTCCCTTGATCTATCTTGAGGAGGGACTCGGTCGCTCGCTCGATCAGCTGGCCTCTCTCCTCTTGGACCAGCTGGTGGTGGTGCAATTTCGTCAGCACGACCTCTGGGAATATTTTGTGGATCCATGGGTGTATTTCGATTCGATCTGTCATCACGCCGTGGATGTTGATGATCCTTTTCGGAATCATGTCGTCTTGGAGGTGGGGAATTTTGCCTCGAAGGACGCTCTCTTGTATCATCTCTGGGTCGACGAGGAGAATCAGCGCGAGATGGCTCATTACCACCGGATATTAGAGCGGCCCGTTCAGGATTGATTAATTCTTGCCTATCTGGGTTCACTAGCGCTAATCTATCGGGATTGATTGCTGGGCCACGATCTGATGTAGACGATGCTTTTGGTGGGGAAATTGCTGCTTCACGGGACAAACGACCGCCATTATCTGGAGTACGGTACCCATTAGATGAAGCCCGATCCGTATTATCTCTTCCTGGTTCATTATTCCATCTCGGATTCGAATCTCCTCGGGGACGTTCACGTTCGTTGTTTGATGCACGATCGTTGTTTCTGAAATCTCTTGGTGGGGTATCCATACCCCTCCTGTCGCCTGGGGGGAAGTCACGACCGCGATCCCTGGTTCTATCTCGGACCAGCTCTGTAACTCTGGGATCTCTCATGTCTCGTCTATCGTCATTCCGACGATCCATCATTTGGCGGCCAGGGATGGGGGCATCAGGCCTATTGGGTAGGTTATGATTTGCCGGCATGTTTCTCCCTAATTCAGGTCTTGCAGGTATGTTAGCAGGTGCTGAATTTGGGGCCGAAGCTCTAGCTGCATTTTCACGCAAGATTCTCTCGCGTCTTAGTAATATTTCGGACTTCCTCCCTTCACCGGGTACCGACGATGCTTTATCGTTGACACTAGAATTATCAGATGGCTCTTTCAACGCGTTGCCATTATCAGCTGCGGAAGCCAGTTTTGCATCATCAACTTCACCGTCTTCGACCTCAGTGGTGAAGTTTTTGGGGGTAGAGGCTCCCGTGGAGCTTATAGAAGTTAGATTAAGGTATGTAGATTGAGGTATGGGTACTGACTTAGCTCGAGATAGGGGTTTGAACTCAGGAGCTGTGGGCTTCAAAGTTGTTTTAGCCGCAGGTCCTTGCTTAGAGGCATCTAATGAGGGGCTGTTATTCGCTTGCACAGGGGCCTCCTAGAGATGGTTAGTCTTATTCGATGCCGGTTTTCTTTTTCACTTACCAGGCTGTAACCAAAGGCTTGTACCATCACCCATGACTTGGACTTCTTCTTTAGCTGCACCAGGATGGCATTACCAGCAAGAGAAAGATCTTCCCGTGCACCCTTCTCTCGGGTGACAATTGTCTCGAGCTGTTTCACAAAACTGTTGCCCATGAAGTTAACCGCTGGGAAAACGTCGACAACAGATTTAAGAATTGTCATAGCGTTTCGAACATGCATCCATTCCGTTCCATCGAAACATTCGCGCAGTGCCACATTCAGCTTTTGGTGCCACGAGTACAGGATATTTTTGAAACCACGATCACCGTCATGCTCAAGGAGGCCCTTTACAGTCCCATCTGCATCAATAGCCTTAGCAAATCCTGGAAGATTCTTATTTGCTCCCCACGCTTCTTTTTCGTATACTCCCTGATCACCATGCCAGCGGGCCAGATCCGTCAAGACCAGTCTCAGAAAACGACCCAGGTTCTCCGCCTCACGAACCGTAGATGTAAAAATCATTGACCTCAAACGATTTGATCTAAAAAGCCTGGAATATAGCGAAAGGGTGCGGAAGTTGGGTGTACCATTCTCGTGCAAGAACTTGATCATCCGGAAAGAGAAGTCTGCATCGCTTGGAGAGAGTAATAATCGTGGAAACAAGCATCTTTCAAGGAAGGAGTCGCTAACTAGATCGCCCTTCACGTTGCTAAACCATAAGTTTTTGCGTTTTAGCAGACGATTCTTCTTCCCCGAGAAAGCCCCGACTTGTTTGCCAAACTCTGCCAGCAAATTTTCCCTGGTTGTGGCCAGAGCCTTTCTAGTTTCTTCTTTTCTTGCCATGCCAGCTCTACTCATGTCTGAACGGTCCTTCATTACATCACCTTGTTCTTTCAGCAGACGGGAGATTTCTGCTTCGTAGCTATGACTAGGAATAGCCAGGTCGCTTAATGTAGAGCTCCAGAATACAACGTAGAATTCAGAAGTGAGAAATGCCCAAGAGCCTTCAGGCAGGACCTCCTCGACAGTAGTGATATATGGCTGCAGTAGATCATGAAGCGAATCCGTTTCTGTTGCTGCTGTTTCCGATGGAGAATCTCCTCCCTTTACATCTGACATCTGTACATCGTCCTGCAGGGTAGATTCTCCATTAACTGCTATAGATTCTTTGGCCGCAGGGTTTGGATCATCGCCGTTCATACCCACATCACCTTCTGCATCTACCTCTGTGGCTACAGCCTCCACTGATGACGGTGAAGACTTCGAATTTGCATTGATATTTGAGGATAGTAACTTGCTGACGCGATGTGAGATACTTAGACGACCGATCATGAAGGCAAGTGTTGGGTCTAAGCCAAAATCTTTCATGAGTTCGGAAATGCCTGGGACGAGATCATCGAACTCCTCAATTGAAAGGTTGCTGCGAAGAAGATCAAGATATTGGAAGAGGATCATTTGAGTATCATCAATCATCGTAGCTAGTAGTTTGATAGGAGCCTCATCATCCGAGACATTATAGATCGCCGATTGTCTGTGCTGTGCAATGGACAGCAGAAGTTGACCACCCAACTTGGTGTCAGTCAGACCTCTCATAAGTCGCTTTGCTGTCTTCAGAGATTCGTAACGTTTATCTTGGAGTTTGATCAACGTCTGGCGCCTTAGAAGCTCGTCTCCAGTCATGGCAGCGAGTTGAGAATCGTTAAAATCGGTGTCGGGCACAATTCCAGACATTTGTGAAATGAGCTCCTTAAGAATGACCAAGTCGGTTGAGTTTCCCAGGTGAAGTTGATCATTAACGTACTGGATGAGGGGAATCAAGTTCATTATAGAATATCGCTTGAAGACTTTGCCAGAGAATCTTGACAGTGCTAGAAGCCATCTACTTGGGAGGAGTGCGAATTCAGCGTCGTTCCGATTCCTGTCCTTTCCTCCTAGTGAACTCAATAGCGACCAAACGAGAACGTCGTATCCTAAGTCAGTAAAGTATTTACCGCACTCCACAACAACTTCCGTAAGATTGGTGTATGCTTCTATCTGGCCCAAAGCCACACTAAATACTATGCCTGGCGATGCATAGGCAATCTTGGCCAGAGCTCGTGCCATCATAGTAAGATTAGTCATACTAATTCTTTTCATAGTACTAATTGTCTCAGATTTGGTTTTGGCGAATGCAGCTCTCATCGGTGGTAATCGAGAGATCTGGCCCTCAAACCACTCTGCGTAGATGGAATATCTGATAGATAGAGGATAAAAGCGGAGCATACCATACACTTCATTGACAATACTTGTATTCGCTTTAGTTAAGCTCAGTGCTGGAACAAGGAGACGCTTGAGCAGATCTTGCCATCGGTCAAAATTTTGTGTTGAACGATCTTCTGCAAGACTTTGTGTACCAATCCTGGCTAACTTTGACAATAAGCTAGCGTCTTTGCCAATGTTAACACCAGAATAGTTAAGTAAAGATCCGCAAAGAGTGAATATATCATCTACGGTCTGGCAGACAGGAACGTTATCTGCCCACTCATCCCAGTAGAATCTATATGCATTGTTGTCATTTGTGTCGAATTTATCTGGGAAAGGCCATCGTAATTGTTTCCGAGGAGGCAGTGCGAGTAAACGAATTGAGCCCTTGGGCATACCAGTTTGGTCGGGATCTAGAACCTTCTTACTTGGGCAGTCCGGTACCGCTGAAGTGGATGGTCGACTTAAATCAAAAACATGCTGAATAGAATGATTCAAGATACGATGTATTAAGTCGAGAAGTTCCGGGTACGCTTCTGGCAGCCAAGGGAATCGACCAAGAATGAACAGAGATTCGGGAATTGCTCCAATCGTCAGAAGACAGGTGAGAAGCTGCACCTTTTGGTCCGAAGGTTCATTCAGCTTGTCTTTGTCATCAACCTCAGTTATCGGCTTGCCAGATGCATCGGATTTGGTAGCTGGGGTATCACGAGTTCGTCCCCCGTTCGGCAAAGTATCATCTACCAAAGCTCCAGCCATCATCAATGCATTCATTGTGCCTCCACGACTAGCCTTCTCTCTCTCCTCGATTTCTTTCATCTTAGCATCACGAACGGCTTCCATGTCCTCGTCTAGAGGCCACAAGTGAGGGTAGAGGTCCTTGAGGGAGATGAACCCAATCTTGATCAGCAAAGCTGTAAGATAAATCAAATTCGCAGGCAACACGTCTTCATTATCTCGGGCCGCTGAGGCGTAGAAACGTAGTTTAAATCCAAGCAACTGAGCTGCTGTTCGGTTTCCAGAAGGTGGATAAGTTCCAGTTGCTTTAATCCATTGATAATCTTCGTCGAGTTTTGTATCATCCTCTTCGAGGAGTCGTTGTTTCGTCTCCGCATCTACAGGTTGGCGACCTCCGAGCTCGAAAAACGCTTCAATACCAACATCACGAGCCCGATCCCAGAATAACTTGTCGCGTTCCAACCTTTGATTCGTGGCAAGTTCTTCCTCTTCGTCGGTTGATGTCCAACCAGGAGCGCTGGGTAAGGCCCACGGTGGAAGACCACCACATCGAGGTATCTTATCGAATTCGCCGCTTCTCGGCCACCAAGAGCTAACACGGAGAAACTTTATGAAGAAACGAAATTGTTTGATTAGAACAGCCGCAAACACGTCCAACGTGATATCGAGCACTCTTCCCACATCGAGATCAAAAGTTCCTATCAGGCCTTTCACTTTCTCGAAGGCATCTTCAACAACCTCACTAGAAGGAGGTTCACTCCCACTAGTTGTGAAAAGCTCTGTCACCAATTTCGAATATCCTTCCGTCTCCTCCCTCAAAAGATTGTAGTTTGCCTGTCGGTAGAGAAGATGAGTAGCTTGTCGAATTCCCATGCGTGTAAAGGTGTCTCTCGTGAGTCCAAGGTTCAATAAAAGAGTGGCATCCAATTTCTGTCGCATTGCCATGGCTGATATGCCTGTGGAGAAAACGAAGCTGCGAAGTGCAGTATTGGGTGTTTTGAGATCTTCTAATTCAAACATCATAGACAGAGAGTCAAGGAACAAAGCTTGCGGTTCCAGGGTGCCTGGGACGCTGTCTACCGGTGATGTGTCTGGTCCCAATATTTCTTTGATGCAATTGCCCGCATCAGCGCCATCAATGCGACCATCGAGAGTAGCGCGAATGAATTCTTGAAACACAGTTGCCAAATCCATTGTATCTTCATCCTGACGAGCTTGGATTCCCTTTTCCACCACTTCTTGTCGGCCATTTGATGTCCATGAAGACATTTGATCGTCGGTAAGGAAAACGTAATCGAAAGGAGCAGGGTCTGGGTTCCAACTGGGACTGATCATATCGTTCGTGTTCACTGGGGTTGGAGTTTGCGCTGGAGTCGTGTGAGAAGCGCTCGAAGGTCTGGGAGGTGGAGACATTGGTCCTGGTGTTGGGGTGGCTCTGGTAGCTATCGAGAGGTTACTAGGATTGCTCGAATTGCTTGAAGTATTTGAATTATTCGAATTATTCGAACTCCGACCATCATTTCTACGCCCTCTACCTCCGCCTTGATTACCTTGACCTCCTCTGCTGCTTCTTCTGTTGCCGCCCTCGCGCATACCAAATTCTCTTTCATGCTGACCTAAGGAAGTATTTCCCGGTCGATGAGGTGAAGGTCGAGGCTCACCCTGGTCTACGGAATTTCTATCATTCCTCTTTCGCTTCCCTGCTGGAGCCATCTCCAAGTCTATCGATAAAGCTCAACGATCTGCGTACATATGTGTCGAAATGCTAGTAATAGCAAAGAATTGTATGCGATAATGCGATCTAGGTTCGATGTGATTTGTGTTTCCGTCGAATAATTAAACGACTTTGAAATAAATCACAATTATCCGCGACAATGAAATTATGAGTTACGCAGATTTTGTATTCGACTTTGTAGTGATATTATCAATTGCTAATATTTAGTTGGAGACATCTTCAAAATCCTTAAGCAATGAAAGGTTTCCCGCGTTCGCGTGAGAGAGAAACACACTAAGCTGTATTAATCGGTACCTAGTCAGATTATACCTGACTTTGAGCCACAATAAAGCCACAATGGCGTCTCACTCAACTTTCAGCCTCATCAAAGTATCCCCGGGCCACCTGTGGACAGAAACACTGAAAGCGGAACTGTGAGCTACCTAGCTATCTTCCCAAGAGTCAGGTTTTCCTTATCAATGCCCCAATATTGACTAACAACAACATAAATGGTTTTTGCTCCGTTCTCCGACCGTGAAAGAACCCTTCAAAAGTTTCTTACGAGTACTTGCTAGACAAATCAATTGTGACTGGCTGTTGATGACGTTTTTTTAAACAGCCCCCCTCCTTTAGTGACTCAATCAAGCAAGTCTTGTATAACAATAAATTTCTTCTATCCCTTATTCAATATCTAGCTATTCTTTTGACAAATTCTCAATCACAAAATGGCAGCTTCATCTCAATCTACTGGTTCTGCGGGAACAGAACCAAATGCACCAAGATACGGTCAGTAGTTACATCTTCTATGACTTGCCAAAAAATCAAAAAATACCCCTCAATTCTTGGAAGAAGCAGTGACTGAACACTACAAGAAAGAACGCAGCAACAACCCGAGAACCCATTTGCATCCCTCATACCCGACCAAACTATCGCCATCATTCCATCCTTCACGTTAGAGTCCGGCGAAACTTTACACAATGTTCCGTTGGCATACAGCACCAGAGGAAAACTTTCACCTAATCGCGACAATGCCATGGTAATATGCCATGCCTTGACTGGCAGCGCAGATGTCAGCGATTGGTGGGGACCTCTTCTAGGTGGACCTGGTCGAGCATTTGATATATCCAGATTCTTCGTGATATGTATGAACAGTCTGGGAAGCCCCTATGGGAGTGCGAGTCCTGTCACTTGCAAAGATGGGGACCCAAAAAATGAAAGATATGGCCCTGAATTCCCTTTGACAACGATTCGAGATGATGTCAAGTATGTCAGCAATATTCAGTGTGCCTATTACAATACTGACTGCCATTAGCATTCACAAACTTCTCTTGGACGAGTTAGGAGTTCTACAGGTAGCGGCGGTCATAGGAGGTTCTATGGGAGGTATGCTGGTACTTGAATGGGCATACTTTGGTAAGGATTATGTTAGAGCCATTGTGCCAATTGCAACCTCTAGCAGACATAGTGCTTGGGGAATTAGTTGGGGAGAAGCCCAAAGGCAAAGCATCTATGCGGATCCAAAGTACGATGACGGCTATTACCCATTCTCGGATCCTCCAACAGCAGGGCTGGGTGCGGCACGCATGTCTGCGTTGCTTACATATCGAAGTCGAAACTCATTCGAGGCAAGGTTTGGACGAAACATACCTGATGCTTCAAGAAAACAGACCATTAGCGAAGGCCAACAATCCGCCACAGCATCGGATATTCACAGGGCAATTCACAATGATGGGCACAGACAGACCAGGTCGCCAATATCTTCGAGACCTGGGAGCTCAGCTGCGATTTCAACCATGACCAGTGAAAACATTACTGCCAACGGTGGTAACCCTGCAAACTTCACTGACCCACAATTTCACGGCGCAACTCCCTCATCATCCCCACCTCCAGACCGACCTGTTCCCAAGCGCAAGTCAACCTCTCATTACTTTTCCGCGCAATCCTATCTTCGTTATCAAGGTGAAAAATTCGTCAAACGTTTTGATGGAAATTGTTATATTGCAATCACCCGCAAACTTGATACTCATGATGTCTCAAGATATCGAGTGCCAGCAGATTCAGCGGACCCTATTGCTGAAGCTCTTTCACAAATTCAACAGCCAACGTTGGTACTCGGTATTGAGAGTGATGGACTTTTCACATTTGATGAGCAGAAAGAGATTGCAGCTTCAGTACCAAATGCACGTCTTCGAAAGATTGAATCCCCTGAAGGTCATGATGCATTCTTGTTACAGTTTGAACAAGTCAATCAACACATCCTGGAATTCTTGAATGAAGTTTTACCCAATATTATGCAAGCTCCTGGCATTGAAGGGGTTGTAGCTGAAGACGGAGTCGGGGCTGTTACCAAAAGCAGTACCTTTGGAGAGGCAGAAGTGGATGACATTACAGCATGGTAAATGGGAAGTGTTACTGAAAGTGTACATGACCTTTACGGGCTACTGCTTCTGAATCTCACCGGTAACTAAATATGATACTCCACGGTCAGTCTTTTCGCTTCCCCTACTATTCAATCTTCCTTTGACTTCATATGATGAAATATTTCGGATGTTAAATCATTATTTCTCCGAGAGCGCAAAACCGTGTGGAGATTTTCCGTTGCCTTCCTTCTGATTGTCCGTTTTTCTTGTATTGAATTCACACTTCAACTGGGTAGTACAGTTTGCTGACCATGTCGCAGTGCTGATTCGACGATATACGAATGAGCTCGTTATAAATATGGATAACCCATGATAGTAGGCAAATCAATAACCATCAAAACTCCTATCGTGACTTCAATGGTGCCATGCGAGAAATATTCTGTGATCTCTCTGATAGTCCACATTTGTCAAGAAGTAAGATATAGTGTCGTACGTATGCAATGAATTTGATATCAAGAGTCTTCCCCCATATCTGTATCTGTATTCGTATTCGTGTTTAGACAATCTTCGAGGGTTCTTTCCGCCGTGGGGAATGAAGCGATTTTGGTTGAGAAATTATTTAGTATCGATACTACTTGGTACATACCTAGGTAGGTACAGGTTGTGTAGGTAGTTAGGAACCTTGTTATGTAGAAGTGTATTGAGCATTGAGTGAACGACATCATAGCTCGGTAGGTACGTGCATAGCTCTAGCATTGAGCTTCCGGGTTAATTATGGATTTCGTATTGATATGAACCTGGAAGGAACTGGACTGGATTGAATGATTGTGTGTGTGTATTCCAAATTTCGACCGATATATTTATGGTTGATTACTACTAAATAGCTCGAGGGTAGGTACTCGTGCGGCCAGAAAGTATGCAACACCGGCGCTAGATGCACATACCACACAAGATGGTAAACTACAAGAGGACTAACCTGGCTTTCATAGCGCCGGCGTTGCATAATTTCTGGGCGCACGAGTAGGTAGGTAGATTTCCTTCTCTACTAGTGTTCCTTCTTTCTTTCTTTCTTTCTTTCTTTCTTTCTTTCTTTCTTTCTTTCTCTTCGTTCACATACACCCTCACGCTCTCTCTATCTTTTTGGAGTGATATCTATCTAGGTAGGCAGGTAGGTAGGTATTCAATTCGAAGTTTCGCGTTACGTTGAGTTGAACTGAGTGATTACTTATGATACTCGAGTAGTTATCATCATGACGGGTATAAATCAAGCTCTCATATAAGCTTTTACGAATTCCATTTATACCATTGCTTAATTGATTAATTGTATATATAAGGTTCGTGTGGCTTGTGGCTTAGACTCCGATTACGGAAACGAATGAATCTTGATCTTTGTGTGTATAAGAAGGTGATAGTGTACTTGTACGCTGTTGTATGTTGTATGGATATCTAATCTCTTTTGATACGATATGTACTAGTATGGTTTGTGGAGAGGGATGTTTATTTAACCTTTTATATATTAAAAACGTTTTGTTTTATAGTAGTAGGTGTTTGAAAATATTATATGTATAGAGTAAAGTTTTCTTAATATTAATATACTTTTTTTAAATAGTATCAAAATGAATTATAAAAATTGGATAATAAAGTTAATTAAAGGGGGTTTTAAATAATAATTATTGTTAAAAATTACTTTTAATATTTTATAGTTGTTGAAAACGAGCTGTAATATAAATCTCAAGATGTTTAGCAAAATAATAAGGGGAGTACCAGTCCAATCAGCCAGCCATGCATGCGAGGGGCTGGAGACAAAGCTCGTAGATTATAGGTTATACCTAGGTAGGTCAGGTTAAAGATATTTTGAGAATTGTCCGTATACGATATTCAATGTATCTACTAGGGAGTATGTCTGCACATCTAGATCTGCTGATGATGATGATAGTGGATAATAGCTTGGATATATCGTAGTGGCAGCAATCAATAGTAGAGAGGACCAAGGTAGCTAACTTGTTATGGTTACACGTCTTGGATCGTCTGGGACTAGGGAAAAGTCTTGACCTCATTGGATCTTGGGGGGTGTATTGTGATGGCGATGGTGATGGTGATGGTAGCGGTGGTGGTGGTGGTGCCGGTGAGTTTGTTTTCTTTTGATGTGAATAAATGATTTTGGGTCGGGAGTAGGTAGGTCGGTAGGTATCTAGGTATCTAGGTATCTATTTATATAAATCACAGAGGAAGAGAGGAAAGATGTAAGAGGGGAATTAAGTAAACCTGAATATTTAGGTATCCATTCTCTCTGATACTAATTACACACTAGCTAAGGTTAGGTAATAGTATACAAATCATCAGTAGCATCGGTACTCGGAAAAGATGTCTGTCCAGTGTCAACATACAAGACATTAAATTAACTTTTATATACTAGGTTGGAGGTCTGAGGCGGATCAGAATATGGAAATGAAGATGTCATTGCACTTTCCTCTTCTCGGTATGAGATTTACCATTGTACGTATGATCCTTACGACGTATTTAGCTATTTAGACACATTTTACGGGTACGTACCTTACATTCCATCTCATTTCCCTTTCCCTTTCCTCTACACAATATCGATCCGATATATACCTCGTACTTGGTATATACCTGCCATCTACCTACTAGGTAGTCCCTTCCTTTCACATCAACGACTGCCATATCCGGAGAACTGGTTTGCATATGCAATGCAAATCAATGAATAATAGATAGAGTACCCGGCACAAGTACACTCGTACCTTCACCAATGACAACTCCATTTTCCATGTCAATACCTCTTCTCTCCTCACGCACCATCTTTAAAGCTCTTCTTAAAGACCCTTCATTCATCTCCATCCACATCTTTTCATTCATTTGAACGTGTATGGACTGACTGGCTGACTGACTGACTGTATGTCTTATCTTTTTTGACTCTTGTTTTACTTCCTTCCTTGGTTCCAACTACTTTCACCTTTTCTGCCTATCAAGGTTACTACCTCATTAGTACTTAGTAGCTACCCGTTACCTCATCCTTACTCACTTCTTTTCCCTTTCCCTTGCATCATTCGTACAACCTTGAGTGCAGCTCAATATTCCACCACAACATACCTCTCACTCTCCTTACAAAATACCGTTGGGCCCAACCCATACGATGGAATCAATCATTCTCCCTTCGCCGGGTCTTCACGATGTAATTGAAACCTTACAGCAAGACGCTCCCGATAAATCAAATGTGACCATCAATCGAGCTCGATTGGCTTCATTCTCAACAACGCGAGATTCGAGTATCTCATGGGGTCGACGGCATCATCATGGTTCGTGGTTACATTCCGTGGGATGTGCGAGTATCATGATTCTGTGTCCAATCATTGTCATATTCTATTGGATTGCACTCTCACGCTTTGAAGGATCTTTAACTTCAGCATACAAATCAATGGCCATGATTGGTCCTATCAATTTCTTATGGCAACATGCACCTCGAGGAAATTTAAGAACGAATGTTGGTTATGGAACGTGGTTGTTATTCCAAGCACTTCTGTACCAATTTCTACCTACCGAATTGAGTACGGGTCAACTCACTCCAGCTGGGAATCTTCTCAAGTACCGTACAAATGGTCTTTCAGCTTGGTTTGTCACTCATGCTTTGTTCCTCATTTCGTCATATTGTGGACTCTTGGATCCAGCAATTCTCGCAAAACATTGGCAGGCATTGTTGGTCTCAGTGAATGTTTATGGGTTTTTATTATCCGGGTTTGCTTATTTGAAAGCTCACATGTCTCCAACCCATGAAGGCGATCGAAAATTCAGTGGTAAGTTGAGATTGATGGGATGAGATTTGTGTACTTTGATACTGACACGTGACAGCATCTGTCCTGTACGATTTGTACATGGGAATCGAATTGAATCCTAGATTTGGGGATCATTTCGACTTTAAATTATTCCACAATGGGCGGCCTGGGATAATTGCCTGGACTCTTATGTATGTCAAACTCGAATTTTCTTGGTCATCTGTTTGATTTGCACTTTCCACTTCCAGTCCAACCGATGTCATTCTCTAATCTCGATATAGTGACATGTCTTTCATCGCGTATCAGTATCAAACCTACGGATATATCACCAATTCCATCATTCTGAGCACTTTTCTACACGGTCTCTACGTTGTCGACTTCTTCATCAACGAAGATTGGTACCTTCGAACTATCGATATCTGCCATGACCACTTTGGTTTCTATCTTGCATGGGGATCCATTGTTTGGTTGCCATCCATGTATACCCTTCAGACTCAATATCTTTCAAGATATCCCCACTCTCTATCACCTCTCAACGCCATGATGTTGTTCACCTCGGGTGTCAGTGGTTACATCATTTTCCGAAGCGTCAATCACCAAAAGGATCTCGCTCGTCGCACCAAAGGTAATTGTCAACTTTGGGGTGCTCCAGCAGATGTCTTACACGTCAAATATCGAACTAAAGATGGCAAAGAACATGATAGCATTCTTCTTTGCTCTGGCTGGTGGGGTATGGCGAGACATGTCAATTATTTGGGCGACCTTATCCTTTCTTATTCCATGTGTGCAACTTGTGGTACGCATAATTTGTTGCCATGGACATATGCAATTTTCATGACGATTCTGTTAATTCATCGCTGCTGGCGGGACGAGGAGAGATGCTCAAAGAAATATGGGAAGGGGTGGGAAGATTATTGTCAGAAAGTGAGGTGGGTTATCTTGCCGGGTGTTTATTAGATGGCGAGATAGGTACGAGGGTGTCGAAAGTGAAGTGATAGAGTGTGAGAGTTACATGGCTAAAAGTGAATCATTTTGGGTCACAAGTATCAAGTGGTAATGGTGGAAGATAGCATTACAAAAAATACCAGTGGTATACGATGGGAGAAGATCAATAGACGGAGCTCCGGTGTGGATATGAAGGGGGTAATTGAATGGGATTCCTAGATTAATCGAACTGAACACGGATATGAAAATCAATGATGAATAGATGGGCTGGATTAAATCGAGCAATGGACGCAGGCTGAACAACGACAATAGTTCCTAGACAAACAGAACAGAATAATAAATTTAGATCGTAAACCCTGAATCAGTTTTACGAGTTTTTGAGTGATGAATAGATACATTTTTTGATTCCAATATTCTAAGAGTTTGTTCGATTTTCTGAAAGAAGCGAAGATTAGGGAAATGGTTTTGGTTGGAGAGAGATGAGAAGGTAAGGTGATGGCTCGGCAGGTAGCGAGGGACGGGGGTGCAGGGATAGGATGGGGTATTGAGCTCTTTGGTATAGTGTTGGTGTTGGTGTTGTATTTACTTTGAAGTTAGCAGAGAGGAAAGGGGAGAGGAAGGGGGTGAGATGAAGGGTTAATTGAGGGTCTCTTAAGTGTATTGTTTTTCTGATTTTGAGAGGGAGGGTGAGGATATGGAGGATGAGGGAAGATTGGAAGAGGAGAGGGAGAGAGGGAGAGGGAGGTGGAAACTTGAAATGGGAAATGGGAAATGTGAAAACAAAGGAATGGGTGGAGAGTTGGTTGAGGAGTTGCTTGGAAGGTTGGTATTGGTATTGGTATTGATGAGTTGATGAGTTGATATTTGTACTGGGGGGTCTTGGGGGAACTACGGTTTCACGAGAATAGAAGTTGAAGTAGGAGTAGGAGTAGGAGTGAGAATGGGAATAGGTAGAGTTTCGAAGGGGTTGTTCATCTTCTTATTCATCTTCTTGTTCATATTCTTGTTGTTGTTTTTTTAGATTTCTTTGATAGTCGATAATGGAATGGTGCGGTGTCATGATTGGGGTTATTGGTTGGTTTCAGATAGGGTGGTTGTTTGTTATTGTTATTGTGATGGTTTGGGCTTTGGGCTTGGGATATGGATGGATGGATGGATGGATGGATGGATGGATGGATGGATGGATGGATGGATGGATGGATGGATGGATGGATGGATGGATGGATGGATGGATGGATGGATGGATGGATGGATGGATGGATGAATGGATGGATGGATGGGTAGATATTGAGGAGTTTTTTGAGGAAGGGAAAGGGTTATGTTATAGTGCGTCTATTGTGTAATTGAGCATAATGATATAGAAAAAATTAGAGTATAATGAATTGAACAATCTATAATAATACTACACTCTTAGTCTAACCCTCGCAACATTCGATGTGAGGATGTGAAGAGATGAGGAAACCTTTAAATTCTGTGATGATGGTTTTTGTCATACTGATTTGGGGTGGAGTTTGAGTTTGGAGTTGGATCATCTATCCATCTATTTGTTATTATCTTGAAGATCAGATAACAAGTCAAAATTGAAGCATGATATCTGATGATACGAGAAACAAGCGATAGGAGGAGAAGCAGCTGATGTTTGAGTGGTTGCTGTGTTTTCGATTTTGGACCTGTGGATGATTGATTGAGAGGTGAAGATTTTGGGAATTTGAAATGCTTCGCGTGTGAGGGGAAGATGGAATGAGAGCTAGAAAGGAAGAGAGGTAAGAGGGGAGGAAAGGAAGAAAGAAAGGCAAAATCTGGAATATGAGGGATTTGGAGGATGGGTGATTTTGAATTTACATTTAGTTTGGGCATCTTGGTAGTGAATCTCTACCTTTATACCAATCTAGATGTCGAGGATCTTTGAGAGACCAGGTTAGGAAGACACTCGACCTTAAAATGAGCTTTATACTTGATTTCACGCATACGAGAAAGGAAAAGGGGAAAGGAGAACTCCACAACCTCGGTAGGTGGGCGGCAGATCATAGATGATAAATCGTAGATTGGAATCGAAGCGATATGTGACTAGTCGTCTATAAAGGTATAGATAACATAAGCTATAAGTATTGAACAGAATGGAACCTTACTATTTAAAACCCAGAGAGTATTTGGGGGAGGAATGGGATTTTATGATGTCTTCTTCCTATTTACTTGATTCAATTGAATATATCCAAGCGTATCCCATATTCAGCATGGCATTAGCTATAGATAGACTAAAACGATCGAGATTTACTACTTCCACACACGTTTCTTCATGGAAATGTACTTGAAAGGTGTTTGTAAAGGCAAACATTGTATTAATTTTGAGGGGAGAGAAAGCATTGCATGAACTGAGAGCATTTTGCAAAATTCTAGCAGGTCAACAGTTCTCTCCTTTTTGATCGATTATCCGATCCCTGCACTTCAACGATTGATTGAAATGCTTCAGAATCAAGAGACGAGAAAAGGAATTCTTCAAAACTACATCTCAACCGAGTGGCAGAGCCGAAGATACAGGGGAACAAAAGTCGCGGAACTATACTTTCCGACGGCACCCTGCGCAAAAAATTGCAAAAGAAATTCATCAACAACATATCAAAACAATGGCTGTGTGTACTTCCGAAATTGTATCATGCAGGTTTATATGAGATATTCTGATATATGCATGTAACCCATCGATCAACCCATCTACACTTGCAGATTTTCAGTGGAAGTTATAGATTTCGCTGGGGGTAAAATCTATGGCCAGACCTTTGCCATACAAATATTGTTGAGGGGTTGAAATTCTTTTCACATGAGGTTGTATTGTGAAAAGAAAGCTTGCTTGTTGTGAGGAAAATCCCTCGGATATCCATGCGAAAATGACTAATCATTTAGCTCAACGATAAGCAAACCAATCTGCTCACAATGAACTCGAACCATTCATTTTTCTTCTTCGTCAGAATGAAATGAGACCACCAAGATTCTCTCATCTTCACACATGATATCGCCAAGATTCCTTGAACTCCCAAGATAAATATGCGCGAGAGGTTCGTGTAAGGGATACCCACCACCTCCTTGGTCGAGCATTTATCATTCTCCATTGTCTCTGAGTTAGCGATCGATCCCTTTTTGTCAAATTATCGCCACTTGTAAGAAGCGCGTCTCTCGCTAATCAAGGAATAAAATGTCTTGCTTTGCACGGGGAAGTCTTCCGTCACCTCCCTGTTGATAAATCTGTACGATGCGGACCGGCATGATATGATATGAATCTACTGCGCTCAATATGTACTCCTTACGCAGGTCCGATCTTTCTCTGCTTCCGAGTGGATGGTTAAATCAGAAGAAGTTTTAGCAAGATATCGAAACTTCAAATAATTATCATGGATGTTGTTGATTTAAATGACAATAGTATTGTTACTGGCATGTATCTACCCGTCTGGGATGCTGCATATGATTCTACCTAGTCGAAGCCCATGAAATCAAACAAAGGTAAACAATTCTAGAGCCTCTCTTGTTCCTTATTGTATGAATCCTGTTGTTCTAAGGATTCCACCAATTACAGGCTCGGGATCTCACAGTCGGATGTTGGCCGATTCGGCACAAAGGGATGGACGTGGCTGGCAAAGTTCGAGGCCTTACCTGCGGGCGTATAACAAGAAGTGGTTTGATCCAATAGGCTTCCAGATTTCAAACCTGACAGATCTGATCTGGCTTTTGCCTTCATACCATCTGCATATGATAACATCATGTTTATGCAAAGAATGAACATCCAGCCAGTTTTTTTCAGACGAGCAAACCCCGACAGTAGTTTGATTCCAGGGTTATAAACAAGTCGTTGTCTCGTCAATATCTCTCGCAAGGAAGATCATTTATCGAAGTGCTAACCTTTCAATTTATTTTAAAGCTTCATGTTCGTCGGTCCCTAGACTTGTTTCTCCCGGGTAACCGATAGGAATTCACCTTACTTACATTCCTCGTCAACAATGCGTGCTTCTAGCAACGAATATCTCGGCGAATGCCCTCCTATCGATAATTATATGATAGCGATACATCCACAAAATGATTCATGCAACGGCTGGTTACTATCATCATCTACAATGGTCATCTCAAAGTCAGATATCAGGAGAGTTTGCGATAATCCTTCAGCTACTTTCAATAGCTGGTCAAAGGTTCACGAAACCTCAGTACAAGAATCACAGTCACAATGTCAAGTTTCAGCAAAAGGTTGGCAGAGACTTTCGCTCGTCGAAACGGACCCAGGGATGATGGAAGATCTCTTTGAAGCATCCGACTCCGAGTCCTTTACTGATGATGATCCATCATCATTTTACTCATCTTCAACCTCAAGTTATCCTCCGGAGATGGAAGAAGAGGTCTGGAATCAGTATTTTCACGCAAAATCAGAGTATCTACCACCACCACCTCCACCGCCGCCTGTACCTCATCGTGTCTATTCACTATTTCCCACCACAATCCCACAATCACCTCAAGGACAAAATCAACATTCGACTCACAAATCATGGCCCACGCAGGCTTGGCCTGAACGGCTCGACTCCCGTCCAAATCGTTCAAACGGTCGCGCTCGTGCGCAAACTACACCTTCCCAGCCAAACACGCCATCTAATCTCAGTTCTTGTACAAGTATCAATCAATCAGTCCCTGGATCATACGTTCCGGCTAGCTATCTTCATACTCATCCTCCTTTGCCTCGCTACAATTCCTCAACGCCTCTGGTCTTGAAGTCCGAATTCGAAACCGATTCCGATGACGAAGATGAGAACTCCCCCAGTAAAATGGCCAAAGCCATCGAGGAGATGTTTGAAAAGTTCCGATCGAACGGTGGAGGCTCTAACAAGAGTGGGTGCGAGGAAAAGACAAGAAGATCAGGTGGATTCAGAAGAAGCGCAAGTGAAGCCTGTGAGGTCGTCAAAGGAATCTTCAGTAAGAAGCCTCATGGGCCTCCCGAACGACGCCTTTCATGAACTCTCGCAAAACGAACATTTCTTTTGTACGGACGGTGTCAGGGATGATTGATGATCATGATTGTGTGTTGGAACGAGGTATGAAAACTAAACTGGGTGGCTTATATATTGGTACATGTACTTTTCCTTTCGTCCACCTACTTGGCTACACAAAAAAGATCGGTTTAGAAAAAGAGAGTGCTCATGGAGATATCTGGATTGGGTTTAAAAGTCTGCCGATTGGAGTTTATTGGTTTCTGCCATTTGGTTAATGGAATGATATCTTGCAGTGGCACTATTATGATGTTGGGGTAATGGACAATATGGAGATATGAGAATGGGGAATGGTAAATGATGGTTATGACTTGATGACGATGGCTACTAAAAGAGATAATGA